TCACACACACACGCATACGGCCGCAAACTGAAGCGAATGCATGGTCGTACAAGTACGTACCAGATATTCTAATTAAAAGTACTTTTTTGTCAACGCAACTGTGGCATTGGCTCGACTGGGCTAAAGTGCGTTCAATTTGTAAGAGATCTAGTAGCCGATACATATACTATTATATGCATATATGTATATACATTGAATTGCGAGTATGTAAAACATGTCAAATGCCATCCACGTTATACTTTTCAATCTCGATTGGAATAAAAAAAATTCATATATATGCATGCGCATATGCAAATGGCTCCCACATCGAGCCCCGCCAAGATTCTGAGCTAAGCCGTTTTCGGAGTCAACCAGTTAATCAATAAAGCGAGCGAAAAAGTTGATGTGCAAATCACAAAAACACTTAGCTCGCGTGAGAAATGTCTAAAAGTCAAGCGAATGCAACAAATTCTGAATTCTGAGAGAAAGAGACAGAGAGAGAGAGAGCTCTATCTCAGCTTTGGTTACCTGCTAGCTGCAGAGGCGTTGCCCCAACGCTCCCAATTAAATAATTTACAATTTTGTTAGCTAGATTTGGCGCCGCCTGGCAGCGACGCGGCGACATTGAACGGCTCTAGAGCTATGACTCAGACTCAGACTTAGACTCTTGAGAGGCTTAGATCCGGTTTGCCGCAGCTAGAAAAGCTGAGCGACACGCACGCCTATTAAGGATCTGGAGATTGCAGTCGAGAGCCAAGAGAATGTCAGCTCTGTCGAAGCAATTAGCTGGTAAAACAAATGTGAGACAATTTCAAAAATTCCATTAAACACACAAACACGCATACACACGCACATACACGCAGAGATCGCACGGATTTTGGCGGCTTGGAATAATTAATGCCCCCGCCTGCCAAATGACCGGGTGTTAATTTATGGTTGTCCAAGTAAATCGCATATCGTAAATCGTAAATATGCTCTGTCTGTGTGTCTATGGCATAATCGCAGCCTCACAATTCCAGCTACTTACTTGACTGCTGGAGGTTGGGCAAGGCGACAGCCAGCGAGACAGCGAGACGGAGATCCAAAGAAAAACACAGAATAACAGACATCATATTTGATTGTTGCTTGTTAGCAATTTCCTGCCTACCCACAATTTGTGTTTTATTGTTTACAAATGCTGATTCCATGACAGTTGCAGTTGCACAACAGCCGGGGCAAGAGGGAAGAGTGGGGCACATCTGTGCCTCGAGTTGCCAGTGGGAGTTCTTTACAAATGAATTACATGAATTGATAGACGCGAGAGCCAAGAATATTTATGCTAGAGCTATATATGCAAACTAGAGAAACTCAATGAGTCAGTCAGGCTAAGATTAAGAATAGCTGTCTGGGCATATTTGGATATGAAAAGCTCTATTAAGTGCAAATGATGAAGCTTAAGTGCAGAGTGGAATAAAAAGGCAGGTAATAAATAATTTTTTATATATTTTTTTAAATAATGACATGATCCAAGAAAAGTTAATGCAGCAATTAAATTGGCTATCCCATTATCATAATATATATGCAAAAATAATCACATATAAAATTGACTTATTTTTGTATATATGTATGTATATTTCCATAACAAATTGGATGATGTTTACCATTTGTGTAAATGCAATTTGCATTTAATTAATTGGATTATTTAAATACATATATAAAAAAACATGTAATTTGTTTTCATGCGTAAATTTATTTAATATTTGTGCATTTCAACAACAATTAAATACGTGGCATTAAAAATGTGAATCAAATATCATATAAATACTAAATCAACAAGTAAATAAATCCTTTTCATTTTTTGACCTACTTCAATATTATGCAATAAAATTCCCCATACTTTCTATCTATGCTGCAATGGAGCGCCTTAAGACACGGCAGCAGCTAAACAATTGCAGTTAGCCTGTTTCATATGAGTTAAAGGCGAAAATGTGTCTCGGCGTGAAAAACGTGTTGGCTAAGCGTTTGCCCAAGCCCAAGGTGCTTAAGCTGCTACCCTAGGCTATTATTGCAAGCAGTCAGGCAGGCAATCCTCTGGCTATTAGAGTGCCAGCAAAATAACACGCATACGCAGTGTTGTACGCCCCACACACACACACACAGAGAGAGAGAAACACACTTAGCTGGTGTTAGATACCCAACCCGTTCGGCCTTTCAGCATTTTTTATTGCGTTTTTGCACTTTTGAAAATGCAATGAATAAAAAAAAACTTAAAAATAAAATAAAAACACATAAACTGGTTCAGTTTTTCGATGCGTGTAGAATTAGATTCAAGATTTGGGTATTGAGTATATTCAGAGATTCGAGATTTGAGATTCGCGATCGTCAATTGCGCAAATTGGCAAGCGGTATTAAATCGCTAAATTTATGAATATGTGTTGGCAAATTTTGAAATGTTTACGCACGCGGCATGTACAACATGCATTTCGATTTTCAATGAGCGACAAACAATCTAGATAGACAAATACACGCACACACACGGCCACAGGTCGCTACAAAGTTGAGCTCATATGGCTGCAAAAATAGGCGACGTGAAAATATTCAAGTGAAATCTAGATTTTTCAATTAAAATACCCTGATGCTGTGCAGCGGGTGGAACAGCAGCTGCCGGCGGGTGCAGTGGGTGGTGCATTTGAGGGAGAAGCAACAGCAGCTGTTGCAGGAGCAGGAGCTGTATTCGTCGGCTGTTGGTTGTCAAGCGGATTTCGTCATGATGTTAAGTAGGCATCGCTCGATGTATGCGTTAGCCATGGCCAGCCGTGTTAGCCAAGTGCCTGCCCGTTGGCAATTACGTAACGCCCCGCGGCCAGAGCCCGGTGCGTGTGTGTGACAAATGCACGACGAACTAAAACTCGACCAGTCGCAGCCGAAGTAGGTTAAAATTGCAGCTGACTAGCCGTTGGAGTATTGCAGTTTGTAGTTTCGGACTTTGCGTATTGGTTTGCAAATGCAAAAATTAAAATTCAATCAAATTGCGAAAGCCCGAAAATCAAAAATAAAATCAAATAAAAATATACCTATATATATGTATATAAAAAGAAAACGCCAAACGGTCAGACAGATAGACTCAAGACTCAAGACTCAAGCAAGCAGCCAGAGCCTGAAACATGTTTCATGTTCAATTAACAGGCCCAAAAAATACAAATAAAATAGAGAAAAACACAGCCCAATACCAACGACAGCCTTTCACTCGGTACACGCTGCGTATGCGTATTATTCTCCATATTGGTGCGATAAAAAATCACATCATGACACGAAATACTTAATTGGTCCATAAGGTTTATCGCCTGCCGGCCAACTGGCATCAGCATACCTTCTGGTCTGGCCCGATCTGGTGTCTGGTCTGGCCAGCGCTGCTCCGCTGCGGCCCGCATGGACTTCTAATTGAAATGTCAACGCGTGTGCTGCTCAATCAATTTTCCAGCTCTGCTTATGGTCAGCCGTCGGTTTGCCTAGATCGCCAAGATTTCACATATCGATTCACAATATTGGCGAGCGCTTTTAATTGATTTGCACGTTGCATGCGGTGTCAGCCGCAAGTCAGGGACAAACCTGTGGCAGCTCGGACTGAAATGTGAAATGTGCTGTGGCGACTCCTAGACAGCTAATTAAAAACTATATTTGATAGGTATTTGCATTTATTTATGTATGCTAACTGCCGAAATTGGCCATGTCTGGCTAACAATTGACAGCTTTTATATCCTGAATTTTGACTGGGATTTTATTTTATATTTAATTATATAATCAATTTGTCGAAATATAGGTATGGCTAAAATTGTAATCTTATATTTTTTGTAATATTTTATTTATTTACTACAAATTAATATTATTTATTTTTTAATTTATTTCCTATTAAATATAATAAATTAATATAATAAATATTTTTAATATTTCTCTTTCGATTATAATATTAGTTAAATAAAATTTTGCTGTTATATACAAAATTTGTAAAGAACATTTATAGAAAATTAATAATAATAAACTTTAGGTATATTTTATTTCTAAGTAAACACAAATATTACATCAATAAATAATTATTAATAAACAATATTTGTTTTTCTAATTATTTTTTATTTTTGTATTACTTTTTATGATGGTAAAATTAATCAATCTTCATGCAGCTATTCTATATTAAATGGGTTCACAACTCATTACAAGACAATAGAAAATAGTTATGGGCAGCAGTTAGCGAACACGCCCGCGCGCGATTTGTGCGCGTTTTAAAACGCGGCAAAGTGACAAAAGTCACAAAAGTGACCTTAATTGCCAACAAGTCAACACTTGGTCATATCACTAGCTATTCTATTAGAAACATGCACATGCCAGTATGTGCGTGTGTGTGTGTGTGTGTGTGTGTGTGTACACACACATATAACGCCTTTTATCTAACTAATGCACAATCAAGGCCCCAGGCACGCACAGACAGAGACAAAATTTACTGATAGCGACATTAATACCACAAAATTGTAAATTTTCTTTTATTTTTATTTTTTACTCATTTTTTTTTTCGGCTTGCCGAGCAAATTGCGTATGAATTTTAAAGTTGACTGCATTTTTGCTGCGGCTACACGCAATGGTCGCGATTAAAATCTAAATCAAATTAAGTCGCTTTAAAAGCATATGCAAAAAAAATAAAATAAAAAAATAAATAAACTTGGCCAACAATGCAGCAGCAGCAACAGGCGCAGCAGCAGCAGCAATCAAGAGAACTGGGCATAGAACGCACCACGCGCACTTTTTGAAGCCGAGGCGTTTCGCTATGATCTAATAAAATGCCAGAGCCCCAGATCAGCGCGAAGGTGGGGCCAAAAGCCAATAGACATTGCAGGTTGCAGCGAGAGAACTCCATAACAAAGAGAACTGCCAACTGCCAGCAGCGAGCTGCCAACTGCCAGCAGCGCAGTCGAGCAGTCATCAATTTTTCTTCAGGCAGTCAGCCCGCTGCAGTCTCTGACTTGAGTTCGACTTTGCTTTTCCTAACTGCAATATTTTTGCTGCTGATTTTCTACTCGTTTTTCCAAGCCGCTTTTGTGGTTGTTGTTGTTGTTGTTTGATTTTTCTGTCGCTAAACTGGTGCGTGGCTGCTGCGCATGCGTGTGAGCCAAAACTGACCGAACGTATATAAGCGATTATAGGGCCGGGCTGGCCAACAGTCAGCCGCGTTGCTCTACATCGAGCGTGCGTTGCGTGTGCCGTGTGCCGATATTTCGAATACGTATCAATACGATATTGAGTATACGCACCAACGAAGGACATTCATCGTGAATTACCGTTGCATTGCCACAAGGATTACGATTCGATCGAACCGATTTGTGAAGTAGTATTTTAAAAACACAGTTAATATAGTGCGCTCAACTATATCAGAACGTTTTCATAAGTGCAATACCAGTGAAACTATGAAGGTGGGTCGCCAACAGCAAAAGGACTACAACTTATTGCTAAAAATAAATTAAACTATGGAATATGCTGAAAAGAGCGAGTCTAAAAAGGCTGCCTATGGACTTTATGTATTATTTTTTAAAGAACAAGGAGTGTTCTCGTTAAGAGTGCAAGACTGGCATTAGTTTTCATTCAAAATTAATAATATTAAAAAATTAATTATTAAAATTGAATTGAGCTTATGCATGTTAAGCAATTACTTACAATTGGCTGGATAACTCAATTTCAGCGGTTCCCTAAACAGGATTACTTAAAATCTAAAAAATCATCATCTTACATTAAATGGTCTGAGGATCGTGATGAGAATTAAATTTTTATTTTTATTTTTTTTTTTTTTAAGTTTTTATTTAAGTCATATAACATATTAGAAATGTACAATATTTAGTTTTCTTATTTTAATTGAGTTTTCAATTATTACGTATCAAAAATTTGAATTTTTATTTATTAGTTTGTTGTGTTTTGTATTTATTTAATATCATAAATTTGTAGATTGCTTTATTTATTTTATTTTTTTTTTCTTTTTTTTTAACTGCATTTTGTATTTTGTTATATTTATTTTATTATTTTTTTTTTAATTTTATTTTATTATTATTTTTAAATTGATTTATTTTTATTTTTGTTTTCTTTTACATTTCATTTCAATTTATATATACTAAAGACTTGGTGTAGTAATAGTTAATTGTTAGCAATTTAAATTTAAATTTTTCGCTTTTGTTATACATTCATAAATTATTTAACTTGCATAGCAGTCTAAAAACAAGTCTATATTAACCAAAATGTATTTATTTTTTAAGAGAAGCCAAAGAAAACAAATCAATTTGTTTGTTAATTAGAGTAAAGATAAAATTGAATAAACATTATATAAAAACCTCAGCGCTCGCATTAGGTAAAAAGTTGGAAAGAAAGCCATCCAATAGTTTTACCTCTGCAATAAATTAAAAAAATATATTTATTTTTACCTAGTGCCTTCTATAAGTTGTGTCTTTATAAATCTGTTTCCTCTCCTCGTTCACAGCTTCGACTCCTTGTGCTGCTGTGCGTGCTGCTCGGCTCAGCACTGGCAGAACCCTCGCCCACAATCGCGCCGCCGATTGTGCCCTGCATTCATGCAGGTGGTGCCGCTGGCTACTCGTATGCGCCGCCAGCTGAGGTCAAGTTCTCCATAACGCCCGGCGTAACCAAGTACAGTCAAACGCCCGCCATTTCCAGCTACTCCGAGAATGGGAAACTGTTGCAATCGTCTGTGGGCAGCGGCCTGGCTTCGTATGAGTCCACCGCTGGACTCTCGGGCTACTCGCAGGGCGGTCTCACGCAGATCAACAAGTATGTGGCGCCCGTACAGAAGACGCTGTTCACTCCCTCGGCGGAATACGGTGGTCCCGGAATAACCTATGCCGATAAGTCGCCGGCTGCCAAGTACGCCACGGTGGTGCCCTCTGGCATTGAGCTGAAGAGCTTGGTTTCGCCAGCCCTAACCAAGACGGTGCTGACGGCGCCCAAGCTGGTGGGTGGCTACCTCCCACCTGCGCCGACCTTGACCAAGGTGTCCACCTACTCCTCGCCCGGCTACACTTACAGTCATTCCACTCCGGGCATTTCCAAGTCGGCTACCTACACATCGCCCTCGGCCTCCAGTGGAGCATACTATGCCCCGCCGGTGACCACCAAGGTGGAGACTTATACCTCCCCTGGCTACACCTACTCCAAGGCCACGCCTGGCTTCTCCAAGGTGGAGACCTACAGCTCACCCGGCTACAGCTACGCCCAGGCATCGCCAGGTGTTGCCAAAATAGCCACCTATTCGCCTTCCATTTCCTATGCTGCGCCTGCGCCTGCTCTCAAGCTGGCCACCAGCTCGTCCCTGTTCTCTTCACACGGCTCCGGCTACTCGGCCAGCTATGCGCCCGCTCTGACCAAGACCTATTTGCCCGCAGCGCCCGCCATTGCCACCCAATATATATCCTCACCTGCCAAGGTGGCCACCTATGCCTCAGGTCCCCTTAGCAAGCTGAGCACCAGCTATGGTGCCAGTGGCTCAGGCGCCGTCTCCCATCAGTATGTCTCCAAGCCCGCCGTGGCTACCTATGCAGCTGCTCCTGCTGTCAGCAAGACTGTCAGCTATGCTGCTCCTGCCGTCACTAAGATATCCAGCTATGCTGCTCCGTCTATCTCCACCTACTCCTCAGCTCCTTCAGTAGCTAAGGTGGCGACCTACAGCCAAGCTGCCGATGTCTCCCATCAGTATATTTCCAAGCCCATCGTCGCTGCCTATCCGGCAGCCGCTCCAACTGTGGCCAAGGTCGGCTATGCCGCTCCTGCCGTCAGCTACGCCAGCAGTGGACATGGCGCTGTCTCTCATCAGTACGTGTCCAAGCCAGCGCTGGCCACAATCTCTGCTGCTCCGGCGATTGCCAAGGTGGCATCCTATGCAGCTCCAGCTGTGGCCACCTATTCTGCCGGCCCGGCTATCACCAAGGTCTCCTCAAGCTATGGCAGCTCTGGCCTTGGCGCTGTCTCCCATCAGTATGTGTCGAAGCCCGCCGTTGCCATCTCGGCTGTGCCCAAGGTGGCCAGCTATGCACAAGCTGTGGCTACCTATTCCACCGGTCCAGCAATCTCAAAGGTGGCCAGCTATGCACCTGCATCCATATCCACCTACTCTGCTGCTCCGGCTGTTACCAAGGTAGCCACCAGCTATGGCAGCTCTGGTCTTGGCGCCGTCTCCCATCAGTATGTCTCCAAGCCCGCTGTGGCTACCTATGCAGCTGCTCCTGCTCTCACCAAGACTGTCAGCTATGCTGCTCCAGCCATCAGCACCTACTCCTCAGCTCCTTCCCTTGCCAAGGTGGCGACCTACAGCCAGGCAGCTGATGTCTCCCACCAATACATTTCCAAGCCATCCACAGTGTATGCTGCTGCTCCAGCGGTTGCCAAAGTCGCTACCTATGCAGCGCCTGCCGTATCCACCTATTCCGCTGCTCCAACCATCACCAAGCTGGCCACCAGCTATGGCAGCTCTGGCCATGGCGCTGTCTCCCACCAATATGTGTCCAAGCCCGCCGTGGCGACCTATGCAGCTGCTCCTGCTCTCACCAAGACTGTCAGCTATGCTGCTCCAGCCATCAGCACCTACTCCTCAGCTCCTTCGCTTGCCAAGGTGGCGACCTACAGCCAGGCAGCCGACGTCTCCCATCAGTACATCTCGAAGCCCATAGTTGCTGCTTATCCCGCTGCTGCTCCAGCCATTGCCAAGGTGGCATCCTATGCAGCCCCAGCTGTGGCCACCTACTCTGCTGGCCCCGCTATAACAAAGGTGTCCAGCAGCTACGGCGGCTCAGGAATCGGCGCTGTCTCCCATCAATACGTCTCGAAGCCTGCGGTGGCCATCTCTGCTGCTCCAGCCATAGCCAAGGTGGCCAGCTATGCACCGGCTGTGGCCACTTACTCAACGGGTCCCGTCATCTCAAAGGTGGCCAGCTATGCACCTGCATCCATATCCACCTACTCCGCTGCTCCGGCTGTTACTAAAGTAGCCACCAGCTATGGCAGCTCTGGTATTGGCGCTGTCTCCCATCAGTATGTGTCCAAACCCGCTGTGGCTACCTATGCAGCTGCTCCTGCTCTCACCAAGACTGTCAGCTATGGAGCTCCTGCTGTCGCCAGCTATGGAGCGACGCTCTCCAAGACCTACTTGCCAGCTGCGCCAGCCATCAGCAGTTATGCCGCTGCTCCAGCTCTGACAAAAGTATCCACTGGCTATGGCGGAGCCGGAGCCGTCTCCCATCAATATGTGTCAAAGCCAGCGATTGCGACCATTGCAGCTGCTCCTGCCAAGGTGGCCTATGGAGCGCCAGGCTTAGTCTCGACCATTGGCACTGGATATGCCAGCACGCAGTACGCATCCAAGCCAGCGATAGCTATTGGCGCCGTTCCAGCAGTTGCTCAAGGCTACTCCGCATCCAAACTGGGATTGGGCTTGGGTCTGGGCCTGGGCTACTCCACCTCTGGCCATGGCGCCATCGCCACTCAATATGTGTCCAAGCCTGGTCTGCTAACAGCTCCACTGGGCAAGCTGACAACGGGATCAGCAATTGGCCAAGGCATTATCAGCAGCACAGCCTATGGACTCAATGCGGGTGAGCCAAGGGAGATAATAGGCGATTGGCTGACGTATCTATCTCTATCTCTCTCTCTCTCTCTCTCTCTCTCTCTCTCTCTTTATTTAGGTAAATTAGGTTTGGGTTCGGCTGGCGCACTTAATGGCGGCTACTATGGCGCCATTTCGCTTGGACATGCTGCCGTCTCGCCTGCACTCACCTACCAGGGCGCTCTGGCGCATGGTGCTGGATTGGCGCAGCTGGGCGCACCGCTGGCCGACTATAGCCTGGGCCATGGCATTGGCGCCTTTGGCGCCGGCTTCAATCGCTATGCGCCCAGCGTCTCGGCGCTGAGTGCTCAGGCTCCTCTTACGCCCGCTGCTTATCTGAAGACCGCCCCAGTGGCTCAGCCGGCGCTGCTTAAGGTTCTGCCAGAGAAGCATCTCGAGCATTTTGTAAGTCAGGCAGATATTGTGGCGATTGGCAAATTCTATATATTGACTGCTTCACAGGATGCGCATCCACGTTATGCCTTTGAGTATGCGGTAAATGATCCTCACACTGGCGACAACAAGCATCAGCGCGAGGAGCGCGACGGCGATGTGGTCAAGGGCGAGTACTCCCTGGTCGAGCCCGATGGCAATGTGCGCACCGTCAAGTACTATGCCGACTGGGAGACGGGCTTCCATGCCGAGGTCATCAACAGTCGCGATCAGGGCAAAATTGTGGCCAAGCGTCAGACGGCGCCCAAGTCGTGAGGTAAGTTCGATGGCCAAACTATCGATAATTGCACACATCACTATCGAGAGCTATTCAATTATATTTCGATAGCGCCTCCCAATATGCATCAGTGACTTGTTTTGTTTGCCAGCACAACTGTAAATAGCCTACGATTCAATTTTCTTCTCATTAAACATTAAATGTATTTATGTAAATCCCACAACAACAACAACACCACTACGACAACAACAACAACTACGACAACAGCAACAGAATGCAATTAGCAAAACGTAATAGAGAGCTGCCATCTTGCACCGGCACATAACCGTTATAGTTGCCCATTCTTTTATCTATCCGTCTCTTTCTTGCTCATGTGATAAGCGTTTCCACTTGGAGTGCTTGAACTGCTCTCTTCTTCTCATTGAACTGCGCGTTCTCATGGATGTCACACACACACGCACACACGTACACGCACACATCCAAGCACACATACATATGTTTATACGTGTATATATATTGTGTAAATTGTATATTGTAAATTGTAAACTGAATAAACAACACTTAAGAACGCTACAGTCGAGAGCGCTCGACATTGGAATTATTTGTAGATTTTGTTGATTTCATAAATAATAAAAAATCAATCTATTACAATATATGAATTCAATATATATTTTATATATATATTTAATATTTTTTTGAGGGAATAAGAACTTAACCAACTAACAATTAATTCTTCGAATTTTAAAATATTTTACACATTTAAGCTTTATATTTCAAAGCAATATATAAAAAAAATGCAAAAAACTTAGTTCCGCATGTCTAAATAAAATTCGGCAATTGCTAAAAAATTAATAATAAATATATGTATATTTCATTAAAAATAAATGATACCACAAATTAATAATATTGGCTTTAATTAAGAAAATTTTAATAATTTTACCATATCTTTTAGATTTACAAAATTTTAAAAGAGATTTTTATTGAATTAAATTAATCATGCAGTAAATTAAAAATTCTCAATTCTTAAAACTATACTCTAATAAATTCTGTAAAATTACCTAATTCAATAAAATTCAATTTAATTTTGTTATTTTATGTGAAGAATATTAATTTTATAATTACGAAAATCCGCACAATTTGGCTTTATTTAAAATAATAATAATTAATATGCAAATTGGTTTTTAAAATATAAATTAATTTAATATAATATATTATCATATTTCTAATCAACTTAAATAATATAATTATTAAACAGTCAGTGTAAACAAAAAATTCTGACATCGATAAGTTTAAATTAATTTTAATATATATTTATATAATACATATATAATTACTCAGCTTTTTATCAGTGAGAGTAGTTGGATATAAGTTTATCCAAATAATGCATTGACCCATGAATAACGTTTGAAATTTTATTTCCTCAAGAGAGCAACAAAACTCGATTGTTAATTGTTTAATATTTTCGCTATATACTGCAAATTTAATCAGTTTTCGGTTAACAAACAAAACGAACTCTATAATTGTTAATAGGTTTAAGCAGCAAATCACAATAATGTACTATTATTTTCGCCGTAATACAATTGAAGTCTAACACTATATGTATATATAGATGTATGTATATATAAGTTGGCCTATAGGACGCGCCTCAGATCGTCGCTGATGAATAAGCCAAAATCTGTGGGCGCCGCTCGATGTGGATTCTGTGTGCAATAGGCTTGGAAGATATGTCGCAGCAGTCGACTGGCCTGGAGCTTGATTTGGGAGCGACGCTCGTGGCCAGCCGGGCCCAGGTCCAGGTGGGCGAGCAGCCACTGGTTCTTCAAGCGGCGCAGCTGCGCCTCCAGGCGGGCCAGCTCGCCGTTTTGCTCCAGCTGTGGCACATGCAACGGCTCCAGGGCAGCAAAGCTCTTGCAGAGCGCGTTGTCCTGCAGCTGGACGCGCAGGGCGCGCTCCTGGCGCAGCGCTTGGTGCATCATGTTCAGCTCCCGGTTGCAAATGCGCGTCGAGCTGCTCACACAGGCGCTGTCCACCTGCTGCTGTTGCTGGCAATGCTGCTGGGCCAGCTCCAGAGCGGACAGCTTGTCGTTGAGTGTGTTCAGGGCGTGCTGCATGGCCGCCTCCTTGGAGAGCATGGCCTGCTCCAGCTGCTCCAGGCCCTCGGCCATCTGGGTGAGCGTCTGGCAATAGTCGTGGGTAAAGCGATGCACCTGCTTCTCGGCCATCTCCTTGCGCACCTGCAGCTCCGAGTAATCCTGTTGCTTCAGCTTGGCCGAGTACTTCAGTGCCTTCAGCTCCTTGTCCCGCTCGGCCACAGCCAGCTCCAGGCTCTTGACGTCCTCGTAGTGCCGCCTGATTTGGGCGGCGCGCTGCTGCAGCGTATTGGAGCTGGAGTGGCGCACATACTCAGTGTTCACATCTCGGGGCTCCAGCAGGGCGCAGAGCTCCTCGAGCTGCTCCTCCAGCAGCTGCATGCACCGCTGACTGTACGCGTCCAGCTCCCGCTGCTCCGTCTCCTGGGCAGGCGCATATTTGCTGTAGTTCAGGCTCAATATGCGCCAGAGCTTCTCGTGCGCTATGCCCCCATTGGACTCCTTGGTCGCCTCTCGAGCGGACACGCCCAGCATGCTGATGAGCGCGCCCAGGGCCTCGTTGGCTTCCAGTATGCGCTGGTACCGGGCGCACTGCATGCCCGTCCAGGCAGCGGCGGTCTTATTGGAGCCCAGCTTGCGCTGCAGCTTCTTCAGCTTCTGCTTGGCCGCGCAGCTGTGCTCCATGAGCAGCTGCATGCAGTGGAAGGAGGCGGTCTGCTCATCGCCCAGCTGTATGATGGTGTGCAGCATGCCAGCATTCGCATTCACCGAATCCATGCCCGCCTCGTACACCTCAATCAGGGCGCCATAGAGCTGCTGCTCGTCCAGCAGATCCACCAGCGTCTGCGGCGGCATCAGATTCTGGTGCAGCCCATTGATGTAGTGCAGCACTCGGCGTATGGGCTCACAATTCGTGTGCTCGTCCAGCTGACCCGTCTTCAGCAGCCGCACAAACTCATCCAGCTGCTGCTCCTGCACCTCCAGATCCATGCGATAGATGGCCGCGTGCGTGCACAGCTCGTAGTCGCAGTGATTGAGCCCGTAGCGGAACTGCTGCAGCACGAGCTGCAGGCTCTTTAGCAAGTAGATGCACTGCGCCCGGAAGATGTAGCGCTGCACGGAGTAGCCCTCGAAGATGGCATCGCGACCTGGTAGAAGGGAGAGTGAAAGAGAAAAGAGATGTCATGGATTCTATTGCAATATATTATAATATATATTAGGAAAATTGTATTATTTTTTAGTAACTACTTAATAAAATGCTTATAGAAGCTTTATCAAGCTTCTATGTATATAATATATTAATTTAATAAATCAGAAATATTAATCGATGAAATATTTATATACATATATTCTATTTGCAAACAAGAAAGATAAATAAAAAACAAATAAATAATTAAAAATAATAATAATTTAATAGTCTATACAATTGGGAAAGAATCTATGGAATTTTTTAAAAATTGAACTCTGGTATAATTAATTTATTTGGCAATTGGAATTTATATTGAACTTTAATACATTGATGTCAGCTTATTTTTATTAGCTCTCTTGTATCATTGAACAAATTATTTCACCAAAATTTAATTAATATTTATACCAAACAGAATTCCATTTTTAAAAGATCCACGGATAAAGATCATTAAATAAAACTAAAAATTAATTCTTAAAGTTCCATAATTAATACATTAACTAAAAAGAATAAAATAAAATCAGTTTCTAAAGGTCGTTTTACAATATTATTATAATAGAATCATATGATTATGATAGAATGATCAAGGATAATTAATAATAAATAATTACTTAAAATGGAAAATATATATATATGGAGAATATATTATTTATATATATTTTAATATAGCTATATTTTAATATATTTTTATAATATATATTCCAATTGGCAATTCAGCTAAATCAGTCTTATTAGAAGTGTGCTAACCAATTAGTTATCCCAGCCCCAACTTACCGAACTCGCAGGCATTTGGAAACTTTTCGTTGATGGCCTGGCAAACGATCTCCAGCTTGTCGTTCATGCGCTCCAGCAGCAGCATGACCAGCACCACGTCGTGCTCGCCGCCACGCAGGAGAAACTGCTCGGGCACAAAGGCCAGCACGTGCTCCAGATGCTGGCGCTCGAGTCGCAGCTCGACAGCCTTGAGCTGCTGCTCCAGTGCCCGTCCATAGGCCTTGCTCACGCTGAAGATGTGCTGGTAGTCGGCCAGGCTCTGCTGGGAGGTCTCCTCCTGCTGCGATTCATTGGCGCTGCTGAAGTCCTCGATGGAGAGATTGCCGCCGTCGGATTTCAGCTGCAGCTGCTCCTGGAGCTGACGCACCAGATCTCTGAACTTCAATATAGTCACATCACGATCGTAGAGGCTTTCCACAGCGGCGTTCTTCTGCTGCTCCAGGGACTTTACCTGTCCGCTGAGCTTGTCGATTTCGTCCCGCAGATCCGATTCCAGCTCCTGGTTGCTCTCGATGAGCTGCTCCTGTATTTGTTCCAGTGCCTCCAGCTCGGACACCTCATCTTCCAGTAGCTTCACACGCTCCTCCAGCTCCAGCTTGAGCGTGGCCAGCTGCGTGACCATGGACTCGGCGCCCAGTGAAGCATCCACCTGCTCCTTCAGGTCCATCAGCTGCATTTCCATTTGATCGACGCGTCGACTCTGCAGCTCTTTGATGCTCTTCAGCTCATTGATTTCCGAGTGTTTCGTCTCCAGCTCCTTGTGGGTGCGCTGCGCCAGCTGCTTCTCATGGGCCAGGGTGTCTCGCAGTCGGACCACCGTCTCTCGCAGTCGCTGGTTATATTGCTCGAGGCGCAGGAACTCGCCCGTCGACTGCAGCGTCGTCGTGTTCGTCGATTGCTTCTCCGTCTTCTCCAGGCATTGGTCTTCGTTGTGGTCCTGCTCCTGCTCGGCACGCAGTATTTCCAGATCCAGGCTGAGCTCATCGTTGCGCTCCTGCAGTGCCTCCAGCTCCATTTGCAGCGTCTCCAGGCGCTCCTCGGCCATCTCCTTGTCCAGCGTCAGCAGCTCCACACTGTCGGCCACATCGTCCAGCTCCCGCTTGTATTTGGCCGTCAGCTCCAGCGACTCGCGCTGCTCGTGCCGGCAGCGCTGCAACTCTCGCTGCAGCAGCACCTGCTGCGTCATGATCTGCGACTTGAACTCCAGCAACTGTTCGTTGTGAATCTTGATGCGCTCCAGCTCCAGCAGCTTCAGCTTGTCCTCACTCCTCTGCACGCGCAGCAGCTGCAGCTCCTCGCGCAGCTGCCGCAGCTCAGCGCTCTCCATAGGTGGCGCCACAGTGCTGGGCGTGCGCAGTGCCGGACCCGGCGTAAACTGCGGCCGCAATATCTCCAGAAATCCAGCCTCCACAAATGCAGCGGGCGCCATCCGCTTCACACTGCTCGTGGGGCTCATGCTCGTCTTGCTGCGCTTGGGCGCCAGCGCCAGCGGCACGGGCATGGCCAGCGTCAGCTGCGCCGTGGTGCTCTGCGCCTGTGCCGTCGTCGGCTTGGGCTGACTGATGCGCGTCGGCCGCAGCTGTGTATAGGATGTGGAGCGTCGCTGATTGCAGGTCATGGCCGGTGGCGTCAATACGGATGACTGGGCAGCGGCCCGCTCGAACTGAGCTGGAGTTGCCTGGGACTGAGACTGTGGCTGGGACTGAGACTGAGACTGAGACTGAGCCTGAAGCTGGGACTGAGCTTGAGACTGAGTCTGGGTTTTAGCCTGAGCCTGCGCCTGTTCCTGGGACTGAGCTTGAGACTGAGGCTGAGCATTAGCTCTAATCTGACTCTTAGCTTGATCCTGAGCCTGCGCCTGTGCCTGTTCCTGGGACTGAGTCTCGTCCTGTGTCTGAGCCTGAGACAGAGCCTCAGCTTGGGGTTGGGCTTGAGCCTGAGCCTGAGCCTTAGCTCTAGTCTGAGATTTAGCGTGAGCCTGAGCCTTATCCTGATCCTTAATCTGAGTCTTAGTTTGAGCCTGAGCCTCTTCCTGGCACTGAGCCTGAGCCTCTGCTGCTTTACTCTGTGTTTCCTTCTTCTGCTGACCGATCTGTGTGGAAGTTGAAGTCTCAGGCTGCATTGCCCTCTGCTGCTTCACCAAAGGCGCTGGCACTGGCACTGGCTCTGGCTCTTGCTCTGGATCTGGTTCCTTTAATTATTAATTATTATTATTACATTTCACTTTTCAACATCTCAAATATATTCTTTGCTTACCTTTGGTGGCGCTTGTGGTTGCAGCTGTGTGGAAGTTATCCAAGTCTTGGAAGTAGTCATGGTAAAAGTTGCATTCTCTGGTGGCCTCCTGCTCAAGCGCTCGGCTGATGAGCTCGCCTCCCTCTGCAGAGTTTGAAATTAATTAATTAACAGTGGCATTCCATATGCATGTGTGACATAGCTCAGCTCCACTCCACTCCGCTTCACTTCACTCTACTCCACCCACCAGCTGTTCGAGTGACTCACCTGCTCTTCTGCTGCTGCTGCTGCTGCCGCTGTCTGCCTGCTGCTGCGCTGCCTACTGTGGGCCAGCTTCAGTTTGTTCGTTTCGCGTTGCATGCTCTCCGTTGTGCGATTATTGTCCTGTTTGCGCTTGAGTTCGTCCACGGGGCCCGAGCCTAGCAACAGCTGCAGCTGCTGGGCACGCACAAAGAGGCCGCAGTTGGGCGCACACTTGAAGTAGGTGCTGCCATGGACAGTGCCATTGTTTTTGCCACGCGGCTCGTCCAGCACAATACCGAACCACTGGCCGCCAGCGAATGTGGTGCGCCCCACATAGGCGACACGGCCGCTAAGTTGATTCTTGCCCGCTACTTGTACACGCTGGCCAAGTTTCGGTTGAGCTGTTGACATATTCGTGCGAGAGCTTACGTCATTTTGGCTTAACGCATTTGCCCGCCGCTATATATCGAGCGATGGCGTGCCTAATCCCAGTTAACAGACCCACACCGGACTGCACTGCAAAACTGATGCGTTCGTCATTTCGTTATTTCGTCTGCCCCACCCCAAAAGGGAGCCAAACGAAGGCGTTGCGCCCACAGCGCAGAATCGTGAACTTTCCGGGTGGTTGCTTCAATCAGTGTGCATACAGCACGTGGCTGGAAACGAGTAAACGTTGCGATTTCTTCGAGTGCTCCGGCTTTTGGAGCAACAGCTCCAGCTCCAGCTGGCAACTGATATTTCGAATTTCGTTAACCGTAGCTGAACACAGCCATAGACTTATACTTAAATATATTTATTTGAAAATATATATAATATATAGCAGTATTTTTTATCATTTGAATTTGAAATTAAAATTTTTATATACATACATACAATGTATATATTATATTATTATATATAAATTATATATTAAATTTATTTAGTGGTTTTTATTAAAGAGGTAAAAGTTACAATTTTAATAATAATAAATAAAAATGTATCTATTTATTTAATACACAACATTTTTTAGATTTAAAAAAAAAAGCTTGTGTATTGGACCATAACTCTCTCATTGGCATATATTTTATAATAAATAAAAAAATTATATAATATATATAATATTATAAACCTAATATCGTAACATCTTGTTTCATGGTTGATACAAATATAATAAATAAATGATCAACAAATATTTTTAAATACATGCATCCCTTGGAAATATTCATACACTGCCATAATTTATTCAGTACATATATTTATTATATTTTGATAAATATATAAATAAATTATGCCGTGATTTCATATATACATAGTAAATGAATGCTAAAGACAAAAACAAAAGAAAGAAAAAACAATTAACAATTAAATAATCAAACGAATATGAAAATTATATTTAATGACGCTTCAGCGTCTCACAATAACAGCGGTATTCAAAATAATAAAAAAAGGATCAGCGCAGACTGTAAATTTTGTGCATTGGGTTGAGGGGGGAGATTTGAGTTGCTTTACTTCCTGGAGCGCTTCGAACCGGTCTTAGAGCTTTTATTCTGCAAAAATTTATCATAGCAATTCTGCTCTTCGGATAGCATGGCAAGAATGAGCTCAGCATGATCGCTTGGTATTTGTTCCTAAGCAAAAATCACACATAAAATAAATTGAGAATTTATGAAGTCTGCAGGAAATTTACCTCAGCGTCTGCAGGAAGCTCAAACTCCCGCCTGACCATGTTCAGCATAGCCTCCGTTAAAAGTGACACAGACTGGGAGTCATTCGATTCGGTACTGGAAACCTGTGATGGAGTCGTGCTATGTTGGCTTCTTTGGCACTCACTCTTTGTGACTGGCTCGAAGTCCTTGAGCTCGTTGGCCAGTATATTGATGTGTTCCATATTTAGTTGGTTAATGGGACGCAGATCGCTGCCAACCTCACGTTGACAGAATGGGCAACTGCCGATGATCTTCATTTGCTTAGCCATTTTTATGAGATTGAGAGACAAACAAAAAATATTCACACGAATTTTATGATTTGAAAAAATGTTCCGTTCGTTTTTAGGTCTGAGCGCGTCAAATATCTAGAGTTATATGATATGAAAATTATGTTTCAGTGGGGATACCAGCTTCGTTGCCAGCAAATATTTTCATGGCCTACTAGGCTACTGAGATGTTCACATTATCTCATTTTTTTTTACCTTTACTTATAATAATAATAACAATTTAGTAATTTAAAACTATTGCGAATTTATTGTTACTGATTTACAGATAGAGGCCGAAAAATATGACTACGGACTAACAGCAAGTTCCTCTTGTGCCTAGATTAATACGTGTGGCCAAAAAGTGTGGCAGAGAAGCAGATGCTCTAGAAGACGTTGCGGCAAATGGGACAGGTGGATTTGCTGCTGGTGGTGAACCATTTGTACTGTAAGAGAAACGCAAGAGTTATACATTGAGCTGCAACTGAGGCTGATGCTCGTTGAGCTCACCAAGCAGGGTCCGTGAAACTTCTTTTTGCATGTCTTGCACGTCAATTTGGGCAGCTGGCAGGTGTCCTGGTGTATGACCGTATAACAAACATAACACTCCTCCACGCCCTCGAATTTCTTATCCAAATTGTTTTTCCACATTGTGAGACCGTCATTGATCGTGCCATTCTGCAAAGCAATTCAATTGAATACTCAAATCTATAATTCTTATATTACCAGCTCCTCACTCACCTGATGCGTCAAAAAGATGGTCAGCTGCATGCCAACATTGCGTGAATTGGCCCGACCGCCAATCTGCTTGCCGCACTCGACTTTAACCGCGCCGAGCGGATAGTTGGGCGCCAGCGTAATGACCAGCTCCATGCGCGCCTCATCAATGGCGTAGACGGCCAGAACCTCTCGAGTGGACATGTGCACTGTCACCTGTAAAGCAAAACGAACGAAATACATTAATAATAATAATAATCAAAGAGCTCTGTGAAATTTACTATCTACATATATATGTATATAATATATATTTCTGCCGAATTTCAACCAAAACCGAACCCCAACCAATCGAACGACCACAGATGACAAACGATCGTGGCGCCATCAAGTCAACTCGCTCGAGAATAAATGTACTCATTGCTCTTGGACCTACAGTGCCGGACGACTCCTATACACCGATCGTAAACGAAGCACGACACATTTATCGCAGCTACAGAATGGTGCCGCTGGAAATCTTTCGAGCCGTAGTGATTATTCTGTTGCTCATCAGCATCATTGTGGTGTTTGCGTTGCGGATGAGCATCGAGGAGAGGGTCTAAATGGGTTCAGATGAAACGGATGCCCACCTGCATGTTCTCGTGTTTTTCCTTGCGATTAACGATTGCCTTCAGCTCCTCAGTGCAGATCAGAGAGCTCACATAGTTCGTTGTTAGATTGTCCACAAAGTTCTTCTGTCTGGATTGGCAGGTGTTCCACCATTTGCGCACCACGGCGGGCAACTTGCGCAACACTTCCGTATACAGATGGCAGGCATATCGTTCCACTGACAGAGTTGGATCTGTTCGAGTACAAGAAATGAGATTTATCAATATTAGAGCAGGCCACTACAAGCATCAGCCATCACACACACCACACAAACTCATGTCAAACTCATTCCAAATATTTCGTTTGTGATATATATTGTATATATATATATATATTTTTTTTTTGTCGTATCGTTCAGTTAATAATATTAATTATGGAAAAGAAACCGTTGAACTTCTATGAAATCGCCAGCGAGGCACCAGCTCGCGAGATAAGGCTGGAGAATGAGAAGAGCGTGGCGGAGGCGGTCAACTTCAATACGATGCTGAGCGATCAGCCACCACAGCCGATTGCTCCGCCCAAGATCGACGACATTACGGTGGCCGATGAGTTGAACGCTCGCCTGGCCATGGTGCAGCTGCGACCGGATCGGGCGAAGCGCATACCGCGCCTGGTGAAAACGGAAATACCCTCGCCGCAGCATATGTACAAGTTCTTTTGTGTTTGCCCACGCTACCATCCGTGCTATGTGCCCTGCCAGCACACCGGTCAGATAATCATCGACCGTGATATGCTGAAGCGTGAGGAGCACACGTGCTTTTTGGCCACACCCAAGAAGAATTTCCTCTCGCCCCAGCGACTGAAGCAGCCCCGCTATATTACCAAAAAGATCTACGTGCCCATATGTACGGCTCGCATGGAACGCTTGGCCATTCCGCATCCAATGCGAGTCAGGGACACCTACAAATATTTCAGGCACATTCTCTCCCCTCGCCATTTGGCAGCGCTGCAAGAGCAAATGAAGCCGAAGCCCGCGGTCGAGACGATGTCCCTGGAAAAGGCAATGGAGTACTTGGAGGAGGAGATACGACAGCGTCGTGCCCTCCGGAAGAAGCACAAACAGCGCTGCACTGGTCTCAAGAAGCTCATCATTGAGCGCCAACGCAAGCAGATGATGAAAATCATTTGCGTACTCTTCGAAGAGATGAAGGACTTCCTGCTGAACGATCAGTTCATCATCGATGAGCAATCGCCCCTCTCCTCTGTCATATTGGAGAGAATCAAGGAGTTTACTGGTGAGTCGAAAGTTATTCCCAGATTGAATATTTGCTACTGTCTATATATGTACACATGTTTTATCTGTTGCAGAGCAAGAATTCTATACAACAAGCAACTTGCGCGACTATCAGCGCATTTTGGCCAACAATCTGACCGTTTGGATCAACAAATTCATATCGAACTTGAACATATACATGGCACCACAACAAATACCAGTGGCACGCTCGATGCACGGCGAAAATGACGAGACATTCGTGCCCGTTACCGATTACATTTCACTGTCGGAGGAGCAGGCCGACGAAATGCAGGAGGATCTAGATATGGGCATAACAGAATATGAGACCTTTGGCGAGGATTATCGTTTTGATTTACCTTCGGAAGAGACGCTCATAAATTAAATCAATGCTGAGACGAGAGAGAGAGAGAGAGAGAGTGCAGAGAGAACTACTTACTTATCAGCTCCAACCAAGTTAACTCTTTGAAGACACCATTGCTGTGTACTTTGGCGCTATGATTCTTCAATATGTCCACTGGCATGGCACGGAACAGGAAATGTAGAAAATTCTATATAGTGCATAAACAAATTTATAGTGTGTTAGTCCTAAATCGATAGTAAATTATAATTGCCGTGAAAGCTCTTACCTCCTCGTAATGATTCTCGTTCAGCCAGCTCGTGTAGACAGAACGCAATGCGACTGGCGACTTGGCGCAGCAATTTATTATACAGTCCCAGATTAGCAAATAGCTAAAGCCATCGTCTCTATCGATTGGCTCCAGATCGTCCAGTTCGGTCACCTTAAAGTTGAACTCTGGCAAATATTTGCGTATGAGTGCATCATATCGATTCAGGTAGTCCTCAAAGCGATTGAGGAAATGCCACTTCGAAATCGTCGAAGAGCCCTCAATGTTATCGCTTTGCTTATCATTTAGGTCAATGTCGTCGGCCACGAAATATGGCGTCAGCTGCCGAATAGCGTGAACCGCATTCATGCGAACGAAATGCCAAGAGTCGTGCAGCTGCTTCAGCAGGAAATTGCAGAGCTGATCCAGAGACAGCGTTGAGTGTGGCACTTTGCAGAACTGAACAAAAGAGATCGTATTCAAGTCGGCGTTATATATAGTTATGATTGAGTCTAGCTACCCCATAAATAAATCTGTAGTTCACCAGCTCCAGCGAAGAAACTACGCGATACAACAAAGCCCTGTAGCAGCCACGAAATTCGGGCTCCACGTCTGCCTCGTGAGTCAGCTTATAAAAGGACTTGAAGAGCACCACATTCACCTCCCTGGCAAAGAGACTCTCCCACTCCTCAATCATATTCGTAAGCATTTGTGTTGAGCTCTTCTCTTTCTCGAATTGTACAAAACTACTGAACGTTAAAAATAGTTCAAACACAGCCACAATGAAGAAGGATGTCTGCCAAATAGAGAAAATTGTGTGTTAGCTAAGACAGGCATATAAAGCTAGCTATAGTCTTCTCACCTTTGGATCTCTGTAATTTGCTATCGATTTGGAAACTGTAAGCACCCAGGATCCAAGCCCAATGCGAATGGTATCCCAGTTTTTAATCGACAGCTCATAGGGAAACCGTGATATGCACTCTCTGAGGAGCTTAATAATTTCCACAGTGTCTATCACTGCCTGATATGGTTGATTAAGTAATTCGCTGATTAAGTAAAAGTGAGCTTAATACAAAATATTATCAGAAATAAACATATATAAACCTACACATTATGGTGGAACAGCTCTTTCGTTGAGCTCTGTAGATCGCCAATGTAAGTTATATACTGCAACACACCAAGAATATAATTGCGATCCGATTTCAAATTCACATCAAACTTGAAATTATTGATTATCAAAGAGCGGTAGACAGCTGCTTTTGACCACACATCTTTGGGTTCCTTGAGCATGATGGCGCTATGCCAGTTGAGTGAGTTTTGCGCCAGTTTCGGCAGCAAATGCTGTAAAGAGAAATGCTTTAGTAAATGATTATTGGAAATGCATGGTTTACTTACCTGCATCATTAGCACATATGCGTTAATTGCGTCCTTCGATAGAAACTGATGGGCGAGATCTTCGTGTAGAAGAATCGTGGCGCTCTCCTCAAACGACTTGTAATGAGCAGTGTTAATCAAATAGCCCAATAGACGATAGATTGTGGCGTTATTTTCCTGCAACGCCTCCTGCAGCAGTCGTTCCTTTATGATTTCTACCAACTCACTGGCGTTCCCCAGAAAGCTGCACACCTGCTCGGACAGATAGAGCACCAGGTCCTCACTGTCGCGGTTTATGTATGAGTCGAGATCTAGCCAAACGTTGGCAGCAGAGACCACATGCATGCACTGCAACATCTCAGCAATGAGGCACTCGCTCCAATGCTTCAGCAGATTGGCATTGGGATCACAATAGTCTTCGGTGAGCTCATCCTCGCCTTCATTGGAACCTTCCGTCAACTGTGGACTCTCAACGCGGCAAACCAGCTTGCAGATTGTTGCGAAATTGAGGGCGGCTCGTTTTATGAGTAGGGCGATCTTGTCTACATCAATGCCTGCACTGCTGAAGGGAATGGCAGCGCAAATTGATTTGTGCACTGTCTCCAGGTAAACAGAATGATGTTCGAATTGCAGCACAAGCTCGTCTGTCTTTAGGTCTGAGCTAAGAAACGCCACCAAGGTCTTGTCTATGCGCGACAAACGTTGCGTCTCATCCTCAATGTTCTCCGTGGAGCAGATAATAAATTTGGCAATTGTCTCAGCCATGTCTTGCACGGTACTGACATCGTCCTGGCCGTCTATTACCAGTCCCTCCACAATGCACGCACAGCCATTCAGCATGTCATCGGTTATTTCAATGTCCTTGCTGGAAAGTGCGTCCTGCCAGCAGGTGGTTATCTCCCACAGCGTATCCTCTGACAGATAATCGCCAACTTTCTGCTCCAGACTAAACTTGAACAACTTCAAGAACACCTGCTGCCGCACGTCCAGCGATGAGTTCGCCTTGCTGCATATGACAGGCATTATCTGAGCTATAAAGCTGCCGCACACCTCGACCATATCGTTCTCGGCGATCTGATTCAATGGCTCACACATGGCCATCAATATATTGTCCACAGTTGCTGCATTTATTAGAATATCACCAGTGTCCGTTTGAAAGAAGCATTTGTGGAGCAAATTCAACTTGTCCCGATCGTTATCCAGCACCACCTCTTGGGCAATGCGTGAGATTACCTCGCACGTCTCGGATCTGGCGAGCATTTGCCGCACGGCAGGCTCGGTGCATAGGGGATACGAGAGCAGGCGATGCAGCAGTAAATTCTGTACGCGCTGTTGCTGAATCTGGAATACATGAATAATGAGTCTAGAGACGTTTCCAATTTGATGTAATATTCGCTTTGGCTCACCTTCAGCAGAGTGTCACCAATATACTCGAAGCGCGGCCCAGGGTCGAGTATCGACAGAACCTCAAAGACAATATCCACAACCGACTCGCAGGCATCACCTTTTAACTGCTCCAGAATCGATACAAATTTATCAAGCGTAGCGCGCAGCTCGCCTTGTTCGGTCAAACTCTTGTAGAACTCAGCGTCTGCAAACATCTTGGTCAGCGTTCGCACTTGTCTAATGAAGCGAGCAGAGTTGCTGCTGCTGCTCGCCTTATCTAGGCAAATGCGCACGAGTTTCACAACCAACTGTTTGAGCTCCTTCTGTATGAAGGCGGCCGCATCGTGGGCCTTTTTGGTGGGCGTCGACTGCTGGGAAGTCGGCTCTGCAGCAGCTGTTTCCTCATCCGCCTCGGCAAACTTAACACTCTGCGTTTCCAAGCTGGGATTTGCCACATGCAGATCCTGCACCAAGAGCAGCACATGGGACAGCAGCTGCTCATTGACATCCTCTGCTGCGAGATCTTGAGTGACCAGTTCAAAGATGCGCGTCCAGAACTTGCTCAGCAGTTGCACATACAAGGAGCAGGCGCTTTTATCGGTTTTACTATTGCACTCGCGATCCCAGAACGCAACCAATGCTGACGTATGTTGGAAGAAGTACTTGACATGAACACTTTCGCTGTGCAGCAAGTTACCAATGGGCTCCAATAGCTGGTGCTCCAGCAGCCCATAGCCAAATTGCTCTATTTCAGGAGTACGCTGTGCATTGTTGTTGATCTGCTGCAGCATAAAGCGCAAGCATTCAAAGTACGCATTGTGTATGGTAGAGATCTCCATTTTGCTGAGCGGTGGCGCATGTGTTTCAACGACTGCTGATTTCAGGTCATCGAAGAAGCGCTGATAGAACTCATAAACTTCCAAGTCCTGCAAGCTTTCGGCATTAATTTTCGATAGAAACGGCAACAGATTCGGACAAATTGCCTGAGCATTGCCATTGAAGGCATTGCGCAGCAGCGAAGAGAGCTTCGGTAGCAGCGCTTTGCGTATGTTGAGCGGAGAATACCTGAACATAAGAGAGAGAATATAATTAGAGAACATGTCAATTAACTATTTGCTCTCCAATCGTACCAATCCGCATAGTTACTCTGCAACAGCAAAACGCAGCCCCAAACGTGTGGTGCAACCAGTGGATCTGCATCATCGATTAATTGAAAGCTGGTGGTAATTAACTGTGATTTTTGCGGTGTAAGCACTTCCAGCAATTTAGCACATTGCAGTACATGGTAGATGCAATCAAACCAAGCAGCTCTGCAAAGAGAATGGAAATGTACAACTGTTTTATACTTTTTCTTGGGATAACTACTTAATGGCGGGCAGCTTGTGCTTGGCGAATGTCCAGAACTTTTGGTGAGCCAGCAGCGTGGCTAAGCCTTCCTTCAGCTTCTCCTGCGCTGTCTGAGCTGTCTGCTCGATAAAGAAAGCTAGCACCTTTAAGCTGCCAATGACGACGCGTTGATACTTTTGCTCTGCTTCCTCTGGCTTCAGGCTTTTGCCTATGGACAGCGTGGCCGGCGTGTGGAAGGTCAAATTGCGTACGCAGTACTCAATTATTTCACTTTCGCAATGCAGACATACTTCGCCGGAACGTGCAAAGGTCTCGCGAAATGAATTGCTCGCAATGCTAGCTGCGGGCGCATAGCTGTCATAGCGACTGGCCAGCCAAACAGGCACTATTTGCTTCAGGTATGGGGCCATGGCCCGTTTGCACTTGGAGACAAGCAACTGTTGTACGATCTGTACTTGCTCACGCACCGCATGTTCTACGTCGTTCGCCAGATTGTGATAGAATTTGGGCCACAAAGGCAAAATATTTTTGAGAGCATCCAAATCGGAATCTGTTATGAGCTCATGCAGCTCCTGTAGCGCCTTTTTCTTTGTCAGTGGATCCTTTTTGGATAGCTTACGCAGTATGATTTGGGTCTGTGGACTTATGTTGGCATCGAATATCTCTGGCATTTGTTCAGCGCTGGCAAAGCCAGGAGCAAAGGGCACCAAATTGCCATCAGCTTGAGCTGAGAAACCGACGAATATCGGCGTTGTTGTGCCCAACAGTTCCGCGGTGCGGCTGCTGCTCGACGGCTAATCGCATTATTATGAAATTCAAAAACAATTAGTCATTGTGTGCGTCTCAAGCATGGGTTTTTTACGTACCTTTGCATTGTTTTTGGTGCGAGGCGCTTGTTTCGTTTTTCCACCCATTCTAACACGTTGAAGTAAGCTAGCAATGTGGCCGCACGTAAGCAATTGCAAAACACATAACCGCTCACACAATCACAAGCTAAAATCAGCTGTTTGGTATTTTTATAGCCACGGTATTATTTCGCATATATTAATTTCGAACAAAATTAAACAATGAAATCCATCAAATGAACATATTATTACATATTTTAAGTTACACAATATTTCATTATTCTCTGGAATATAATCTTATTTTCTGAATCCAATAAAATTATAATCTAATACTATCGATATTCTTTTACAAATATCGATAGTCCCGCCATACAACAACTCGATAGATTCCAAGTTGGTTTAGCCGCACGTGTTGCATTGTTTTGATTCGGATTTTATTAATTTAACTGCCTAAAAATGTCTAAGTTTTTATCATATTACAATTTATTCCCTATACCGGATCCCAAAGAGTTTCTGGGCATGGCGGCCGACAAGGAATCGGGAAATGTAATCACTACGCTGGCACGCAATGTTGTTGTTATTTTGAATGTAAGTTGCGATACGTTTAGCATGTAACATTTCAATTAATATTGAGCAAACCACTGCAGATTAGTACCCATAAGCAGTTGCACAGCTGGTCCATGCCAGAAAAGTTATCCACAAAGGTAGTCTACGATCCAAATAGTGAGAAATACGTTGGGGTCTTTGGAAACCATTCGATACGCCTGTGGGATGTGGACACTCCCGATATATCCAAGTGCAAAAAATTAAAGGTTTGTAATTGATTAAATGAGTTAATATTGTTACTAACGAAGTATCCACACAGTTCCAGAAGAGCATTGCGCATGTGGTGTATACAGATGATGAAGTACTCGTTTTATATAGCGATGGCTCCTGCCAGCCGCTTTCAAAAGCCTTGGAGTCTCGGAAAAATCAGAAAGAGGATACGGCCGAGCAGTTAGCTCTTGCCGCCAGCAAAACACTCAGCAAGCCAACAGTTCATACTCTTGAAAATGGGCTGAAATTGCTAACGTTTTTCGAGGAAACGCATGCTACGGGTGAATTTAATCTGATACGACAAGACTTATCCGGTCCCCAAAAACGTGTCTATCCCATAAAGAGGGAGACCGTACGCCTTAGCGGTTACGCTGTCGTTGAAGGCGACAGTGGCCCACAATTGCTGACTATTTGTAAGTAATAACAAAACATAGTAGAAGTACCGAAAACTCAATCTCTCTTATCCGTTTTGAGCAGGGTCCGATAAGCGCATCTTCATACTTAATCTTGGAGAACGCTCCCACGAATCTTCACCGGGTCAATTTGTGTCAACGCTTGCCGAACTCAATGTGGAGAGCAAACTGTCAGTTTGTGGTCTATCGCGGAACTTTGCGGCCATCTACGGCGCTAACTATGGCCAAGAAGGCGCCTCACTGCTTGTCTACAACACGCAGTTTAAGATCGTCAATGCCAAGCAATACTTTAAAGTTTATTTGGATTTCTCCCGTTTGTGGGCACGCGACGAACACATCCTGCTGGCCATGGGCAGGAATATTGCCGCAGTGGAGTATCGCATGAATTCCGAGCTGCTGGTGGATATGCTGGGCTCGCAGTTGAATGAAACACACTTGACGCCCATTGAGCTGGATCATATTAATGAGGAGGAATCCCTAGAGGCGGCGATCAAATTTGCAGGCAGCAGTCGCTATCAGGCAGCAAATAATAAAGTTCAGAACCCTAAGCTGTCGAAGCAACTCTTAGCAGAACTCCCACCTTCCAATGGCAAAACTGTGGCTTTTGAATCACCAGAAATATCGAAGAACGAACTAAACGACATCATCAAACAGCATGTTGATGGGGAGGTGATGCAAGTGGCCAACGGACTGGAGGATGTCAATATTACGCTGATGACCAACTATTTTGATGAGGGGCCACAGAATTTGGCCGTGCAAGCAATAGTGAGGCAATTGGAACGCAGTGGCGCTGGCGAGGAGGAGATCACAGAGAAACTCCTAACGCTTTTCATTAAAACGCGAAACACGGAGCACATTCTGATGTGTGTGCGCCGCTACACAAACATCTCGGAGCATATGCTAGCCTGGTGCTTGCGCTATGCGCTAGACAACATTTCAGCGCCTCTCACCAATGGTGATGCCATGGAAACTGATGACGATGCCAGCAAGCCGATTAATGATGAGCTACTTAATGCAGTGCTCGCCTGCAGCTTCAATTCCACGGCAATCGAGCAGCATCTCAAGCAACGTCTGGAAATGTCGCATGTTCAGCGTCTGCTGCGTCACTTATATGTGCTAGCTACCGATCCCGATGTGCTGCTCGAAGAGCGCCCCAGCCTAGATAATATTTCGCTGGGCAATACGCCCACAGAGCTGCAAGCGTTCCAATGGCTGAGCGCCTTGCTCACTTCACACCTACCTTTGTTGACCATCTCCAAAGATGAAGAGCTGATGGCAATGCTAACCCAGTGGGCGGAACTATTCCAGATCTATGCAAACACTTTGGAGCCACTAGCCATGGCTCTGCCACTGCTCAACAATATTATTGAGCGACACCGACCGAAAGATCCGTACCCCTATCTGTGGTATGGCATTGAGAAAGTTAAGCTTTACTAAATTATGCTAAAGTTGTTCTTAATACAAATTATTGTTAATCGTTAAGCAAATAAATGTAGAATTAAAGCCAAGTACTGGAATTTTTAGTAAAAATATAATAGATGCAATCGAAGCTGGCTCAAAAACTAGTTTGTCGATCAATTTTAAAAGCTAATTCAAGGAGAAGTGCTTCGGTGATCTCTTTCAATCTTAGATCTCAGTTCTTTCATGTTGCAGTTGATAATTAAAATAGATTTAGTATAATCTGATGAAAAATTCAAGGAAAACAATAGATTTCCTTTGGAATATCAAAGGACAGCTCAAGCAGTTTTGGGCACTTCGATCTCTGATCTCATCTGTGCAGCATCTGATCCTCGTGGCAATTTGATCATCTTAAATCTATTTGTAATAGTTTATTACATCTATTCCACAGCAACAGCCTGAGCTTAGAATAACAAATTTGAATGGGATAAAATCTCAGCATTTGACTGCCTTATGCCTCGCATCTTTAGCAAGCGCAGCACAATTATCCGCATCATTAATAAACATGAGTTTTTATGGCTACTATTAAAATGCTTCAAGCCAAACCGCAAGACACATCAATGTGGAGCGCTTAGGCTACTTGTGACCAGCTGCTGCTGCTTCTCCTCCGGCTTCTCTCTGCTGTGGCTGCTTGACTCGGTAATAATCAAAGTTTACCATTATTCTTAGCTCTGGGTGCTGGAGAGCTTCGGGCTGGCATTTGACATGTTTTCATCACGACAATGACAAACCACTTAGTCAATTTCAGCTTCAACTGTGGCTCCGCTCCACAGCGTGGTCGGCACTTTCTCTGCGCCTTTCTCAGATTTGAATCCCCACTTGAGAGCGATGACCAGACAAAAATAAAGAGAGAAAAAAACACAGCCAAAACTACGAAATCAACAAAAATAAATAAAAATTGAGGAGATCAAGTTTAAAAATAGCCAACCGTTTGATTCATTTGGTGTCGATAAGACGTGGGCTCAGCGCAACTCAGCTCAGCTGACTCAGTCTAGGGGCGTCTAACATAGACGCATGGACTTATATGGCATTAGAGAGTTAAGTATTTAAATTACAAGAGCCTTGCCCGCTTGGCGAGTTAAAAGCATCTCTTTTTTTCTCTTCAGTTTTCTTTATTTAGTTTGATTGTAAGCTGAAGATTTATCGCATGCCAGGCCTATATAGGGGGGGAAAAACCTGCTTGTAACGTCATAAAATCGAGATAAATTATTTAATTTTCGATTTCCTAAAACCATTAAGCAAAGGCAGACGCCTAGCTACCCCAAGCTGCCAAGTCATACCAAGAGCGGGAGAAAAGAAGATGCACATGCCAAACGAGACAGACAGAGTGAGGGCGAGAGCAAGAGAGATGGACCAACTATAACCCTTATGTATAGCCAGACTGATACTTCGGGTTCTCTATGTACACATACATACATGCATACCTGTTGTACCTTATATATGGACATATTAAGGTTTTCTTTTTGCTGATGCTGTGCGGACGCTGCTGACCGTTGGTTGCCTTCATCATCCTCTTCTTCTTCTGCTGCTGCTGCTGCTGCTGCATTGCCAAGGATACAGATACAAGTACATATACACACAAGCATACGCCTACCTGTGCGCAGGTAGCGCAGGGCAGGTAACTCTTTGCCCAAGCAAACAGACAAACACACTCACACACACACACACACACGCACACACAAGTGCAGATGCAGATGCGCGTTACTTGTTACAAACAAACGTTAAGATGAGGGAACGACAACGCAACGACAACGACAGCGACTGCGACGACGACACGCTACCCCCAACAACAAGAGCAACAACATTTAAGCAGCGTCATGATCATCAGCATCGGACTCTGGACGAAGGCAAAGGCAAAGGCTAAAGCACAGCAGCCAGCGACCAGGGCTGGGGCGACACAAGAACATTTCAATGCTTTCAATTTTTCATATATATTCTCTATTCTTGCTTTCATTTAAACCATACAAGAATCCTCCTCAACTCACTAACTTAAAATTTTATTTATTTAAATTCTAAACATTCACAGTGAAATGCAAAACCAAATACAATAGATACCCACATAGATAACACATATAACGACTTTACTTTAGTATCTAAGTCAGATCAATTTACATATGCAAAATGAATGATGCCTTGGCAGCTGACTAGGTCGATAAACTTCCAATCTTATTAACCTGTGTTAGGTATCAACCATAATTATTAATGTGAAACAATTCATTTAAAATGATGCAGTACTAGCATTCAATATTTTTAATTAATTAATATACATTTTGAAATAAAAATAAATATATTTAATATTGTATAAATGTATATAATAAATACAACACAACTTAAGCATCAAACGTAAAAATTATTTTTGATTTGATCATTATATATATAATTATTAATTATTATATAAATAATTTGATTCTTGTTTTGACAATTTAAATGTCCTTATATAAAAATAACTAAAAATATTAAATAATTTATAGATTATGTATTTTGATTTGATTTTATTTATATTTAGTTATTTCTAATATATTTAATAGTTAAATAAGATTAATAAATAAGATAATAATTTTTATTTTATATTTGGTATAGTTTTTACAGTCAGAACTCTTTGGAAAAGGGAAACTCAAGTTATATATTTTAAGTTTCATATTAAATATATTTTATTATACTTTTATTTCGAATAACTATTTAAATACTTTGAACTGCATCCCTGGCTAAACCTGACCGATTGCAGCTGCCGCTGCGATGCCCGTGGGCCTCTTTGAAAGCTGAAACGAGTGACTTGGACACCATTTGGCTAGCAATCCGGCCAGGGCCCGAGCCGGTGCCTGTTGCCTGTTGCCTGTACAAGGCAGCTCTCCTTTGTCCGTTCCTTTTAAAAATGTTATTCATTTTGGTTATTTTTGTTACCACACATACACACACACACACACAAACACACAGCGAATGCATATAGATAGTTGTGATTGTGCGGCGCAGCACTCTTTCCTTTTGCCTTCATTTTTTGTTAACGACAAACCGGCCGGCATTATTTTTAGAATTTTTCAGTCAAACTTGTTACCATGCTGGGCGAAACTGGCTTCGAGGCGGCAGCAGCAGCAGCAGCAGCCATAGCCATAGCCACAGCTTCAGTTTGAGCTAAAAATGCAACGAAAATGAAGCTGCGTCTCTAGTTCTGGCTCTCCAATCTCCTGTCTTTTGTCTCCCTGCCAGAAGCAAAAGTAACATTGTCTGTCTCTCTGTGTATGTGTGCGTGTGTGTGTGTGTGTCTTAGTGACTTGGCATTGTTACTGTTCTCTGACTTTTTAATGCCAATGCCCAAAACTCGTCGACCAACAAAAAAAAAGGTAAAAAAAATTGTATCGATCGTTGCCTTAGCCGGGTTTCGGTGTTTTTTCTTTTTCTACCTTTTGTGTTCTGTTTTTGGCCCGTACGCTTTGCTTGAACGTTCTACGCAGCAGCAGCATCATCATCATCGTCATTAATATCATCATTATCATCATCAGCAGCAGCAGCAGCAGCAGCAGCACCGGCAACAGCATCAGCATCGGCATCAGCATCTCAGCCAGCGCCAAGGGGGTACAGTTTCGCTTCGAACTGAAAAGTTATCATTTATTTATTTTATTTTTGTTTTTGTTTTTTTCTTTTTGTCTTCGCTTTGGCCGCTTTCTTTCGGGTTCGGTTTTGGTTGGGGCGGCCGCCTTAACAACATTTACTTAATTTATTTTTATTTTTATTCATTAATTTGAGTTTTTTAATTGAACGTCGCCGTTGCCGTTGCGGTCGCTCTTGCTGTTGCTGTTGCTGTTCTCTTGCTCTGTGTTTCACAATCGGATTATTGACTTTTTTGGGGTTTTTTCTCTTATTTCTTTCTATATATCCGAGTTCGTTCTTTGTGCACATTATTCAAATGTATGTGGTAAGCCTTTGTTTAGGCCAAAACATGTTTTGTTTAATGACTTTTTATTAGTTCTGGCTCTGACTCTGGCTCTGCTGGAATACCGAACAGCCTTAGCATAGAGCACTATTCATGATATATATATAGATATGTAGTTATACCATATAGTCGCCTTGTGGTCAAGTAAATATGGTTCAAGCAGCGCCAACAGCTTTTCTATGCATATTCAGTTAAGTATTTGGGGCCCAAGAGGCTTGGCTTGAAGCAGTTAACTGGTTCGCACTATTTGATATGCCTATGCCCATTAACTGGTCCGGCTGGACTTATGCTAAACCATAGACAAAGACCCATAATAATGTTGAAATACTGTCTATGGGAATGATCTAGATATAACTGGTTCGGAGAATGTCGATTCGATAGCACCTAATGGAACTACAACAATTCACTGACAGCTTTGTGCTATATAAAACATTTTCTTTGCTCGTTTTGCATATGCAAAGCAAAGATATCTCTCGAACTACATACTAATTAGTTAGTTCAAGAGCTCTTTATGATGCAAATCTGACATATATTATATGGGAGCATATAACTATAACTATATGCAAATCTTATTTATTATTATTGAAGAATATGTAGAAATTAACTTACATTAGTTCCATATAAAACTCTATTCAGCTATTTCTTACACCACTGAACTTACTAAATATTTACATGAATCAAAAACATATATTGACGTCAATCGACTAAGAAAACCAAAAAGAATAATTTAGGGGTTATAAAGAAAATCAAGTTACTTTTTAAGTTTACTAAATGTATGAACTAAATAATATTTAGAATTTTCGATGTATCGATGGGTTCATAAATTCATCGGTAGGTGAAATTCATTCCTTAAACTGGTTAAATTTTATATTTTCCAATTTATATTAATTATTCATGCTTGTATACAAGCATATAAGATCTGTCACGCTTCAATGAGGATAAAAGTCTGAATATTCATTTTATTGAATTAGGTTTATAAAAAAAATTAAATATTTAAAGACAAAATTGAAATATTTTCATTATTATAAAGAGTGAAATAAATCAAATATATATCATTATTCAACAGAATGCTGAAAATAAAGGCCTATTGAAATCCGAATGAAGCAGTTGTTCTCCAAAGAAGAAATATTGCACGAAGAAAGTCAACTGCTGCACAAACCTTGCTTTCCAAGTCTATCTCACATATTAAGTACAAATAAAAAACAATACAAATTAAAACAACATATAAACAAAAATAATATAAAAAAATATATAAATATATATCAAATATTCCATATATCAAAATATTTAAGACTTTTGCAAAGCAAAACCCAATATAAAATCAATATAAATTTTTAAAAATTTCAACAAGAAAAACTTGTGGAATACTCAAACCCAGTCGAGTTTCTGAAATCGTAAAATCAGATTCATTTCATTAAAGCAGTAACTTGAATATAAACAAGTTCTTTATAGCACAAGAAAGTTTTTGAAGTGATCAAGAAATATGCAAACACAAAGCTATAATATTCACATATATATATTCCGCGAAAAAGAAAAAACCCGAATAAATCTCGCCAATAATACAATAGGAGCAGCCGCATAACTTCCGCATAGACTGTTAGTTAGAATGAAGTCAAATAGTAAATCAAATTTCGAATTTCATTTGATTTTGGCACAGTCTCTCAGCTGCGACAGTCTCTAGAAGATCACACGGCCCACAGTTCACGGCTGTGTTCCCAAGTAACCAAAACCCACAAAAGGCAAACACATTGACATATTTATATATCCATATATACACACATTAAAGTCAAATATTTTCTCTGCAACGTTCCCAGAGGCAAAGAAAAAGACAACAGCAACAACAACAACAACAAAATAAAACAACAATCAACGAACCAAACCTCACGCTTGCTTGCCAGACAAATCGGGAGGTCGCAACGTTGAAACTTTTCTGTGTCTGTTTCGGTTTCTTGCCTCTCTTTTTTTTCCATTTTCCCCCCTCTTTTTTGGGATTTGTATGGACTCGGGGGGGCTTGGGCTATGCAAACAATGCAAATTTTCGACGATAGATGTAGACGTTAATTGAGTGAGTGGGTGCTAGAGAAAGACAGGGCGCAAGAGAATGGGGCTAACAGCGCGCCGTGGCGGTTGCTATTCGAATGTCAATAGGTTAAACACAAGTTCGTTGCCTAAGTCTTTTGTTTTTCCACACCGAATTCTCGTTCAGGTTTTCCTTCAGCTCAGCGCAGTTGAGTTCAGTTTAGTTTAGCTGAGCCCACTCAGCACTTAATCATTTCCAAGTCGTCAGCCGGGGAATGCTGCATGCATAAATGTCAGTCAGTCAACTGGAAACGGTTGGGGGGAGATGGAGGGGCGTCCAATCTAACCAAAATTGAACTCATCTATTGCGAAGCTCAAAGCAGCAGCAAATTGCCTATCATATCCGCCAGCAAACGACATGCAGAGTGACTCACTAGCTCGGGTAATATATATTATATACATATATATGACATATCATTTGTTCAAATGTATATATATGTATGTATGTGTATATATATATATAAATCGCTTTTGTGATTTTTGGTGCATTGCGGTTTTCAGACACTTCTTTTTGTTGTATTTTTGGGTTACAATTTAAAATTCCTGTGCCGCGCTTGTGCAAAATAAAATAAAATAAAAATGAACAAGAAAAAAGCCCAAAAGCAATTTGATCTTTAAATTTAAGCACGTTTAAATCAAAAGAGCTCACAAATACCAGCCAGTCAAGCGATCATGTGTATAAGTATTGCGTGCTGTCTTCCATAGCTATATATACATATGTATGTGTGTATATGCATGTGTGTGTGCTGTTTGTAGTATATAAGCACATGTAAGGCTCACACAAACAGCGCGTTTGGGGCAGCGACGCCAGCAGATGACTTTGTGAAATTCGAAAGGCGGCAGCGTCGCCCCTCATCGTCGCCCCTCCCGCCCCCCTCCCAGCGATAGCAGCCGGCGATGGCTGGTATGGCTTGGTACTCGTACTGCCTGGCCATTATGTACTTTAAATTTAAATTCAATTGACTTCTTTTATGATGCCAACGGGCGGCGGCCACGCCAAAACGTGCCAAGAGCTCTGCTCACGTAGCCAGGCCGTTGTCATCGTCTCGATCTTCGAGGCCCGGTCTTCGTTCGTACGTTCGTTGTTCAGTGTTTTCAGTGTTTTCAGTGTTTCAGTGTTCGCTGTTCGTTTTTCGTCTTGGCTATGCGGTAGCCTCTCTGCACTGTTCATTGGCTACGCCTCTGCTTTTTGCCATTTGCCTGGCAACTTTAACGGCCATTTCTTTGCGTTATCGTTGTTGTTGGTGTTGTTGTTGGTGCTGCTGCTGTCGCTGTTGCCACGCATGCGCAGTGAGCGGCAGCGCCTGCGTCTCTCTCGTTCTCGCTCTTGCTCTCCCTCTACCTTAGTAACGTATTTTTTGTTTCGTAGTTGTTGTTGTTATTTCTTTTTCTGCCAGTTTGATCTTTGCCATAAAAGTGATTTTGTTCCCCCTGCTGGCTGTTGCGTGGCCATTGCGCTACAGCAAATTGTGTGCTGTACTTTTGTACAGCCAGAAGAAGCTGCAAGATTTATAGATTGAAGCTGGCCCACTCGAGAGTTCAGCTAAAGGTTAGCATAACAATTGAGTCACTGATTTAAGCTCGGATTGAGAAATGTTCTTCGCACTTAGCTGGCAGTTGTTGTTCTTGTTGTTGTTGTTGTTGCGGCTGTTATATTGGGGTTAATGAAACACGAGCACAAAACTGAAGAAATATGCGCTCAGTGGGAGACAGGCAACGCGATAAACGTGCAGATAAGAAATCAGTTAATGTTGAATTATTTATGGTTATTATGTATAACAATGTGATATCTGTATGAGCTGGGGGAATTAACATAATTATGCTTCGATTTTGGAGGGAAATTTAAGAAATATCTACGATATATGTAAATAAATTTATATAAGAGAATATACAGAAGCTATTGTTGTTAATTAAGTCAATTGATCAAAGGAGATAGAGCTCAATAAAAATGAAAAACAGAAATATATGAAAAATTTAGAAAATTTTTTGGCAAAAGGTTGAAGCTGTAGATTTTTACCTGTGATAAATCAAAAGTATATATTTAATATGAATAAACTAAATTTTTATTTAAATAATAAATGTGTATTTAATATGAGTATGTTAAATTTATGTTTTAGTAATAAATATACGTTTCATATTAATACTAAAAAAAATTATATTTATTATTTATATAATTTATTAATTTATTAATCACTTAATCTTCAGTAAATAATGTTTTAGGTTTTTTTTTAATTCTTCAATAAAATTTATTTTAAATAAAAATAATTAAGAGCAAATTAAATAAATAAAATATACTGAAAATATATGTTTTATCATAATATATTTTAGCTGAAGATAAAGTTTTTAATACTCCAAAATTGTATATATATATTTAACACAAACCTTTAGTAACTGAAATCGAAATCATACAAAATGGTACAAGTGCAGTAAAAATAATTAAAAAAAAAATTAAAATTGAGTATTTATTATTTTATATATTATGATTATATATGATTAATAATTTCAATAATATAATTTTATTAGTGAATTCAATATTATTTTGTTCTTCTGTGTAAAACAGTTTTATATATTTATTTATTTATTTTTTATTGTTTAATATTTTAGTAATTATATATAAATATTTTGATTCGTTAATCTGCTACATAAATCATAACATAATTTAAATTTTCGCCCAACCCCTTGCATAGATCTAATCATTAACCAATATTAACTGTCAGTTTTCAGCGCCTGGTATAGCGCACTTTAAGACCCGCCTAAGTCATACGCCTTGCTCTCTCTCTCTCTCTCTCTCTCTCTTTCGATTCACCTCTTAACTCTTGATCAAGTTTCTGTAGGTTTTTACGTTGACTGTTTCTCGCTTTTTTTAGTTTTTTTTTTTTTTTTAGTTTTTGCTTTTTGGCAAAAGTCAACTGTGCGCCATTGCCTACCAGCCAACAATTTGCAGACAAACAAAAAAAAAAACGTTCACATTTGTGTGTTTAACTGGTTTTTAGCTTGGATTATTTTCTTGGGCTATGGCTGCCAGATACAGGGTGTTGCGGCTGCCAATGGAGCTGAGACTTACCTTATATATTTTATATAAAATGGAAATAAAATTGAAATGAATGAACAAATAAATTGTTAGATATAAATGTTATATATTTTAGTTATATTTTGTTAAGGCAACACCCCGTATGTCCATGGTAACGTTAACTTTTGTTAATTTTAGCTTGCGTACAATATAATTTCAAACATTTTTCACCCGCATTGTTGAAATTTAAAATCAATAGCAATACACACACACGCACATACACAATAGAAAGAGAGAGAGAGAGATAGAGATAGAAAGAGAGAGAGTACCATACACATAAGCTGGAACGCAGTCATTAGGCAGCGTCTTTGAAACAAGTCGCCTGTCTATAGTAGATTCTATAGTATGTATATATACACATGTACACCTTGCCTCACTCACACACACACACACACGCAGAATTCACAATTGTACTTGTCTTTACCTGTGCCTCTCATTTGGCGGGAAATCATAGCCGCAGCGCGCTCTCCAAAGCAAAAGCAAAAACCCGAAAATCAGGCTCAGCTCAGCAGCAGCTCGACAGCAGCAACAGCAGCAGCAGCCGCCGCGATGCCGACGTCAGCGTCTCAAGCACACGGCACAGGTAAGCGATCGGATCATCGTCGTCGTCGGCGTCGTCGTCGTCGTCGTGGGCCACACCAACGCAATTGTGGCTCACACTCACTCACACACACACACACACACGAACACACAGGCGCGCAGACAGACGCTCATTCGCTCGCACACCTTTGCACAGGTAAATCGTTTATATACCTGGCCGCTGCCAGCGTCGGCGTCGCAGCGCCGTCTCAAGAAGCTGATCTGAAGCCCGTTTGTCGCATTTTTACCAAAACTGAATTTAGTTTAGAAGCGTTTGGCGGCGTTGAAGGTGTGTGCAAAAGCGCAATCCGGTGCCGCAGCTCTGGCTCTGGTTCTGGCTCTGGCTCTGGCTCTAGCCTCGGCCTGGCCACCATAGCATACCATAGAGAGCGCTACAGACTCCCGGCTCTATACTATATGGCAACAGAACCATTGACATTACTAACTTTGGGTCGCTTGTCTATGGCAACAACTCTCAAAAAAAAAGATCAAATAAAGAAAAAAAATTATAAATTATCACCAACAACAACAACAACAACGAGAACCGCCGAGAAGGTTTCGCAAGTGTTTCGCAGTTCAAGTGCAGTTACCAAATCGTGTGTCAACACTCAATATATATACATATATATATTCATATAGATGCTATCTACAATTATATATATATATATATGCACAAATATATATATATATATTTAAGATCGAGCAACTGTAACGTTTCCCGAGCAGCTGCCATAATTGAGTGGCGCTTGGAGGGCTCCTCAGGTATGTCATTTGCATTCACAGCTGTTTAATATATGCGAATCGAAATTCCAATACAACAACGTGTACATCCGGCTACCAAATGATCCGTACACGTTTCCAGAATTTTCAAAATCTTCCCCCATCAGCATGATGATCATCGCCTATGCATAGGCAATTTTCTCAGTCGTCCGTCGGGCTCGTGTTCGTCGCATTAAACGTGTTTTAGGGCAGCTATCGGCTGTGTCAGGGCTTCGGCATCGTTTAATATCGGAGAATTGGAAATTTAGAATCGAGAATTGAGAACAGAGAGCTGAGTCGTGAGTTTTGCTAGCTAGGCCTCGACAGTGCCTCGGCCTAATCAAAGTTGCGGCATCTCGGAGTCCACGCATTTGCATATGTCTACACACACACACATACATATCTAACTTCGTATATATAGCTATTGTAGTATATGGCATGATGATATATCGCAACATCTTGATGAGTATTTTATTCTTAGAAACTACCTTAAGCACATAGATGTATATATGTATGTATGTATGTATGTGTATATATATATATATATTTGTCTTGCGGTCAGTCTCCGTCAAAAACACTTCGGCTGAATTTCTCTCCGTCCGTTGCCAGATTTGCGTCATCCGGCTGACAACGTGTACTAGACTAGGTGCGGCTTGTTTGTAGAGCCGCAAAGTGCTGAATTTTAAGCAAATGCTCGCTGGAATATGCAAGACCATTAAAGATGGTCGCCAGAGCAAACAGCAGCGGGCAGCAGCTGGCAATCTCAATTAAAGGCAGGTAGAGACCGAGCTAGTTAGTCGCAGGTAAAACTTGACCAAGAGTGGCGAAATGAAAAAAAAAACTAAACTAAAATAAAATCAAATTTAACCAGAAGGTCATTGAATGCTTGCAGGGAAAGTAAACTTTAATTTAATTTGCTTGAGCAAGGCTGTTTTTCAAGGAAAATTTGACAATTAAATGCGGCTAGGCAGCGCTGGCAGCTGCAAGGCCAACGAGAGTTTGACAGGTAGGATAATTGATTGTCAGGTAAAGCATTCCCAAATCCCAATCCCAAAGCAGGATTTGACATAAAAGATAAATCGAAATCACAGCTCAGACTAAATTTAACTGTAATACAAATATTTCACTCACCTCTGCCTCTGCCGCTGAGCAATTTGACTGGCAAATACTAGTTAGTCGCTGCAACTAGTGGTTGCCTTGGGCCGACTGTCGTCATATGCATTGCACAATTTGATCAAAATGGAGGAAGGCAAAACATAAGAAAACTAAGTAAACTAGTAAAAGAAGAAGTGAAGTAAGACATTTCAGACATTTCAGGCCAGTTTCGTACGTTTTGCAGGCTTTTCAACATTTTCCGCCGCTTTATGTTTCAACGATTATTACAATGAGTGCCGAGTGTGGAGCGGAGTGTGGAATCGAGTCGAGTCGAGTCGAGCGAGGCGCATAATTGTGGGAACCTACGGTTACGGAACGTTCGTCTAGCTAGCAGTAGACAGACATAGGTAAGGCCAGTCAGCCAGCCAGCCAGCCAGTCAGCCACTCAGCCATTCACTTGGCTTACTCACATTTTTGCCGGCGCTATAATGCCAATGCAGCCAAGCGGCAGGCAACTCAGGCGGCCCAAACAACCACCCAACGAACCGAGCGCAGTTCAGTCCACTCTGTCGTCGTATCGTCTTGTCGTTCCAGTTACAGTCACTTGACCAACCGAAACAATAAGAATAAGAAGACGAAAAATGCTGCTACTTTGGTTCGCTGAGACGTTCGGTTTTTGGTCGCGGGCATAATTGTTGATCGTCGTAGCGTGCATATTTATGGGAATATTTTTCCAAACATAAGACGAGACGAGCAGCAACAGCGGCAACAACTACAATGGCAACAACAAAAATCATTGCAGCTCCCCTTAACAGACATCTGTAAATGTATATACATGAGTCGAGTTCTGGACGAACGCGCGCGCGTCCAACTTTGACCTTTTTTTTTATAGTTTTTATTTGTATTTCTTAGTCGGCCTCCCCACTCAGTTGTTGCTGTTGTTGTTTGGCTATGCAAAATGCATAAAAATTCCACGTAGCATTTATCAATGCAATGCGCCAGTCAACGGCGACGCCTGCGCAAAAAGCGGCCGCCGACGATGACGACAGTCGACAGTCGACAGTCGACGCTATCCACAGTCGTGTGGGCGCTACCAACTCGACAAGTTGTCGAGCCGAGAGAACTAGAAAAACCAAAATCCACAAATCGAGTGAATGTATTCAAACCAAAGAGTTGTGAGTGCGCGCGCGAAACTGAAAGGCCCGAAAAATAAATAAAAATAAATCGAATGCAATTGCAGAGAGTCAAAGCAACAGCCAATTTGGATATACAGGGTGCTATGTTGTCTTTGGTTATCTAGCTGTATGAGTGATAAATAACGTCATAAAGCTAGCTTACCGAAGTTAATATTAGTGTCTGCTCGACGTGACAAAACAGTGCGTATACTAGATATCGATTGAACATGCAAGTGAGTAAATGTTTTTATATACACCTCTCTCTCTCTCTCGAAAACTCTCTCCCTCTGATTTATTGCTGCTTTTGATCACAAAAATTTGTATTTAATGAGTAACTGGCTACAAAATTAACACAGCAATACAATAAACAATAAACAATAAACAGTAAACAGCAACGGCCTTTGCTTATGGCTAACAAAAATTTAAGTTTCAATTTAAAGCCTTTTTTTACATACTCTTTTAATGACGTAGCTAATGAGCAGCTGATTTGCTGAAATCGATATGACCAGCACACACATTAATAAATACATACATACATATGAATGTATATGTACATATATTTAGATTACTAACTGCAGCATTGAATATCGCATTTGCCGCAACGAACTGGATGGAAGATCTCTTGGCCATGGAAGACGCTGCCAAAGAGAAAACCGCGAATTAACTTTATGCGCGCACTTTACACTTGAGGCGTTAAATGGGCCAAGGTCTTCAGATAATGCTGTATTTAAGTAGCTGCTGGCCTTAATGTTTATAATAAAAGACGACAGCGAAATTGTTGTATGGTGTGTAAAAGAGGTTGAACAGCTTCGTAAATCATATTTTTCATGTGAACCAGCAATACCTTAAATTACATTTGAGTTATTAAGCATAATAAGTGTAGAAATAAGATTTTATTTTGAATTTATCTAAACTCAACAGAAATGTATTTCTGTTGAACAGAATAAATAGAAGTAAATTTAAAGTAAATTTTATTTCAAAAATATTTAAGTGAAATAGGAATTAAAACAGGCATACCTACATAGAATAAAACTTCATAAAATCATGCAAAATATAAAATATACATACATATTTGTATTTTAAAATATTATTTAATTTAGTGCGAATTTAACCTAAATATCTAATTTATAGCGCCGTTTGTATAGAAAATATGTATATGCTGACCATATTCTCTGTGAGATCAGCGCATAGTTATAAATTAAAGGAGTAATGTAATCTAAAATACATTAAAATTATAAAATAAACATAAATATTGCAATTAGCAAAAACAGGAAATATTGCTGCATAGATGGAAAAAACTAAGCTGAACAGTCTTAAATGTCAATACTGTAAATATACTGAACGATTTCACTGGGCTTTAATTTATTTATAGTTCTTGTATATAAAAATCTATAGGTTATAATAAGAAAGAAAAAATATATGATAACCGAAGCTATAAAATAAAAGTAAGAGTACTTTGGTCAGATATGCCGGACTAACAAATACCCGGATTACCGTGACGAGCAGCGATTACAGCAGAACAGAGTCATAGAATGAGCACTATATTGAATGAGTGTATATATAGAATATTACAGATTGTGTTGAGGCATTAGTGTAGAGTGCTAAAAGTGATTTTATTTGTCACTGGTTAATCATAAACAACACGTTCAAGTGGAACAGCGAATAGAGCAGTCAGCGGATGAACCACAAAGGTTAAATCTTGTAAATAACTAACATCTGCAATAGACAAAAAAATAGTAAATGTGTGGACTAATTGAGTAAACTAAATTATAACTGTTTATCAATTGATATAAGTTTAAATTAATACAAAATAATTGGCCCATTGCAACAAAGTTAAGCAGTTCGTGATAAAATGAAGCCTCTAATTGAATGTTTTCCTAGCTACAGACAGACTGACGAAAGGTAAGATAAAACATGCGAACATATTGACGAGCAAAAAGGAGAAAAGCGCGAAAATGACATGCCGTGTTGCTACCCTTAAAAAAAAACATACACACAATTTAAAGTACAATAAATATATTTTTATCAACTATACAAAAATTTATATTTTAAGTATATGTGCAGGGACCGTAACAATTATAATTTTTATAGAAGAAATTTAAAAATAAAAATTTGTTTTTAATAGTTAAAAAAATATATAATTTTTATTCTTATAACACAAATAAAAAAAATATTTTTTACAGATCAGTTTTTATATACAAATCAAATCATAACTCTTATTATTATTATTATATTATTTATTATTATTTTTTTATTATAAAAATTAAAAAAAAAAAGTGTTATTGTTTTATTATATAAATAAAAATTAAGTGTTAAAGTTGAACATAAAAGTTTAGCTTAAATATCTCTTGAGGCAAAAAACTATAAAAATAAATATTTAAAAAATATATGTGTATTTATATAAATATCTGATGGTTTTTATGGACATGCCTAATGCATAAACTTTAAGAGTACTAAATAAGCAAAAATCTAACTTTCAATATACTGGAAAATGCTCAAATTTCAACAGACATATTTTTCCCTATTATTAACAAAGAATTATATTATAAATTTACAAATATATATTGTAATGAGCTGAAAGCCACGTTGTATTGGCCAACACTTTTGGAATATGATTATAGTCAATCAATGGTTGCCTTCACAGCTGACTGGACTAAAGACCTATGCTAAGCCTGAGAGCAAGTAAATATATACACACACACACACCATGACTAAGCCAGACGCATGCAAATGAATCTGGCCATATATGTAGATATGAGTGTGTGTGAAGCTGGCAATAAAGCGCAACATCTGTGCAGTATGGCTAAAACAAATTATAGCCGCTGATATTCAATATGTAGGTAAGCAAGCAAGTAAGTAAGTAAGTATATAAGTAAACGTAACCAAACGACCCTACTATATCATAAAAAACTGAAAAACAAAAACAAATAAAACTGAGAGAAAAAGCACACGCTCTACACAAACAGCAGCGAGTGTTATCTGTAAATATATACATATACAATATACAGATATATATGTATATGTATGTATGTTTGTAGATGCATGCATAGATACTTATATTTAGTATAGATCTCCCAGCTAGTTTTATATAGCAGATGATGTATGATGGGAATTTCCGTTAGTTTCAGCGCTCTCTCTCAACAATTTCGATCTGTCTGTCTCCAAGTCAATAAATGGTAAATGAATAATACTCGCGCCTTTTGTTGTTGTGGAAGTAAACAGATTTCATTATTTATTATATTATTAATTTTGTTTTGTTTTTGTTTTTGTTTTTGTTTTTATATATAGTTTTTGTTGTTGTCGTCGTTTTTGTTTTGTTTGTTGTTCTGTTTAGACACAGAGCCATGGCAGAGTGTGTTTAGGTGTCGTAATTCGAATTAAATATCACTAAAAATCAAAACAGAATTTCATTAGATTAGATTTAGATTTCATTTTTGTTTCTTTGTTCTTTTAGAATATCGCTACAGGATTTGGCTCTAGTGGCCAAAACTTGTTTAATTTTAATTTTTTGTTTCCTTCTTGTTTTTTGTTTTTTCATTTGTTGTAAATTTACTTTCAAGTTTTGTTAACTAAACTCATCATATTTAATATTTTTGCATTGGATTCGTTTGAAGTTGATTTTGGTTAGGTTTTATTAACAATATTTTTGGTTGTTTTTCTTTTTTCCATTTAAACTAAATTTCGAGAACTTAGGCTATTAGAAATAAATGCTAAAAATACAATTCAAAAAGTCAACACCATAATTATAATAATCATAATAATTGTAATAATAATCATAATAAATTTATTATACATACATACAAGCTCAATTATTTCTTTATATATTATTTGTAATTTGTTTTAAGTATATTAAACTAATTTTAAATGTTTGATTTGGTTTAATTTATAATTAAGTTTAATTTAATTTTTACTTTGAGTTTGTTAGAATTTGCTAAGATTTTTAGGTTTGTTATTCTTTTAATGTATTTTTAATGCTTTCAATTAAAAGCCTCGCCTACATACACACACATACATACACAGTTAAATAGTTTACTAACTTAATTCTTTGGAAGAAAGTTTTTTCGAAATACATTTTGATTTGTTCATTGAAATTGTTTCTAAAAATTAAAGGAGAGTTGACTGAACTGAAACCTTTTTGGGTCTATATGCGTATAAAAAAGAAATTCCAACGGGCTGATTGAATAATTATTATTATTATTAGGAGACTCATTCATTGAGCTAAAGTCGCGTCCTTCAGGGACTTGGAAGAAATTATACAAGAGATAGGGAGAGTGACTGAGAGAGAGAGAGAGAGAGAATTGAACATTATACTGACTAAACTACGGACCTTTTAAAAAATATTTGAAATTTATTTATAATATATTTTTTTATAATATTTACTCTTTGTTTTTGTTTTTTCGTTTTTAATAATTAAATAGTTCATTTGGTTTTTGATACTACACACATCGTTTTCTTGTTTTCTTCTTTTCTTTAGTTTTTCCTATTCTTTTTTTGTTTTGTTTTTTTTTTTTTTTTAGTTTTTTGGACCCAATGCAACTTGCTTGAGTGAGTATTCAATTAAATTTTTTATCAATCTATATTCGCAATGCTATTTAATTTGTATTATTGCCCGCTTAAAAACATACACAGTAAATTCCTCTAAAATGCGTCTGTTTCGGTTGTTTGTTTTTGGTTTTTGTTTTTGTTGTTGTCTTCTTGTCACCTATATAAAGTAAATAGTGTTGCATATTATATTTATTATTATTTGGTTGTTATATTTATTAACGGGGTCTCGCTAATCAAATCCGACTTTGCCGACTTCGCAATTAAGTGTACTGTGTCTCATTATCTTTCTCTATTTGTATGTATATATGTATATATATATATATAACTATGTATATATGCTCTATGTATATGTTTACCCATTCTTATGTGCAGCTTATGTATTGTTGTTTTAGTTTTTTATTTATTATTACATTTTACACATGCAGATGTTGTTGTTGTTTTGTTGGTGTTTTTGCAAAATTGAATGAAATTATTTTGCATTGAACTCGAAAATCAAATTTTAGAGAGTTGCTTTAGTTTTTCTTTTTGTTAGATTACATTTGTTATTTTTCGTTATCTTTTGTTTTTGTCTACAACAATTTCAATACTTTTTCTTTTCTTTTAGTTTTGTTTTGTTTTGTTTTGTGGTTTAAAAACTTTTCAAGTTAGTCTAAACGTAAACATAAACGTAAATTAGCTTCAGCTTCTTCAGCATTGAACATAACCCACTGCTGGCTCAGAAGGATGCCTCCACCAGGTAGGTGCCATCCATTGGCTGATTGTTTTGGCTATTTTGAGCATTGCTGGCAGCTGGCATGTACTTGCCGCAGGCCTGTAAATTAGAGAAAACCATTATTAATTATTTCTAAGGTCAAGACGATGTAATAGGACTCTGCAAAATATTGTCAATATTAGTATTATTGTTATATTATATGAAGTATCTACAAAGTTGGTTTGTTTACATTGGCGCTGAAAAGTAGGCAACGTTTTTGTTAAGAGGAACCATTTTATTTATCTCCCATTAACTAGAAGTTGTTTAATCTTTTTCCAAGTGCTACATCTGATAGCTATACCTTAAATACAAAATTTTGAAGGGCTGAACTTTTTTATACCAAATTTTCTATAAAAAATCGTAGTACATTACCAAAATTTAACACAAACAAATTTCTGCAATTCAAATAGAATTTTTGCATGATAAAATTTTATTAATCTATATAAAAGAATTTTTGTGTTAGCATTTCAGCGCAATATTGTAATAAATTTATGATTCTGTCAGACAACCGTTCCTATTTGTAACGCACCCCAAGGACTTACGTTTCCTGATAACCTTTTGCCTATTTTGCGCACACCCTAAAAGCATGCAACACTTTATCACAATGTATTCACATTGCGCGCTGTTAACAAAAATGTAGCATGCTTTTAGGCCGAGTCGTTATATTAATGCGTGTTTAATTCTTATTTTATTGTATTGTTGGGTAGAAATAGTGTAGATGATTGTAAACACACAAACAAAAGTAACAAACATCTAAGTACTTAGGGTTAAAAAATAGTTTTGCACCCACCTGCAATTGAAATACATTAACATACACGCACGCACACACACACACGCATAGGCACAGACAGGCTCACGCACACAATCACAGTTAAACAAACTGTCACACAACATAAAATAGTTAAGAGGATATTTAGTATGTACAGTTGTTGATGACTTACCTGATAACGCTGCGAACAACAGCGGCCGCAGCAGGATTGCAATAGGCCTGCAGCGCTGTTTGTCGAGTGGGCGGGACTAGCCATCGGCGAGGGCGAGCCCGGTCGCTTTGGCTGGCCATTATAGGGTATTTCTAACTCGACAAATTCACGATCCTTTTAGATTTGAGCATTTGAGTGTGAGTACCAGAAGAATTTTACAAAGAGAAACGTAGAATACATAGAGTACAATGTTTGGATTTACTTTTTTCTTTTGTTGCTTTTCTTTTTTGTTATACAATTCGACACAAATATACAGAAAGGAGTTAGGATGTTAAGCCAGGTTGAGATATAAACACTCTCAAACACACACACAGAGACAGACAGACGAAACACAAACACAGGATTGAATAATATATATATTTAGTAATTATAAATACTTATAGAGAAGGTTTAGTCAAAACAACAATCAGAACAATAAAGCTGGGTAGGGTACAAAAAAATTGTCAAACATCAGAACGCTTAAATGTACATTAAAAGTGAGAAAGAGAAGGTGGGAGGGAGGGGATTTGTTATTCGGCACCTAAGCAATGACAATTTTACAATAACACAATAAGAACTGTTTGTTTTTTTTTGGTTTTGTTTTTGTTTTGTTTTTTGTTAGTCAGCCAAGTGGTTTAACAGGGCGAGGGCCAAGTGCTTAGCGCGGCGAGCGGGCAGCAGAACGAGCATGAGGCAGCAAAGGGAGAGGGAAAGTGTTTTTTCTTTTTTTTGCTTTTTGTTTTTGTTATCAAAGCAAGCACGAGCGAGCGACATTTCGGTGCGTTTTCAGATAGCGATTTAAAACGCGCGTGATTTGGTTTTATGTTCGTGTAGTTAGATTTGATTGATTAGATTTGTTGATTGATTTGATTTGTTTATTTTATTTACTGTAATAGAGCACTCAGTAAACATTTTATGGAAAACGGAGAATGAAATTAGTAATTTTTAAATAAATTTCAAAGGCATAGTATAGGCTTAAGCTGATAACTTTATGATATGTACTTTGTATTATAATAAACTATTATCTCTAAGATATCTAGGGTTACTCAAGTCTTTAAAGGTAAGGAAACTTTAGATCATCTGTAGTGAAATTCATTGACTGCTGTTCAAACAGAAATGATATCGTTTGTTTTCTATCAGTTTAAATTCCATTAAATATACTCTACGCTAAACAGTCCGTCTAAACTTTTAAAAATGCCCAAATGGTACTTTAATCATATTCAAAGCTCTCTCTATAAGCATGCCATTTAATACTAAGTAATCTTCAATTTGAATCAATAATCATTCAATGCTATTGCTATTCTATAAATAAAACATACTTAAATTCAATAATGGAAATGCCCCCATACCAATTCCATATCACTTTACAGTTTCAATCAGCAAATCTTTGCATATATTTTAGACCATTTTGTGGGCGCTCTTTGATTTTGGATTGTGGAAATTCTCAAATATTTTTCTTTAATGCTCTTGATTTTATTTAGTTTCAGTTGCGTTTTGTTTTAGTGTTGACAGCCATCGGATTGCGCTGTTTCAGATCTTTTTTTATGGCATTCGCTGCTGGGCGTCTCTTCAAGCATTATATTATCCAATATTATTCAATAATTACCAATTAAAAGAACTTAAAGAAATATTAAGCTAAAATAGAACAGAGCGCATAGCTTTCAGCACAAACCGTTTGCTGCTTTAACCAAACATTTAAAAAATCAAAAATCCAAAATAATAATAAACATTAAAATGAAATTGCAACACATAAATGAGAGTAAGAGAGATAGCTAGAGCAAGAGAGCTAAGGAAAGAGAAGAACAGAACATAAACTACAAAACCGAAAGCACTTACTTTTCCAAGACTATATATTATTTACTTTACGATTTTCTTTTATATATGTATATGGAAGTCACAGATATATACATATCTATTTTCTGGATTTCATGAGATTTAATTCGATTGATTTTTAAATAGAAATTTATTTTGAGGCGCCCGTTTGCTAGTTAACTTAAGTAAACCAAATCCCAAATGCAACATGTGATAAACGTGAAATAAAAACTTAAACGAAAACACAATATGGCACATTTATATATAATATATACTTATATTGATTTATATTGAATATACAAATGTACAAAAATCATAATCAAGAATTTTGCACACATCAAATGCTGAAGTTTTTGTTCTTATATTTTTGTTTTGTTTTAATATTTATATGCATGTATGTGTGTATGTTTGTTTGTTGTGTATATGTACGAAGTATTTGATTAACGAGCACGCACAAGATTTCTGAACTCTGGCACAGCAAATCCTCTACAACTATCAAATGAATTTGTGTTTAGTGCAGTCGCAGTTGTTGCTACTGTTGTTGCTGTAGTTGTTGTTGTTGCTGTTCTTGTAGTTGTTGTTATGGTTGTGGTTGCTGTTGCTGTTCTAGTGGTTGTGTCGCTTGTCATTGCTTGCCTAAAGAGCAGAAGGCAAAGGTGCGAATTTTGGACTACTAGAAAGATATTCAAATGTTGCTACATCTGTCGAAAAGAGAACACACAGAGAAACGAAACAAAGATGTCTGATAAATCAACATGTAAATCAAAAGGAAGAATAACAACATAGAAAATGATAAGGAAAGCAAATGACGACGAGAACCCAAACGATGTACGTTTGCCTTGGATGCCCTGCAAACAATATATTGCCAACACATTAGGTATACGCACCGTTGTCTTTTCGAGACACCGCAACAGATGATGATGCTGCAGCTCAAAGATATCCTCATCCCTATAATTGTCATCCAGCTCAATGCCAGACTCTTGTGCTGCCCAACGTGCCTCCGCCGCCTTCTTCTTGTTGACGAAAGCAGCGCCAGATGAGGCCTTCGCAATGCGAATGCGCGCCAGCCGAGCTTTCTGCAAGTGTTCAAATCATGAATTAATAAAATATTGATAGAGAAGTGTATAGACCGAGAGTGTTTGACATACCCGCTGCGCTTTGCGCTTATCCGCACGCTGGTTTTGATGATAAATTCTACTAAAGTTCGATACAATAACAGGTACAGGTAAGGCGATGACCAGCACTCCGCTGAGCGAGCAAACACCACCAACTATTTTGCCAGCTATTGTCTCCGGCACCATGTCACCATAGCTAAGTTGTGGTAGAGAGTAAAGAACAAATAAATTAAGGCGAAATTATCTATAATAAATTGCCTAAAAAACGCACTAAAAATTATGCTAATTTAAGTATAAAGAGAAATTTCCGTACTATGGCAAAAATATATGTAATTTTTGGTACTTAACTAGTATTTTTTGCAAACTTTTTTAAGGATTTTTAAGAAAGGATTTTTTTCAAAGTTAAGTTGGCTGCGCTTTCATTTTAAAAAGTTCACAGGCATGCCATTTTGAGTAAACTCAATAAAACGGCTATGCAAATGTATTATGAATAAATAATTAAACGAAAATTATAATGTACTCAAAGTTTTGTTTATATTTTTCATCAATTACTTACCCCAACGTCGTCATTGTGACAATGGTGTACCAGAAGGCCGCCGGTATCGATGTGAAATTTGTGCCATTTACATTTTTCTCGGCATAGAACATGACCGTGGCAAATATGATAATGGCCATGGCCAGCGAAAAGACAAGGAAGCCCAGCTCACTGGCGCATGACTTGAGCGTATAGCCGAGGATGCGCAGACCCTGCGAGTGGCGGGAGAATTTGAAGATGCGAAAAACGCGGAACACACGCAACGTCACAAAGGCGCCGCTGACATCGTCGTTGTCCGTGATGCCCAGGCCAATGTAGTAGGGCATAATGGCCACCACATCGATGATGCTCATCACGCTGCGCACAAACTTGCAGCGATCGGGCGCCGCAAACAGACGCAACAGATATTCGGCGGTGAAGATCATCACACAGGCGGTGTCTAAGCAAAAGAACACAATTTTGTAGCGCTCGCCGCAGGGCAAAGTGCCGGCACGTCCTGGCCGATGGCCGCAGGGCACCGTCTCCACCACGTTGGCCATGACGGAGACGGCTATGAAGAAGCCTGTTACATAGTAGAAGACCAGAGCACTGGTCGATGTGTGCGGATTCTCGAAGGCACGCCACATCTTCTGGCGTATGTTGGTTAGCTGCTGCAGATTCTGATCTCCATTCTCCGACAGCTTGTCATCCATGAGGCGTTCGGCGTTCTCGCGCTTGCGATCGCGATAATCCTCATAACAGCAATCACCGATGACATCTGGCAGGATGCCAAAGAAGGCCAATTCCTCGTCGTAGCTGGTGAGGCATTCGTGTTTCGGATAATGCAATTTCCCGGTGCGATAATAGTTAAGTATGTGCCGAAATATATCCGGATCCCGATCAAAGAAATACTCTTTGCAATCCTCATCATAGAAAAACTCACGCTCATTCGAGCCGAGCAGCGTATCTGGATACTTTTCGAGTGTATTGCGCCAGGTCTCAAAGCGTCGCCCGGACACATTTATCAGTAGCTTCTCATCGTCCGTTTTACGGCGATCCTTCGGCATCGGAGGCGGTGGCAATGGATGCGTAGCTATCGGCACCCAACCGATGGCCGCCGCCCGTGCAAAGGGCAGCCAAGCGGCGACCGAGGCCATACTGTGTGGTGGAATGTTTCAGTGTCCCAAGACGATGCCGGGGTGGGACGGGGAGGTGATATCGAGGTAATCAGCGGTCAATGGATACGTCTCTCTCTCTCTCTCTTTTCTCTCCCTCTCTCCTCTCTTTATATGTATCTGTTAAAGTGCAGCGCTATTTGTTAATATTTATAATTTGGCTCACTTGGACTTAGTTCTAGTTAAAGCTTTCACACTTAACGGCAGCTTGCTTTCTTTTAGGCTTATTTAATTTGGATATAGTTTTCTATCATCAACTTCCTGGGGCTGATTCAGTTTTGTATTCTTAGTTTTCCACGAAGGCTTTACATGTTGCTTTATTATTATTGTTGTCTTGTTGCTATTTGCAGCTGCTTGCCACGCATTTCTTTATTGCTTAAACGTATTGCTGTCATTTTCGCTTTTGTTTTTGTGTTGTGTACGCCGGGGATATGGAAAACTTGATGGTTCTATACGCTGCACCACTGCAAATCGCCAAAAAGCAAAGAGGAGGAAATAACAAAACAAACAATTAGTAAGAAAAGCCACAAAAGTCATTTACACATATTTTAAGCGATTGGCCTGCCCACACGATGGCATACATTAGCCTGAGTCGGAGTGAAATTTAGATTATAGCCACCCATAGCGACGCCCACGCACAGTGGGGCCAAATGGGAATGCGACACGCAATAAACAAAAATGTAATTTCAATTATTCATGTGCAGTAAATGCATAAGCTATTTATTTATAGAAATGCCAGCAAATAAACTAAAGTACAGTAGACACACGTTGTCGTAGATGTGGAAATAGAGAATCTTAAAAATAAACTTTGTCCGATAGCATACTGAATGGATATTGTTTCAATAGGTGAATATGTAGATAAAAAATATTTATTTTAATTAAAAATATATAATATCAACATTAATATTAATTAATTACAAAAAACTCAAGCGTAATACCCTTTCTAGGCTAAATTCTAAAGAACAAAAGTTTAATTTTTAGCCTAAGGTTAATGACCGCGACTTGAACTGCGTACAAATAGAGAATGTTTGCTTAATTTTTGGAGGCGCAACAAATAAAATCTTTCCATTCCACTTTAATGCATTCCACTTTTATAAAGTAAATTTTGGATTTTAATTACACATTAAAAATGTTTTAAAGACTCCATTCAAAATAATGGATTTGCCCAAAGAATTTCCTATAAACAATAAGCACATGTTCAACAATAGATGGCGCCATACACATAGCATGTACGAATTTTATGAAAATTACCACAAAAACATTTCTGGTTGTAAAATTTTTGGAATTTCCGGTTCTAAATGCGTTTGAATCCTATCATAAAACTTGAAGATTTTTCAAAATATATATTCGAGTTTGTTTACCCCATGTGCCCATGTGCGAAGCAGAGTTTTCACCTAATCCTACTAATAATGATTCAATGGCCTAAATGCAGCCGGCATTCAATAACCAAGTTGTTATCTAAACATTTAAACGAGCCGCCTCCAGCTGGCCCCAGTACATAAGCAGATATTGATAGAGATAGACAGATACAGATACAGATACAGATACAGAAACAGATACAGATACACATTCGAGTACTTGCCCAAAAGTTTTTGGGTGATTTTAATGAGTCTCTTGTACTTCCCCACAGACAAATTGAGGGACGGACGAATGGACAGACTGAACGAGCAATCGACCCATCGACCCAACTGGCTTCCATCTGTCTGAGTGCGTGGGTGTATGGTTTGGCTTCTGTGTGTGTGTGTGTGTGTGTGTGGGCGTTGGGTGCTTGATGGCTTGGTACTTGCTGTGGCTGCTGCCTTGCCGCACACAATTTGTAGCAACAATTTATGTGCATTTCTATACAGTTAACATCCGTAACGGTCCCAAAGTCATTTTGCAACAACAATTAAATTTTAGGCATTAAGCGTAACATCTCATATACCAAAACCAAAGGCATCGCCACCCCCATCTCATTATATCTAGCACTCGCGCTCTCTCTCTCTCTCTCTCTCGCTCTCACTCTGTTATTTGTCTTTAGCCAGTTGACTAAAAGTCATTTGTTTCCATAAATGTCACATTTCTGGCGTGCTCTTGAAGTCTATATAATGTGTTTCTTTGATTTATATAATATTTACGAGCATGACTGGCACGATAGTTGTTAGCATTTAATAGATGGCGGGTCGATATGCACAGTATTATATACATATACATATATAAATACATTCGTATGTATATATCATATATATTAATGTATGTATATATGTCTAGCAAAAGTGTTTGCATATTTATGGGCGCTGTCAAATGGATTATGAATCAGATTATTAATGCAAACCAAGGTGTTTCAGTTTATGTCTTTGGTGAACGGTTCGCCCATAACAAAAAGCCATTAGATGTTATTAGCCATTTGATGGCTGTCAGAAGGGCTCAGGCTATACAAGTTGCCAATAGGATAGCTAAGGTGATATCGGATTCATAATATATGTACATTTATATACTTAACTATGTGAACTATAAAAAGAAGTCAAGATGGCAACAGTAGAAAGGATTTTATATTAAAGTGAAAATTGTGGAAATATATTAACTATAAATGCATTGCTAGAAAATCAATATAGCAATATAGCATATAGTCTGTTTTATTTAATACCAAATAGATTTATATAGTTCATATGTTTATATCAATATGAAAACTTTGTTTATTATATATGAAATAGTTATGAAATAGTCAAATATATGTATGTGCATTTTATATTTATTTATATTATTGATTTATATATTTACGGATAAATCGAATTGACTGCAAATGCTTGAAAACTTGATCAAATTTTAGGATAACCCAATTTTATTAAGACATAATTTGTTTAATTTTTAAAAATATATAATAATATTTTTTTACTGCTGTTATTTTTATAATACAATATATAAGATATTATGAAAGCTTAACGCTTCATATAAAATATTGTATATATCATTTCGACAGCTGAGATAAATTGAGAGCAACAACTCTTGCTATAGAATTTCTACAAGCAATACAATTACCGATAATACAATAATGTTTGCCTTCAGATCAAAGCTGCTGACTTTGTAGCGCCTCTGTACATTGGATAAACTAATAAAGTAATTGCATTTCATAGTTTACGTTATGGCTGGGGATGTTGGCAGCTGAAAGTGTCTAGTCGCCACCTGGTTATCACTCAAAATCAGCACACATGAGAGTACACACCAGCCACACAGAGAGAGAGAGAAAGACACTCGCATACTCATGCACACACAGACGCACTTCAATTTATAAGCTGGCACACTCTTCAAACAGTGAACAGACTATATCGACTTTTAGACTGACAGTTCTGTACACACACTTCAGCTTTGGCTCACTACCTCAACGCTTCAATCAAATCGAACTAGATAGTGGGTTGGGTGGTGCTTCTCTCGCACCACCACCACCAGCAGCAGCAGCAGCCAATGTGTCGGCCCTTAATGTTTTAATGCCACATTATCCTATCAACAATTTTGCTGGCTCGCATAGAGAGATCGACCTTGCTTTCGGCTAGTGTGCCCAAATGGAAATCAATCAATGCCGTTTGCTTTGCTCTTCCATTGGATGTTGACGTCGTCTTTGCTGACGTCGCTGACTGAGGCGCCCAACAACAACAACAACAGCAACAACAACAGCAGCAGCTAGAATTGACGTGTGCGTGTTGTGCGCCATCAAAATAAATTGTCAAACATCAAATGGCTGGAAAAATAATCCCAGCAGCCCAAAAACAAAACAACAACAACAACAGCACCTAACTGTGGAACCTGTAGGGCCGCACACTTCCGTTGGCTAAACAAAGGCGCCACATGTCCTCCTGTTCCAAGCTTCATTAATTATTTGCATAGCTTATTTAAGCCAACTCTGGGCTTGGCACTGCTATTTTCTATTGTTGGACGTCGCCTAATTATTTGTTTTTGTTGCCGTTGCTATTCCTGACGCTGCTATTAGCCTATTCAGATTGTGCGTCTCAAGGTTAGAGTAATTTTCGCATTGCAGCCACTGAGAGAACAACAATAAGCAGCGTCGTCTCATAATGATGCACATTCATCCATTCACAGCTCGCGTAAAAAAACCAAACATTGTATACAATTTGTCTTTCAGTCGTTTGGCAGCTGCCCTTGCGCAAAAATAAAATAAAAAGTGAAATAGAAAGAACGAAAATATAATATGATATAGTTGTCTCTGGTTGGGGTGATTGACTTGTGCTTGGGCTTTGCTATGGCCACACAACATAAACATTTCAGTTGGTCAATGCAAGATTTTTCATTCATATTGCATATGTAAAATATTTCAATTGTAAACAAAAATTTCAAAATATTAAAAACAAAAAAATTATATACAGTGCTTTAAATCTTTAATAGCATATTATGATATATGTGAAAAAAGGGAATATTTCAGTAAAATATTAATATTAAATATACAAATTTAAATAGAAAAAAAAATAAATGAATAAAATAAAATATAATGAAAGAAAAACAAAAATGAAAGGAAATAAATAATTAAAATAAAAAAGGAAAATTAAATAATAAAAATATTATTCATACATTTTATTTATTTATCATTATATATAAATATATTATTTATATTTTAATTTTGTATAATATTCTTCAAACATCATTTTAGACGATTAACAAAAAATAATTTATTTATATGTATATAAAAATGAACATAAACTTATTAAATCGAATTTTCCTGATATATTCCATTTTATTTATTTATTTATGAGGTTAAAAATGAATAGGCAATATTTTCACATGATTTTAAATGATCCATAAACGCTCATTAAAGAGTAATTCAATAATGAATTATTTAATAATTAACATTCTAATTGCCAATATGGAATAAATATACTGTTTGCTCGATATGAAATGCGCATTTGCCGCTTTGTAATAATAATTTTAATACTTAAATAAACAACGGAATTTCCATTCATTGCAGTTTAAATGCCAAATTGTTTGTATGCTTATAGACTCGTGTAAATAAATATGTATAATTGCGAAAATTTTCCCATTTCCATTTACTTTGCGAAATATCATCAATTAAAGATTCAAGAACATATGTATTTCAAGTACGGAAGTATTTGGTAAACAATTTCCTTTTCATAAATATTCGCAGCTTTTGCAAAATAATAAAAATCCGACAGCTATATAAATAAAGTGTATTCACAATTCGTTTGAGTACTTATCTGAACGTTACTATAATTTGCATAATTTCGTGTTACTTTTTGTTTTATATTTTTCGCCCTTTCTTCATACTCATTTACGAAAATGAAATGAGTATATTGGTTTTATCCATTTTATATCTGCTTGTATATATAATATGTAACATGATCCGCCCACTAGAGACACGCCAAGTCGGAGGATACATTGTCCGGTATCTCAGAAGCCAGAAGTCGTAACGCTGGATGCAGAAATTTGGAATGTATACTCGTGGCTATACATACAAGCGGCTCTATCTACGCGCATTGGGCAAAGCCGGTAACTTGTACAGCTTTGGAATTAGAAATTTAACTACTACAATATTGCTTGGGTCCTCCATTGATATACACAAACAATATATATATAAATAAATATACGAAAAAATGGATCTGGCAATGTTTGGGTTGTGAATGAGTACTTTTCAGTCGGTAACTCCCGATTACAATATTCTTGCTTGCTTGTTTGCAATTTTGTTTATTGTTGAGAGCTGCTCAGCCCATGACCAGAAAACACCTACCCTACCCTACGCTGGCTGGTAGCTAGCTTTGTTAGTTAATGTACAAAATACACGTAAAATCTACGGAAATCCTGTGCATTTTTTGCGACGAACCCAATTACGAGCCTTATTATGAGTTGACTTTTGCGCCAAGACTAAAGCTTTCTCTCGTTCTCTCATACACCGCCTTTCTCTCTCTCACTCCCTCTCTCTCTCTCTCTGATTCATTCTCACGCACGCTCCCTTGTGGCAGCAAATTTCTGATTTTAGACGCCGGAACCGCCAAAAAATTTGCAAATATTTTATAATAGAGCAAGAGAAAGGAAAGAAAGAACGAAAGAAAGTCGATGGGACATTTGCAGAGAAACTGAAGATGCTCTCGTCTCATAAACGCATTTTAATGCCTGTGCATTCTCATTTTGTATTTTTATGGACAATACGTTAACAATGTTTACATTTAGTTGTGTTCTATATTTAAACAATAACAGCACAATCACACACATACGCACACTTATATACACACACATACCCGCTGCTGCTGCTTCTGCCTTTAGTATATTTTGTTTACAAGCAATTTTTGTATGTTTTAATCTTTTTTTTTTTTTTGAGGTTTGCGTTGGCGGCATTAGAAAGCCAAAACTATTGAAAATTACCAAATGCAGGCATAGGCCACAGAGAGCAGCCAAAGGGAGAGCCGAGAGGCGAGCCGAGTCTGCGCCTGCCCAGAGGCCCCAAGGGGACAGAGGCGGGCATTCTGTATGTGGGTGGATAATTTGGTTTGGGTCGCTAGGCGGCGGTATTCCTTTCTTTTTTTTATTTATTTTACTTTCTTTTTTTGTGTGTGTGTGTGTGTGTGACTCGAGTTGGTCTTCGTCGTTGTCGTCTTCGTTGTCGGCTCAAGATTAAAACCGTTTGCGCTGTATTCTGTCTTTTATAATTTTTGGGTTCGGGCTGCTGCTGCTGCTGCTTAAGAGATGCTTATGTATCCATTTCCCAGCAGCCCAACAACTGAATTGAGCTGGGGCATGTACGGCCTGCTTGCTGTGCGAATATTGAAAAACTTGGCCCATTGAGGGTATTAAGAATGTTGATTTATCATTTACAACGGCAACAAATGACAATTTCAAGTAAGGAGAGCCCAAATTGATGGGCTAAGCCCAATAAACCGCAATCTATGACTATTGATTGATGCCAGAGGCATGTTTAATGAATAATTCCAAGCAAATGAATGATATGAATAAAATACTATATTTCCCCCCATTAAAATTCCCAATAAGTAATTTGATCTAATTTATAATATGAGTAGCTTGAATTATTAATTGGACAGAAAACAATACGATTACAATTAAATTTGGCCACACAAATGAAATTAAATCTTGTCCAACTGTGCGTATGCTTATTATTAAGTTCAGGCATTGCGCATACGTCATGTTGTGCAAGGATAACGCAATTTAATATTTAAATTGCGTGCGCCACAGAGACCCACACGGACACCCACATTCGGCAATCAGAAGATGAGAAATGCTCCCACTTGCAAGGCCAAAACGAAGCGCTGGTCATGTGCAAGCTACTGTCTCTAACGGTAAACTGTGTGCCATTCAAATTAATTGCAAAGCTCATAAAAAGCGTAACGACTTCGCAAGCAGAGAGCGAGAGCGGTTGAGAGGATGTGAAAGGGCGGGTGAGAGAGAAAGAGTTATCAGTGAAACGCATCAGCAGTCCCGAAAAACTTTTCGGTCGCATTTAACGCGCCACTGAGGAGATGACGCTCGAAGGCGGAACGAAAGCAAACGGAAAACCTAACCGAAACAGAAACGTGCAAGTGACCCCAGCTCGGCTAATATGCAGGATGTGTTGTAGCTGGCGTAATTTATGTAGGCCCGCTAAGCCTCTTAAGCGTAAAATGTGATTATATCTGCAAGTAATCACACATATTGCTCAGACTCGCAGATTGTGTATACGCAGCGTATGCCAGGGCTGCCTTTTCTAGCTCTGATTGAACAAATTTAACGAACAACCCAATCAAAATAAACTGTTTTGCTGTTGTTTTTATTAAATGTATGGCAAAAGTAGTATAAAGTCATAAGAATGAATCAACCATAGCGAATAGATGATTATAAGGGAAACATGTTTACATTATGTAGCATAATTATTGCTTTGCTCTGCTTGCTTTGCATATGCGAACTCAAATAATTACTAATCAAGGCTAGACCACAAATATTTGTAAACATTTCAAGCCAAAACAAACGCAATTTGCAAAGAATTATATATAAAGTATTGGAAAATTTAAAAAATAATAAAAACATTAAATGATAATAACTTATTTTTAAGGTGATTTCATGATAAGTTGTGTATGGATCTGCTTTGATAAGAATAGAGTATGTCAAAGTCTTAAAACATCCTTGAAAACTAGCGCGAAACCAAGGCACAATTTAAAGCTGCTAAGGGATGTGCATCACTGGCACAACAACAATGCAGCATGGCCGCAGCAGCAGCTGCTGTGCATCAAGCGCGTCATAAACGCGCGCACACACACATACATCAAGATACGTAGCTGCACGTGCATGCAGGCCATATAACAACTGCAAGTGGTATACAGATGCCCGTGTATGCGTGAGTGTGTGTGTGTGCATTAAAATGGTTTTGTTGTTGCGCCAAAAACCAAGCCAAGGCTTTTTCGCACATTTGCACCAGCAAATGGACTGTTTGGACTTAGATGCTGCTGCTGCTGCTGCTTACTGATTGCTGCTGCTGCGGCTGCTGCTGCTGATACTGTGCGCTCTTTCTCTCCTACAGACGACCTTCACTTTCACACACAGAGAGCGCACAACACAGCCGCCGCGGCCGTCAACGTTAGCTTTTGTTGAATGACTTTGTGCTGCTCAATGCTCAATGCATATACAAAATTAAATCCGGCTATACATTAATTAGGCCAACAACTTGTTGTTGTTGCTACTTTTAGTTGGAATCCAATTCCGTTTCACTTCGAAATTCTTTAAATTATTACCATCAACATCATTTTTTATGTACAAGGACAATTTTGTATTCCTTTTCGTTTCTTGTTGTTCTTGTAGGTGTTCCTATAAGAGACGACACGAAACAGTCGTCTCGTCGTGCAACAACAAGAGCAACAACAACATTTGCGCGGATACACACATTTTCACAAATCAAAAAAGCAAACGAATGTTGCCACACACACACACACACACACATACACACTAACACGCACGCACATACACATACACACTAAAACCACCCATCCACCCACACACACACACAGTCGCTTTTTGAAAAAAAAGTCGCTCACACAAATAGCGCGTCTAATTTTCATTATTATGGATTTTCCGCTTCAATCTGTTTGATTAAGCAATTAATTTATTAATATTTGAATAGCAATTTGTTATTATTGTTGCTATTGTTGTTTTCTAATGATAGTGTCTGTGGTCATTGTTATGCCACACACATACATACATACACTCACGCATACACACACAGGCAAATACACGCGCTTACAACCAGGCACTTACACTTACATTCATGTATATTTATATATGTGTGAGTGTGCGTGTGTAGTTTACATTTTTACACTTGCTCTCGTTTTAGCTCTTTTCCCACTGCCCGCACATTTTTGCCTAACGCTTTTGGCTTTTATTTTTACACTATTTTTTGCACATTTCCTTTTCAGCGTTTGCTTGCAATTTGGAATTTTTTCTTTTTTTTTTCTGCTCTCTTTTTATTTCTTTACTTAGATATTCCTGCACGCACGATTTCCAAAAGTCCCGTTGCGTTCAAACGTTCTCGACAAACTGAAAGAACGGAAAGTGAAAAGCGCGCAGTAGCACCAGCAGCAGCAGCAGTAGTAGGAGCACCAGCAGCAGAAGAGCGGCAGGGTTGTTGCTGCACCCATCTGCGCCTCCTACGTAGTCGCCTGCTGGCCAAACGGCGCTCTCTTCGACTGGCAATCCGGGACGTGCGCTCTCTCACAGCGCCGGCGTATTACCACCTGGCGCAAGTGGTGGTCACTGTTGATGTTTCAGCTGCTACACTATGGCATCGAATTCAAATAATTCGCATAAAATGTTAACAGGCTTTCTAATGATAACATTTTAAATTTGTATTCTTATCTGATGCAATGTCTGTGTGAGACATTGAAAATACAATCGACATAAAAATTGACAAGATATAATTATATTAGCACATACGTAGATATTTAGGTTATAGCAATATATTCGTGCTATAGGATATTCGTTAGCGAGGTAATCTTCTGTGCGATATTTCTCTAAACAAAAATAGCATCTGCTTCATGTAAATAACATTTAACTAAACATTTATTTCAGTGCAGGGTGCTCTACAATTGACAATTGGCAACTTTGATCAAACTAAGTGGATAATCATTATTTTCATGAGTTCAAAAAAATATCACTGTTTAAATTATCAGCCTGCTGCAACAAATGGTACTGAACACTTTTTAAAACTTCCAAAAATACCAAATGATTACAGTTTAAATTTACATTAATTACATGAGCTACTGTTGAGGTATTTGGTATTTTCTGTGATGATTATTTAGCTTGAGTGGCGCCGCTGGCTTGTTCATTAAATTGTTTGTGCCATTCCAGATTCTGCTTTGTCACGGATTCGCCGCGCTTAGCTGCTTGCTTTCCACTGTAGATCATAATGCCACAGCCGACCACGGTCAAACCAATCATAATATTTGCCAACCTAATACGCATTTTGTTGCGGCAGCGTTCCATTTCCTCCTGACTGTAAATATATCAAGCCAAAGCCTTAAACATGGTTCCAGATTATATACCGTTTATTCGCATACCCTACAAAGGCTGGAACTTCATCTACTGATTTGTATTTGCCATTCCACACCAATAAGCGTTTCTCCAATCCGTTTGGCTGATGATTTTTAATAGATTGCCTCAAGTTTTGCGTGTTGCTGAACGTACGTTGCATCAGCAGACTCGATGCGCGCTTACCCAAAGCGGCAATTAGCACGGACTTAGTTAACATCCTAATACATCAACCAGATTGAATTATTACGGATGCAAACCGGCTTTTAAATGAAATTCAATTGGAAATTCTATCGGGATTGTGGAACTTTATGCAACGTTCGTGACTGTCAGGGTTGACACCATGCTCTAATACACTTGTTGAACGTTGCCACTGAGGCAAATAATTTGCGTGAGAGTGCGGCACGTATTATTAATTTGATAGGCAGCACATATTTACTTAATGTTAATACAGTGTTTTTTTAACAATGCTAATATATATATAAAATTAAAGAGCCTATAAAGAAACCTATATAAAATATTTATTTCTTTAAGCATTTATTTAGATCAGAAAGTGCATTGAAATGCACATCACTTCTGTCGACCATCGATAGTAATATCGATTGCATATGTGGTTATACCGGCAAAGTTTACAAAGATGTTTTATAACGTTGTTAAACGAGCCATTCAAACACACATAAAAAATGTGAATAAATATCACATAGTACGGCTCAGCAGTAGCTCCCCTAGTGGCGTAAAAGATGACATCAAAGATGCGCTGGATATTGAGGCGAATTTGTTTGAAAACTCAGTGTTGCAACATCAGCCGGTGAGCACGCGGGAGGCTTTACGCAAGCACAAACCAACATTAATTAGTAAACAGAAGAGAGAGCCAAATAAAAAGAAAGATGTAACTGCGGATACAACAGCAACACCGGCACCAGTGAAAAAAATAGATCCAGTTCCACCAGTTAAGCGTGCGCCTACACCGCTTATTAAGGACAGCGAATTGAATTTGGAGTTCCTGCGCCTCACCTTGCAGGACCCGTTAATGAGCACTTTGCTGACCGAAGTGCGTTCACGCAAACGTCGCGACAAAAACAAACAGATCATTATCGAGGGCCGACGTCTCATACAGGAGGCTCTTCAATCTGGCCTGAAAATGATTTCCTTATTCTTTAGCCAAAAAGATCAATTGGCCATGTTGCGGGAACAAGTTGCTCAGGCTCAACAGGAACAAAACACGAAAATCTATAAAGTGCCGCAACATGACCTGAAAACATGGTCCTCGCTGGTAACTCCACCCGGACTCCTGGCAATATTTGAACGTCCCTCTCCACAAGGCCTACAACAGCGGCAGGACACTGAGCCCCTACCAATTACAGTGGTGTGCGACAATATACGTGAGCCCAACAACTTGGGCAGCATAATAAGAACCTGCGCTGCTGTACCCTGTAGCCAGGTGGTGGTCACACACGGATGCTGTGATCCCTGGGAATCCAAAGCGTTGCGCGGCGGCTGTGGCGGCCAATTCCGTTTGCCCATACATGATGATGTCACCTGGGAGCAGCTGCCACTGCACATACCACCGGAAGTAGCAGATACTTGCCATGTCTTCATTGCCGAAAATAATCCATCAAAAACGGCGACGCGTGCAGGCAGAACTGTAGACTACGCGGAACTGGATCAGACAGGCGCGCACAATATTCTCATTATTGGAGGCGAGAGTCATGGCGTTAGCGATGATGCTTACAGGTAAACATTCTAGAAGATCTACATAAATATATAAAACTAATGTATATAATCTCCTAGTTTCATGAATCTGGTGGGCGACAGGGGCAAGTGCGTCTATATTCCTCTGGCAGCTGGCATTGACAGTTTGAATGTTGCATCTGCGCTAACTTTAATATTATTTGAGCTGCGCAAAAAACTAATCAATAAAACAAACAATTAGTTAAAATAAGTATACAATTAAAATTGATATAGTTTTATGTCAAAATATAAAGTACAATCGACTAAATGGATTTTTTAATTAACATTTTTTATATTGTTTGTTATTTTCTATATTAAATCCCATTTGTAAATAACTTTGACATACTACAAATTTATTGCTAAATTGTTTCACTTATTTCATTTTTTGTAAAATTAATAAAAATTCAACTATTAGCTTCGATTTCCTTGTATACCTCACGTTTATATTCATCCAGGCCGCCCTCAATAGCGCGCACCGTTCGATTACCACAAACCCACAATTCCTTGCAGACGACTTTAATTAAACGTTCGTCGTGAGAGACCAAAATGACACCGCCCTGAAATTTTAAAAGAATAAAATTATAAATTATACAAATAAAATCTTTTAGTTTAGTTCATACCTTAAATGCATTTATAGCTTTGCCCAATGCATCAATTGTTTCAATATCCAAATGATTCGTCGGTTCATCAAGTACCAAGAAATTCGGTTCAGCTGCATACAAAAGGAATTATACAATATACAAAATAGAATAATATATTACACATACCCATGCACATTTTGGCTAAGGCCACTCGTGATTTTTGACCTCCAGACAAGCTGGCGATACTCTGCAGAGCCAGTGGACCCGAAATACCAAAGCTGCCCAGCTGCCGACGATACTCCTCATCGGGCCGGCCAGGGAACAGCTCCGCCAGCACGCCCACACAAGTCACATTCATATTTAAATGGTCGACGTGGTGCTGGGCGAAGTAGCCTATGCGCAGACCGCGATGCAGCACAATATTGCCATGGATGGTGCTCAGCTGGCCAACAATAATCTTCAGCAACGTCGATTTGCCTGCTCCGTTCTCACCCACAATGCAAATGCGGGAATCCGAAGTGGCTGATAGATTAACGCCCTTAAAGATGGGCAGTGGATCCTCGGGATTGTAGCGGAACGAGACCTCTGAGATGGCCAACACGGGCGGGTTAAGTGGCTCCACTTCGGGAAATTTGAGCGTTACAATTGTTTCCTTCTCCACGGGCTTGAGTTCCGGTCTAGGGAGTTAGTTATAAAATGTTTTAAATCAAATTCAATTTCGGATAAGAGTTCTACTTACAGTTTCTCTAACATCTTGATTTTGGACTGAACAGATGAGGCTCGGTTGGCGTTGTAGCGGAAGCGATCAATAAACTCCTGTACATGTGCCCTGTGCGCCAGTTGTGCCTCGTATTCACGGCGCTGTGACTTGAGCTTCTCCGTCTTTGTCTTCTCAAACTGCTCGTAGTTACCCCTGAAAAAAAAAATGGAGACAATTAGATCAGGTGTAATAGATGAATTTGCAATCGGACTCACTTGTATGCTTCCAGCTCCTGGGAATGTAGATGGATGATGTCCGTTGGTACAGTGTCCAGAAAGTTGCGATCGTGAGATACCACCAAAATGGTTGTAGGCCACGTTTGCAAGTAAGTCTCTAGCCAAATGATGGCCTTAATGTCCAACATGTTCGTCGGCTCATCGAGCAGCAGCAGATCCGGTTTGGAGAACAGCGCCCGAGCCAGAGCCAAACGCATACGCCAACCACCTGAGAATGATTTCGTGGGCCTTTGTTGCATGTCTGCATCGAAGCCCAGACCCTTAAGTATCACAGAAGCACGCGCCACCGCCTTGTCCGCCTCGATGTTCTGCAATGCGGCGTATGTTTCGCTCAGCTCGCTTGACAGCGCCGCATCCTGCACCCCGCTGTTCAGCGCGGCCAGAATTTCTTTCTCCCTTGTCAGAAGACGCGTACGCTCCGTATCACACTCAAGCACACTATCCACAGCCGAAGTGTCGTCGCCCACCACCTCTTGCTCCACATGCAGCACTGATATGTGCGATGGAATTTGCAACTGGCGCTCGGCAATCATGCGCAACAGCGTCGTCTTGCCAAGTCCATTGCGGCCAACCAGGCCATAGCGACGACCAAAGGACAACAACAAATTCGCATTCTGCAGGAGAACTCTGTAAGAGATTCAGTGAATACCATTCGTATATGGGGAATCCAGATTTATCTGTCAACTTACTTCTCACCAAATGCCAAGTCAAAGTTTTCAATTTTAATGTCCATGGAACGATTGAGTCCTTTTTGATCCATTTTGGTGTTCTTTTTGTTGGTCACCTGAGAAGCGGTGGCCGTTTGCAGCTTAACAGCCACTGGCACAACGCCGAGCTTGTTCACCTCCTGACGTTTCTCCTGTTTCTGCATTAGCTTGGCCTCCGCTTTCTCCAGCTTCTTTGAGTCAACTTTCTATACTTGTAAAACATTATCTAAGTCATGTGTGTCATATAATGCTAAATATTTGTTTACTCACATTACCACCGTCTTTGTTGACCACCCAAATACTATGCATTTCCTTGTCCATGCGCTCCATATTCTTGGCCATCTCCTCAATGTTAACCGGCGCGTTGAGCACTTTGCGCTCGACATTCTTCGAGTTATTCTTCATGATATTGAAGAATTCATCACAAAGCCCTCGTATATTCTCCTCGGACCGCTCGCCATCGATACCTTGGAGTATGTCGCCGACCGCGTCGAAGATGTCATCGCACGTATCGAAGTCTTCTTCGCTGCCAGTTAGGACACCCTCAACATAGTCCTTCATCTCATTGTCTATAGCCGGAAACTCACGTTGCAAAATGATTGCGTATCGACTCATCCTGTCGGCGTTGCTTGTTGCTGCTGTTCACTTGACCTTGATCACGCAATCCAATATTGGTTGCTGCACAATGGGACACTGTGGCACTGGCCTAATTTAAATAAATTGATTATTATTATTTGATTAAGCACAGCCCCAATGTGTTGGTCGTTCACCAACGTGCCAACAAAAAAGAAATCCCAAAGCAGGGTTGCTGCAATTAACTCGATGCATCGATATCTTAAGCTATCAGAGCTTTGCTATCGAAACAAGCTATATCGATATTAGATAACATCAACCGCCTTTTGAAATAACAATGAGAATTTCGTGTGTTAATGAAAATATATATATTTTACTTTCAAATTTGTGTTCGAAGTTGATAACAATTTTTTTTAAATATACATGATATAAAACTAATCGCGCATTGAGTGTACTACTTGTATTGCTCAAGTAGTTTGATAAGCAGCCATAACATAATACATAATAATTTAAAATAACAATGCTAAACCCTATTAAAAAGAGGACCTTGGTTTTTGTAAAACAATAATCAATGGAAATGCATATGTAAAACAATTTTTAAAAAACCATAAGTAATTTGTCTATAAAAATGGACCGTACTCATAGGCATACATGTGTTCAATTATATAAATAATTGCAATAATCATATTAATCATACAAGTACAAATAATTGCATTAATCATAATGATAGTAATCATACATAATGTTAAGTTGCTCAAGAAGTTGTTCATAACAATTTACAAACTAGAATTACTACTATCACCGTTTTATGCGCTTTACAACTTACGAACTAGGGCTAAATTATGTATTATCATATTCTTTTTCATTTCATATAAATAGTACGCAATGCCTCTAAAGTCGATATTTATGTACATGGCTACATATAGATATATTAGCATCCACTAGGCGCACGGCATTGCCGAGCTGCTGCTGTTGCTACCGTTACTGCTGCTGCAGTTGGTTTTGCGTTGTCGGGCGCCGCGTCCACTTAGCAAGTAGGACAAATCAATTGGCTGCTCCTGCGCCGTTTGCGCATCCAGGCATTTGAGCTTCATGGTATTTAGAACATTTTCCAAGCGCGATCGCTTCTTCTTTAGCACCTGAATATAGAATACAGCTTGAGTATGACTATGATACAAATTTCGTATATTTTAATAGCAACCTGTCCATTGGGAGCGACTGGCGTTAACACTTTAACAGCGGTTTCTGTGACTGCTGCCGTTACACCGGATGCCGATCCTGTCTGCCCAGCGTTTGCATTTCGCTGCTTCCTGTTGCTCCCTGTTGCTTGGCTTGATTTCTGCTCCTGTCTACTCATTTTTATGGATGTTGCTCCTACTCCTAAATCAGTCTTTTGCTTCCTCGACTTCAACAACGATGGGTCCACATCATGTGGCTGCAAATTAGATTTATTGTTTAACTCTGATAGATTATGATTATTTTTTCTATTTCACTTACCGCATAGCTTTTTGAGATCTTGAGTTTCTCCGGAAACTTTCTAAACGCATAGCTCTTAGTGCACGCCGGATGATTGGCCTTGGCCTTGGAAAAGAAACGAGCGGTCTTGTCCACACGCAGCTCACATATGTAGCAATGTTCCTCGTCGTTGCACTCCATGGGTCGACCCTTGCAGAATGTGGTGCGATCCAGCACCCAACAGCGCCCAATCACTAGTTCAATTGGCACCACCTCGTACAGCGAGACCCGAACTACCTCGTTGGGATAGAAGCGACGCGATGGCTCATGGAAGGTCTCGTGAGGACGCAAGAAGTGATGACCGAATATGAAGCGTTTGCCCGCCTCGTTCTTCCACAGATGCTCCACGCGAAATATGTCGCACTCTTGATAGTCAATGGCTCCAATGGTCTCGTACGTATGCTTCTGACTGGGCAGCACCTTGCCCGTCTCATCCTTGATGGGTATATCACGCAGCACGTAAACTGCGTCACCCTGGCGCACCTGCAGGTCGCCACGCATCAGCGATAGATAGTAACGATGTCCCTCGTCCGTGTACTCATCCAACGGTATTTCGCGATCCACTTCTCGCGGCTCACAGCGCTCGCACTGATAGTTATCCGCATCGATGTCTGCTTTGGTGCACTCGGTGTGCTGCCAGACCATGCACTTGGAACACTGAATCATCAGACCCTCGTCCTTGTACAGACCACAAATGCAGCGTATGACATCTTCCTCGTCCGTGGCTGGCACCACCTCTGGGGCTGCAGCAGCAGCTGCATTTGTTTCCTTTGTTTCCTTAGTTTCCTTTGCATTCTGCTGCTGCTTCTGATCCTCTGACTGAACTTCTTTGGCCTCTTCCTCTGTCTCCTGGTTGGGCTTAAAGCTTTCCAGCCCCTCTGGCTTGCCCAGTATTTCCAGCAGCTGCGGGTAGCTGGCTTCCTTCTGCTGCTTGTAGCTTTCCAGCAGCGTTTGCAGCGCCTTTGACTTCTCCTCATCGTCGCCGTGCAGCTGCCGCGCCTCTGTAAACAGCTGCTGCATCTGTTCATCATAGGCCTGTGGTGTCTTATAATGTCCCTGCTCCACTTGAGCTTGAATTGTCTTAAAATCGAGACGCGCAGTTTTCAGCTGCTTCTTTTTCTTGCTGCTGGCCAATGTGGAGAGCAGCTCAGACATTTTGGGAGATTCAAGTGCACTGCAAATGTCGCGGAATACTACGGCCATTTTGGCCATCTTCTCCAGCTCCGGATCCTGTACGGCTTGCGTTAAGCCACGTGTTTTCATGTTGCGCGGCGTGCAGAGTGCTGAGATTTGTGCGGCCAGCAGTGAGCTTGACGAAGGCGTCGATGGACGACGGCCAGGCAGATCAGCCTCGCCCGCAGCCGGCGAGCCAGCGGCGCGCGCCTTTGCCGCAGCGCGTTTGGCCTTGCAACGACGAATCTGTGAATGAAAGAAACGTTAGAATAACAGTTTTTAATTGGAGCGTTTGCTACTTGCCTTCTCGAAGTTGCGCACCAGAAATATATTACACTGCTTGACCAGCTTCTTCTCCCTCTCGGAGAGCTGCTGTACGCGTGCCACGACCATGGCCTCCTTGGCCGCCTGCTGCTGGCGCTGCGCATTCTTCTTGGCCTTGTGCTTGCGCTGCCGCCCATTTCGATTGCCGTTGGCATCCTTAGCGCCAGCATTGGCGCCCTCCACACCTGCCGTCGTCTTCAGCTCCGCTGGCAGCGGTTTAATGCGCTGGGATTTGCCGCCAATCACACCGCGACACTGCGGCATATTACAGCGGCACGGCTGGCCCTCGGAGGGATTGAAGAGCGAGAAATTGTAATCGTAGGTCAGCTCCTCGCCCTCCTCGATGGCCCGCTTAGCGAACAGCACCATGCGCGACAATCCATTCACACTCCACTTTTGCATCTCGCAGTTGGGCTCGCACGAGTGATTCACGAAGCGGCAATCGCTGCCCATGCGCTGGCCATCGATGACCAGACCGCCATCCAGATGCAGACAGTAGTGATGCGTGTCGTTCAGGTAAATGCTGGCCATGCGCTGCTTGAACTCCCGCTCGGTGACCACCTCGCCCACATACTCCAGTATGTAGGTGCCCTTGGCAATGGGTAACTTGGTGCGCACACCCCAGCCCTTGTCGGCGGTCATGAAACGCTCGACACCAGGCGCCACCTCATGTCGTTGGATCTTCTGATTGCGGCACTTGTCGCCCGCTGGGCAATTGCTGGGCACACACTCCGTGTACACCATGCGATTCAGGCAATTGTCCAGACAGGCGCCATTCGGCTGGGGCTTGCAATTGCAGTTGGGATGATCGAAGCCCGCGAGATTGGGACGCACCGACTCCGCATAGACGTTGGTGCGTATCTTGCGATAGTTCCAACTGGGCACCACATGCCGCGTGGGCAACTTATCGTGGCTATAGGCCCACCAAATATCATATGGCAATTCAAAATCGATGACGGTGCTCCTAAAGTAACGTTCACAATAGGTGGGCGGTGGCAGCAAAGAGCTGCCCTGCTGTGGCTGCTGCTGTGATTGTTGCTGCTGTGGTTGTTGCTGCTGTGGTTGTTGTTGCTCTCCATCTGTAGTTTTCTTATTTGGCTGCTTGATGGCAACAGTTGCAGCGGGCGTCGTTGCTGCACCCCCTCCGCCCAGCTGCTTATAGTAATTGGAGAAGAGTCCAGCCACCAAATAGTTCTTCTTTAGCTTGGTGCGCTTGCGCTGCGATGCAGTGCTGCACTTGTCCTCGCTGGTATCACTGCAGCTGGCATAGTCGGTGGCCAGATTGGAGGTGGACTCATGCGCTGGCAGTGGCTCATGCTCAATGGCTGGCACGGGCTGCAGTTGCCGCTTGGCTGCCGCCTCAGCTGCAATCTGCTCTAGGTCATCGCTGGTGGGTGGCTCCAAATGCAGCTGTTCCGATTTCTGCTGTTGCTGTTGCGTTTTCTTTTCTTGCTGCTGCTGCTGCTGCTGCTGCGGCTGTTCCTGTTGCTGCACTGTGTCCTGTTGCTGCATCGTTTTGCGACGCTTCAAGCGTATTTTACAACTAAAATTCGTATTTGGATCAATGCCCGCAGGCAGCTTAATGCTAGTCTCCAGCTTTCGCTCCAGTCTGGGCAGCGCCACTTCCGCTTGCTTGGCCGCACGTCCACGCTTTTTCGCTGGCTGCACTTCCAAAAGCGGGTCTAGCTGTGGCTCTTGAGGCTGCTCTTGCTGCTGCTGTTGTTGTTGTTGTTGTTGTGGCAGCTGCTTTTGCAACTTGGGCCTGCCTCTGCCGCGTGGCTTGCCTCGAGCTGCAGCTGCACTATTCGCCGGTGTTGGGGGTCGCTGCAAACGCTCCAGAGCCACCACCGACAAGCGCGGCGTGCGCTGACTGCTGCTGCGAGCCACAAATGTCTCACGCGCCTCTCCTGGCTGCGGCACACGCTCGCAATCCATTGCGACAGCGGCAGCTAGGGTGCTGCTACTGCGCGTTTCTCGAGCGGGCAACAGCTGCTGTTGCTCCAGTTGTTGTTGTTGTTGTTGTTGCGGCTGCTGCTGCTGCTGTGGCTGTTGCTGCTGTGCAGTTGCTGTTTGCTCGACGCTCACCTTACGCTTCTTACGCCTCACTGTGGGAAAGCCGGTGCGATTGATTTTCTTTCGCTTGCGCTTCAGCAACAAATTGCCGCCCGTCTTGTGCAGCAGCGTTTCCAGCACGCGCTGGCACTGCTCCTTCTTGTTGGCGTCCTCCTTGATGTCCATGGCGGCCAGCAGCGGCGACTCCACTTCCGATTTTGTGATAACCGCCTCATTTAACTTGGCTATGGGTATTTGGATTTCCAGTTCCACAGACGGCTCAAAGATGCCCGGCGGCGGGCAGCTGTTGCTGCCGGCGGGCGACTGCAACTGCTGCGGCAGCTCACGAGCAGCCGCGCCGGCTATTGCCACCGTGGAGTTCTTCGACTTGGTGCCCTGACGACGCTGCTGCTTCAGTGAGCACAGCGAACTGGGACTGATGTCCAGCAGCTTGCCGCCGCTTATGGAATTATTATCGACGACAATGCGCAATGGAGAGGCGTTGCCTGCTGCCGAGGAGCCGCTGCCACTGGCCTCCTGGCTGACCAGCAAATGTCGCTTCTTGGGCGTTAGCTTCTTGGCATTGAACTGCGCCTGGGCCTTGGTATTGACGCTGCTCTTGGCCGCCGCTGCAGCGGCTGCCCAGGCCTCGGCATTCAGCTTGCCGTTGCTGGCAAACGCCGACGCCGACACCTCGGCGCCCGTTGTGACCAGATAATGGCGCTTCTTCAGCGGCAGCTTATGATCGTCGGGACTAGAGCTGTTGCTGCCGCCGCTGTTGCTGCTGGACTTCTTATGGCGTCGCTTGGCGCCGCCGTTGCTGCTGCTGCTAATGCTGTTGCTGATGCCGTTCGCATTTCCAGCGCTGGCCGAGAGCATGGCAAAGTCAATCAGCGGTTCGTTTAGCTTGCGCTTCTTTAGGGCACGCTTCAGCGGCTTGGTGGCTCCAGTGCCAGCGCCGGTTGCATTGCTGCTGCCGCTGCCGCCGCCATTTAGCAGCGGCAATGTCGCCGCAACGGGTGCAGTGGCCAGCGTGGCCTGCAGCTTGTTCGCATCGGCTAGCAATTTCTCCTTGCCGCTGCTCGCTGTCAGCCGATCCTCCTGAATGCGACAGCGCGCATGAAATGTGCTTGCAATGATGTCTATTTCAGTTAGCAGCTTGGAGTCAATATTTAGGGATTTCGAATGACTCATGCTCTTCCTGCGTTGCCGTCGTCGTCGCGACACGCCCGACACATAGCTGCTGCACATGCTAGCAGCAGACGAGCGTCGACTCTTTATTTTACACGCACTCTTGCTGGGCACAATGGTATCCTGGCTAATGGAGTGCTTGCGTTGCAGCAACATTTTACCTAGAAAACCAAATATATTTAGTTAAAGTTTTATATTAATTCTTTCTATATCCCATCCTTACCCTGCATAAAGTTATCTGGCACCGCTGCCGTCGCTATCGGCGTGCTGGCTCCGGCCGCAATACTCCCAGCTGTTGCCTTTGCCGCTCCACTAAAATATTGTCCCGTGGTGACAAACCGATTGATCTCGCCATATTTCTTGCTGGCACTCGTGCTGGGCAAGCACTTGAGACTCGGCTTGCTAATGTACTCGTTGCTCTCCTCGCTGCTCTGGCCGAGCGAGAGCCCCGCCAGCTGGAGTATATCCTGATCGTGCTCATCGCTGAGCGCACTCGCTGTCTGCTCATGCCCGCTCCGCAGCATAGAGGCGCGTCTGCGTCGCCGCAGCGATTTGCTCGATTTACCCGAGGATTCCTTGCAGTCGCTGCGATAGCCGCAGCTCTTGGCGCGGCTCATGCGGCTGCGACTGCGACTGGCGCAGCTACGGCTGCTGTAGCGGCTCTTGCAGCTGGCATCCGATTTGTAGCCCGAATTGTGATTGTGCCGCTGATGCCGCACGCTGCCGTAGTCCGAGACGTAGCCGCTTTTCGCGGCGAGGATTTTGCTGCAAATGGTGTTCGAGGTACCACCACCGCCGCCCCCATCACTTTTATAGCCGCTGACGCTGCGCAAACGAAACTTCTTGTTCACGTCGATCTTGCGCCACAGCGGATCCACCTGTACATCCTCCTTCTTGTCCTTCTTGTTGCCCTGCCGTCGCTTGCTGCGCGGCGGCGGATACAGCACACGTTCCGCCGTTGCATACATGCGCTTATCCAGATAGGCCATATCGATTTTCGGCTTGGCATTGTCGCTGGCCATTGGCGCCGGCTGCATTTTGGGCGACGGCGTGGTGCTGATGACGCCAGAGTCTGCTGACTCATTGATGGTGGGCACGGCGACGGGCAGGGGAGCTACGCTGGCGGCGGCAACAGTTGGTTGCAGCTTCTTGGGGCGGCCGCGTCGCTTGCGTTGCTGCAACTGTTGCTGTTGCTGCAACAGCTGCTGCTGTGCGAGGTTGCTGCTGCTGCTAGCAGATGCCGATGCAGCTGGAGCTGAGGCTGCTGCACTGGCTAAGCTATTGTTGCTGCCTGTGTGATTCAGCATTTGTGTCTTCTCCATAAAGTCCTGCAGCAGCGTGGATTGATATTGGGGCAGATGCTGTTGCTTAATCTTGGCGGCAGCAATGCCAGCTGAAATGCTGCTATTGTCCTCAGCATCGCTTTCGACACGCTTAATGGCCGCCTTCACCAGGTCGGCTGCTTTGACCAGCTCCTCGTTGTCACTGCTGGAGATGCCCATGTGATGATGGTCGCCCTGGCTGCCACCAATTGCTGTTAGCAGCAGACGCGGTGCACGCTGAATGTGCATCTTCAAGGGCAAGTCATCATCCGAATCGGAACTAAATACAGCTGCAGCCGTGCGATTCGTTTTACCATTGCTATTGTTATTATTATTATTATTGGCCATGAAGTTGCTGCTGCTTTTTTGCGCAATCTTCTTCCGTTTGACTTTTATCTTTTTGGTTGTGTTTGCAGTTGATAAGACTTTATCTTTCTCCCTCTCCCTCTCCCTCTCTTTGTCTCTATGCCTGTCCTTGGCATCTGTTGAGCAGCCGCTCAGCTCCTGAGCCTCGCTCATCTTGCGCACCTTTGTCAGCTTCTTACGCGAAATATTCTCAACTGTCGACGCTTCCCTTCGAGCTTGAGTCGAATTCGTTAAACTTGTTGCTGCGTTCGTTGACGTTGCGGCTGCTTGTGATGCGGGCGGGTTCCTTATGGCCGAGATTCTCATGCGCAGTCCATCAATATCCGAACGTTGCACGCTAAATTGTGTTGCTGATTTCGTAGACTTCGATTGACTCGACTGATCCGTAATAGAGTCGGTTTCCTGAAATGATCATAGTATGTTAATTTTTGCATATTAAATTTAAATTAACACTTTATACCATAGAACTGAATATTAATATGATAGTATTTATAATAGCAAAATATTAACATGATAAACTTTATACTATATAATAAAATTAGACTTTTCACTATTACAATATAACAGATACATTTATGGAAATATTCGATGCTCCAAGCAATAACAAAATGTTACTTTATTTTCGTCCATGAAGTTCTAATTAATTCATACTTAATAACTATTTCATACATTTATAACAACAGAACTAAAAGTAGCATTTAATATGAACTTTTTATTATATATAAATATTTTAGTACATGACTTACCTCATTTTCACTGCCGGATTCTTGTGTACGTTGCTGCGTTTCGAGAACCTTTTCCTTTTTTGCTGCTGCTGATGCCTCATTTTGGCCACTGCTCATATTTCGACTCGAGGGCGGAGCTATTCATATATAATATACATATATGAAATAATAAAACTTTATTAACCTGGTCACATTAATTACAACACGCTCAGAATTTTTGACAATTTAACTAGGTCAAACCACAAAATGCGACAGACACAAAACACACACACGCAAACAAATATTTACGGCTGAGGGGGCGGGAGGAAATTCCACACACACTTACACAAATACGCACACAGACGCACACTTACGTTTTGTAATTTTTTTGTAGCGTTAATTGATTATGCACACCGATAATGAAATTGTTTTTTGAGCATATGCATATGCTTTTTGCGCCTTTAATTGCATTGCATTCAAGTTTTGCTTGCTGCTTTTGCTGCTGGCTTTGTTTTGTTTCTTAAAATGGCGCCGTTTTCACCCTGCAGTCTTGCGTTGAATTTTCACTGCTGCTGCTGCTTTGTTCCAAAGGTGCGACGCGACATGCTTCAATGCACTTTCAACTTAATTGCTGATCATATATTAAACACTTGCACTGGCTTTTAATAGTTAATCGCATTACGTTTGCAATATTTTGCACGCTATAACCTATAATTTCAATAATAAAACAAAAAAGCCACAAGGTATGAACATAAATAAAGAAAAGAAACTACGAATTAGAGATGGCCAACAAAACGATGTTTTTGTATGCACCGATTATTTAGCATATGGAGCTATTCGATTAGCGTTTGCATTGAAGTGCTTTTACTAACACTACTATCAGATATAATTCGAGCCAATTCCAGCAAAGAATAATAAAACCAAGTATTCATATTTAATCTCATTTGAATATTTTCCCTTTGTTTATGTTGTGTAATTTTTCAATTTGAAAACGAGTTTCTGTTCTAAATGTTATCGAACTAGGTTTTAGTACGATAGCACTGCTTGCAGCTAATGAGTAATCGAGCACCATTAGTGTCCCACCTCTACCCATCGTAAGTGGACGGCATTGTATGTCGTAGTAGGGTGAAAAAAATTGTTTATTTATAAAAATGAGTAATAAACTGTTAAAAAGTAGTAGCCCTGCCAGCAGTATGCTGTATGGCTCCAGCATATCAGCTGAATCAATGAAAGTAATTGCTGAAAGCATCGGTGTGGGTTCCCTATCCGATGACGCCGCCAAAGAGCTAGCTGAAGATGTTTCCATTAAGCTGAAGCGGATTGTACAGGATGCCGCCAAATTCATGCACCATGCCAAGCGGCAAAAGCTATCAGTCAAAGACATTGATATGTCGCTGAAGGTGCGCAATATTGAGCCGCAATATGGGTTCATGACCAAGGATTTTATACCTTTCCGATTTGCGTCCGGCGGCGGTCGCGAACTACATTTTACAGAGGATAAAGAGATTGACTTAAACGAGATCACTGCAAATAGCTCAATCAAAATACCACTTGATCTGACGTTGCGCTCCCATTGGTTCGTTGTGGAGGGAATACAACCCACCGTGCCGGAAAATCCACCACCCCTCTCCAAAGACTCGCAGCTCGTGGACTCTGTCAATCCTGTCATCAAACTAGACCAAGGCCTGAACAAAGATGCCGCTGCAAAGCCAACCACTGGCAAAATACACAAGCTTAAGAACGTGGAAACCATACATGTCAAACAGTTGGCCACGCATGAGCTGTCAGTGGAACAGCAGCTGTACTACAAAGAGATCACCGAAGCCTGTGTCGGATCGGATGAGCCTCGTCGTGCCGAGGCGCTGCAGTCGCTCGGCTCTGATCCAGGTCTTCATGAAATGCTGCCCCGCATGTGCACCTTCATTGCCGAGGGCGTTAAAGTTAATGTTGTTCAGAATAATTTAGCACTTTTGATTTATTTGATGCGCATGGTGCGCGCTCTGCTGGATAATCCATCGCTCTTCCTGGAGAAATATGTAAGTCAATGCTGCAAGTTGCCTTTCACTTATTGAATATTAACTTTTCCCTCTTTTTAGCTGCACGAGCTGATACCATCTGTTATGACCTGCATTGTGTCCAAGCAGCTGTGCATGCGTCCAGAGCTCGACAATCATTGGGCCTTGCGTGACTTTGCCTCCCGTCTCATGGCGCAGATCTGCAAAACCTTCAACACGCTCACAAATAATCTGCAAACTCGTGTCACACGGTGAGTGCATGGAATACAATATCCATTTATATATATATATATAATTCAAGCTCTGCTTTTCTGCTCTTACAGCATCTTTAGCAAAGCTCTGCAGAATGATAAAACGCATTTGTCATCGCTCTATGGCTCCATTGCGGGTCTCTCGGAGCTGGGTGGCGAGGTGATCAAAGTGTTTATCATACCACGCTTGAAATTCATCTCGGAACGCATCGAGCCACATCTGCTAGGCACCTCAATGAGCAATACGGATAAAACAGCCGCTGGTCACATACGAGCCATGCTTCAGAAATGTTGCCCGCCCATCTTGAAGCAAATGCGTAACCCACCGGACATTGCTGAGGAGTACAAAATGGACTATGGTTTTTTGGGTCCTTCGCTGTGCCAAGCTGTGGTCAAAGTGCGCAATGCACCAGCCAGTAGCGCCGTAGTGCTAGCCTCCAGCAGCATCAATACGGCGCCCATAACAAGCGCTGCCCAAACCGCGACAGCCATTGGACGCGTCTCTATGCCGAATTCTCAGAGACAAGGGTAAGATATTTAGTTAATGAGGGGGTGAAAAGGCAAGCCTTCATCAATTGAGGACAACTTTAAATATTTATAATATTTAAACTAAGCTCAATCGATTGCCTTTGGCATGCTTTAACCCAAGGATAGTCTCAATGCTTGTGCCTTCGATTGTAGACGAATTGTGACTATTTAAATTGCTTGAAGTATTTAACAAGTTGTTCTCCTCTCTCATTTCTTTAGCAGTCCCGTGGTAACCGCCCTACCGCAAATACGCGCCATTCAAGCCAATCAGCCGGCGCAGAAGTTTGTGATTGTCACCCAGAATTCGCCGCAGCAGTCGCAGGCGAAGTTGGTGCGTCGTGGCAGCTCACCGCACGGTGTGGTGCTGTCATCGTCCTCGGCGAACGGCGCCAATGCCTCCAATTCGAATTCATCGTCGACAGGCGCTGGACAGTCGACAGGCGTTGGAGGTAGCAACAGCGGTGGAGCCAATGTCGGCGGAACCGGCGGTGGTGCAAATAGTTTGCTAACAGCGCGCAGCAGTAATGATAATGTGTGTAGCAGTCCTGGGTACCTGCCAACTCCCTAAAAGTGATCCACTCTAATAATGCTGTTTATGCGCATTTCAGAGCATCGTGGATGACAATTCGTTGATCATTGAAACGGAAATAGTGCGCGCACCGCCCGAACTGGATGATTTATCGCATCTGGAGTAGCCTTATTCCTCACAGCCACACGTCGTTTAGTTATTTAAGAACTGAAGTTAGTTAATAAACACAGGCATTGACCAGCAAGCCAACCCCTCAGACAATCATTTACAATTGCAGCAGCTGCCAGCTGCCCCAGCCCCCACGGAACCTACGCCAATGGCACGCACGCAACACGCATGTGCGGGCGCCACAGAGCTAGCCAGCTATTGATTTTTAACCAAAGCACACAGAGAACAAAGCCAAACTCCTTGTACATACCAATTCAGTTCGCGTGTGTGTTAGACAAAGGCGAAAGCTCGACCCAGGCAGTTTGTGAATTTTTTCACAAAGATTCTTTCGAAACAGTAAATTGTGAGCAAAAAAAAAAAAAGAGTGTTAAAAAATGCATGCAAGATTCGCGGATCCAGAGCCCGCCTCGCCGGACAGCGTGGACAACATTGAAGAGCAATCTCTGGAGGCGCGCATCGAGCACTTCAAACAGAATCCCAATAATATGGCAATGCTGCACGAGTTCATCGATGAGGTGGCCCAGCGTGCCGAAGCGGAGGCCAATAGACGTGCGCTCGAATCACAGAAATTGCAACAGGTTGGCCAATCATTTATCATCCGCTTGACTATAGAAAGTTTTGTACTGAAATACACATACACACACACACACGCATACATTTATGTTTCTTCCACAGGGCAAGGAGAAGCGACCGAGTAAGTAGAAGCGCACCCTAAAGGGATTTGTTTCTAGTTAACTTTATTCTCTATTTTGTTACTTTTTCTGTTGCTATGGAAACTTAAAGTTTGGACGATCGTAGTCCGCAATGCATTTGCTTATGTAGTAGACCTGGGCGCACTGGTCCTTGTGAGCTTTCGCTGTAAGAATATTGATAGGAAATGCATTATTTAATGGGCTTTATCTGGGAGTTAACTAACCCAGCAGTGGCTGAGCGCAGTTCATGCTTTGTGAATTTGAAGAGATCTATAACTGAAAGCTTTTGTTAGCTAAACATTTGATGTATATGATTTGTCTTATGATTTCTGAGACAGCCTTAAGTTTAGGCAATCATTTTGTAAATAGGGTATACAAGAGTGAGATATAAGAAAGAAAACGAAGTGGCAATAATATAGTTCTTTGAGCACCCATTCTACTCACGTTCATCTTTGCAATGGTTGAGCGCCTTTTGGGCTGGATCCTGTAGCTCGACGGGCAAAATGATGGGCATCTGGGCCATGGCCTTGTTCACGCTGAAGTCGCCCTTTTTGGTCAAAATGCCGGCCAGCTGAGCAACGCATTTCATATAGCACTGCAAAAAGGGATAGAAGGGAGCACTCGAAGAGTAGAGAGTTATGCCCGTTACACACCAGCAAGTCCTGTGAGGGCTCGAAGCTAAAATCGCCGTCTCGTATGCGATCCAGGGTTTCCAGCGGCACCTTGAACTTGCCCATGCAGCCGTTGCGCATCATGTCCAGGGATTGGAGAAACTGTTGCGTAGTGACGGCGTCGCAGAGCCTGGGCGACAGCAGGAGCAGGCTGAGCAGCAGCTGCCAGGATCTGTGCCAGCAGCTGGTCGAGCGAGTCGTACCCATGATAAGACGCAATTGTGTGGCAGATGCAGGGCACGCGACGCTTTATAAGCTAGCCGCGGGGGCGTGTCAAGTCGCAGTGACAGGGAGTAATTAAAAAAGCGACACGCGTCCAAGTCTAATTATTTGCCTTTGTGTACGATTTTTGTTTATGTCATTGGCATGTGAATGTGTGTTTGTTTCCGTTGCACTTTTCTCGCCAGCCTCTCACCGAACCCTTTAATTTGTTTTTTTGGTTTTTTTTTCGACCTGTTCGCCTTGGCACTAATCTGTCTAGGTTTCGCCATACCAGATTTTAAGAACGGCAAAGTGGTGAATCGGGCTCGCGGCTTTGTGGTGCGCATCTTTGATGCCATCTGCAATTGCGCCAACAACAATGCCGCCGCGGCCACAACGCGCTTCAAGCTGCGCAGCAGCAGTGGAGGAGGCGGAGCAGCCAGTGCCCCAACTGGTGGCAAGCGGCAGCAGTCCGCAGACGAGCCGGAGACCCTGATGCTCAGCAAGAAGAAGCCCGCGGCGGAGGGCAAGAAGAAATCCAAGGGCGTCACCATGGCCGAGGATGTCGAGGCGGGCGCTCGACTAGTTGAGTAAGGCCCCAGTCTTACTATAATCATGGCAAATCAAAGGTCCCCACCCAATGGAATCCAATCAAAACTAAAGACCAAAGAGGAAAACAACTTGACAATGATTGAAAATTGTGCAATTATTAATTAAAAGGAATGAAATACGGTCACACTTATAATATTTCAGTGCTGCCAGCAGAAACTACTTAAAAGCTCAATGCAAGCTACACTCAAAAACAAAATAGTAAATCGAGCAATTACTGTTAGATATAAAGGCGATATATGGTCCTATATAAGAAAAAAAAAACAAAATTAACTTTAGTAACAGCAAAATTCCCCAAACAAGTGAAGAACGAGCAATTACTGTTAGAAACTAAATAACTAAATGCGATCGTACTTAAATTATTATATTATTTGATCATTAAAAGAAAGAGCTACGACTGTTAGATAAACAGTAACGAAATACGGTCACACTTAAAATCAAATACTTCAATTAAAATATTTTTGTATTCTTTTTTATTGTTAAACAAAGCTTCAGCAACCATTTCAGTTCTGCCAGCAGTGAAACTATTAAAAATCGAGCAATTACTACTAGCTAAAAATAGCAAGATCTATTAACACTTCGATTCAAATATTATTTTAAAGGAAAAAAAAAAAACTTCTTTGCCCTTGCTCAACACAAAATCGTAGAATGCACAATTTTAAGTCTTCCCCTTCAAGTTCGGAAATGGCACAAATGCTTTAAAAAAAGAAGCTAAACTTAAATTTATAATAGTATATAATATGATTTCGTTAACCTAAATGTGATCCAGATTTAACAAAATATTGACTCGAGTGCAAAAAGAAAACGGCACAAAAGCAACTTTTAGGTTAGAAAAGAAAAGAAACCTAATATGAAGGAAAATAAATCATTCATGAATGTAACTTAGTCAAGAGATCTCATTTCGCATACAGCCCTCTTAACTATACACAATCCATGTAGGGTACTCCATCAAGAACACCTTATAACTGAGTCGAGCACACAATAACAGGCCTTTCAAAATCTCCACCTAATTATAACTTTACAAAAAACCATACATATAAATATATATATATGTATATACACACACACGTATACATATATCTTAATATCAATTGGATATCGATCGACCCTAATACATATATTGTAGTTGTCTATATCTATTTAGCTGCGTGTGTCTGCCTGTGTGTGTGTGTGTGTGTGTATGTTTGCGTGTGTGTTTGTATTAGTAGTGAGTGTTTCGATAAACATATACAAGCAAATAAATGTGTACTGATTTTATAGACATATATACAACATATATATATGTACTTATATGAAACTTATAGATTATATATTTAGTTATTTACATCGCAATACCGGAACAACTTTCTACATCGGTTTCCACACGACACGCTCTCTATATTCATTGTATTTTTGTGAGAACCCCTTTTGGAGCCAACTTTATAAACCCAAATCTACAAAAAAAAAAAGGAAAAACAAAACAATCAAAATCTAAGAAAATAAAAAACTAAGAATCTTGATAAAATGATTTTTATATAAGATCTGTAACACTAAAAGCCTGTAGGAATTTCGATTTTCTGTTTTTATCGTTTTTTGCTAAGCCTGCAATAAAAACAAAGTTGAAATATTTCTTTAAGTCTAAGTTTTTGTGCGTTGCTTAAAGAGAAAAAGAAAAATATATATAAATATATGTGTAACATGTAATAAATAAATAAATACTGTTGTATTTAGTTAACAAAAATATCAGCAATAAATTGTAACAATGTTTGAAAGGTGTTCTTTCTGCTCCTCCAATGAAATTTAAACTTTTTAAAGCCCCTTTTTTAATTCCTTGGCTTGTCTGATTTTAAACAAAGTTAGCAATTTAATTCTTCCTGAATTGAAGATTTTCGTTTCTGTGATAATCTAAATAACAAAAAATTTCAATAATTTATATTAATTATTAAGCCAAGTTTCAGAGCATTTACTAGCTAATGCAATTAATCTTAGCTATGCTTCGTCGCGTCTTCTTCACGACATTTGTCCCGTTCATTCCGGTTTGAATAATTTATCTATTATTTGATGAGCAACTAGCATATAAGGCAATTATAGATTGATGTAGAATTGGCTAGCTGGCTATTTATATAATATATTTATATATTAACTTTGGTAACAATCGAGCCGACTTCTATGGAATTAAAACCCGCCCAACCGCATCATTTGCAATGCACGGCACGTAGACACACTCGCTAAATGGACAAAAAAAAAAAAAAAAAAAAAAAAAAAAAACAATGTCAGCTGGAATACTATTTTCGGTTACGGATTATCTTCTTCTAATATGGGTAGCTCGACAAACATGCATTTGAAACTAGGTCTAGCCTAGAGGCTTACAAGCAGAGGCTTATTTATAAGGGACCGGCATGCCCAAGTGCAGCTGATAAAGTCTTTATATAATCTAAAATTCCTATATAATATTATATATATAAAGAAGTATTCGTGGCACGCTCTCCAGAGCTTCAGCTCTTCTGAGTTGGCAAACTTTAAGGTACGCGACTTGGATATATTATATAAGGAAACAATCTAAAAGTGTCAACAGGTTCAACTGCAAGGTAAACCATTGTAATAAAAACTGGGAAAGAGAGAGACATAAAGAGCAACAAGGAGAGAGAGAGAGAGAGAGAGAGAGGCACATCAGCTTCATTGAGCTCACAAAAGCTCGATTGCTCGCAACGGAAGCGGCACGCGATAAAATTTTAATTCCCATTTTGCAGTTGTGAGAAACATGTTTAGTTTTCGCATTCAGTTCTCAAGGCAAAGATGAAGTGCTTACAACTGATTTTCGTAGCGCTGCTCAGCTGTAGCTGCAGCCAGGCGCTGGCCAAAAGTTACTCTGCGGACTATATAGGTGGGTAGAGCACTGGGATCGATCGATCAACTTCGTCAATGCTAAGTGCAAATCCTTTATGCCACAGATCTGATGGATTTGGAAGACAACGATGAGTTCGTCTGGGGCGCTGCTGAGAATAGGCAGTATGTCCGCAGTAATGCCAGCGCTGAGCGGGCTAATGATGATGATAATGACAATGCCGGCATCAGTAATTTTCTAGCACGTCATCGTTTGAGCAAGAGACAGGCTGAAGGGGCTTCCCCTCTACTGGTGAGTGACTTGAGAATCTTCTCCACAGCTCAACACGGGCTCTAAGCCGGATCAGCGTATTAGCTAATCACCCGTAACTAAGCTGCTTGGTAATATTGGTTTAATGTAATTAAATACTGATAAAGCAAGCAGAATTATTTTAGTGGCTCATAAACATGAGTAAATATTATATAAATATGATAATAATCCTACTATCAAATGCATATGAAATCATCATTATATGTGTAAGATCATTATCATCACAACTTTACTTATCAAATATCATTATCATTAATGATATTTTGCTCCTGAATTTATATTTATTATCTTATCATTATCATAAAGAGCATTCACCCTAATAATTAACATTGTCATTTAATCAACTTAATAAATTAACATAATCATTGAGAACATCATCATTTAAATATTAATTAATTTAAATATCATTATTATTAAACATAAAACATCATTTTAACTATGATAGCTAAAATGTATCTATTATTATTGTCCATTCTTTTTTGCTTATACTTTATTATTCATAAAACAAAACATTTATAACTATTATTAATATTAGGGCAATTACAAAATATTTAATATGTTTAACAATATATAATATAAAAAAAAAAAAACTCAGCACTGCACCCCACTATGACCGCCCAGCAGCAGATCAGGAATACGACTGAAGCTGTGCAGCAACAGGCTCGCACTTTTATAGCTGAGGAGAGTCGTTCCAAAGAAAGTTTCATCTCTTGAGTCTGTTTGCTGTTGGGAGAGAGTTCCAGGGGTTGAGTCTTGAGTTTATTGGGTCTTGAACATTGAATAATGAGAGTGTGAGAGGAGAAGAAATGTGTATAGAAAAAATAGGAGTAGTAGACATTACCAGAAGAACAGAAGAGGATGACTCAAATTAGGGAGCTCTTGATGCAGATCTGGAATCAAGAGTAACGAACATGTCTGCAGTTGCCTTATGCATACACTCATACAAAACAAAATACTTACTCATTTGATGTTCTCATAGCGAATATACATAATTCAACATTAAGACTCCTCTTTAGCTATAATAATTAATTTGATATATATTAAAAAAATCCTCTCTTCACACAGGAAAACAAAGACTATGGTCCGTGTCGCACATCGCTGGGCGATGCCGGACGCTGTCGCCACATAATTTACTGCCGCATGCCGGAGCTGAAGGATGATGTCTGGCGCTTGGTCTCCCAGCTGTGCATCATTGAGAAATCGTAAGCGGCTAACCGCAACAAAATCAACTCAATTTTCCAATACTTATTCTTCTCCTTACAGTTCCATTGGCATTTGCTGCACAGATCAGGCGATCCCATCACGTTTTAGTCCACAGATTGTCGGCGGCTCAGACGACGATGCACCACGCATTGTCAATCGACCCGAGCAGCGCGGATGCGGCATTACAACACGTCAGTTCCCAAGGATAACGGGCGGTCGTCCGGCCGAGCCCGACGAGTGGCCCTGGATGGCGGCACTGCTGCGGCAGGGCCATCCCTATGTCTGGTGCGGCGGTGTGGTGATCACAGATCGCCATGTGCTCACTGCGGCCCATTGCCTCTACAAGCACCCCAAGGAGGAGATATTTGTGCGTCTGGGCGAGTACAATACGCATGTATGTAACTAGCATCAGATCAGTTGGGGATCTGGGATGGATAGCTCTAATTTACTTAAACAAATCCTTAGCAAATGAATGAGACGCGGGCGCGTGACTTCCGCATTGGCAACATGGTGCTCCATGTGGACTACAATCCGATAACCTACGAGAATGACATCGCCCTCATACGCATCGACCGGCCGACGCTGTTCAATACATACATTTGGCCAGTTTGTATGCCGCCACTGAACGAGGATTGGACCGGACGCAATGTCATTGTCCTAGGCTGGGGCACGCTCAAATTCAGTGGACCACACTCCAAGATTCTAATGGAGGTGAGGCTGTCCTGGATCACTTAACTCTTCCACTCAATATAATCAACCATGTTTGCCCTTTGCAGACTACCTTGCCCATTTGGAAGCAATCAGACTGCCAGGCTGCCATTGTGGATCACGTGCCGGATACGGCCTTTTGCGCTGGCTTGCCGGAGGGCGGCCAGGATAGCTGTCAGGGCGATAGCGGTGGTCCGCTGCTCATCCAGTTGCCCAATCGGCGCTGGGTCACCGTTGGCATTGTCTCCTGGGGTCTGGGCTGCGGCCAACCAAAGCGTCCAGGCATCTACACGCGCGTCGATCGCTACCTGGAATGGATCATATCCAATGCGGACATATAAAATGACGAGCAACTGATGACATTTACATTCAATTTAATTTGGCATAGGATTAACAAATGCTTTTCTCTAAATATATATATACCTATGTAGACAATAATCAACTTGTTAACATACGTCATATCTAGCTAGTATGTATATATATAAATGAACTCAGTGTGTGTGGTGTTTGTCCCCCAGGCCCAACCCAACGCTTAGCCTAACTTAGTGAATACGACTCAGGAGATGGTCGGCTTTGCAGCGGCTGTGGCAGCGGTTGGTATCTTAACGCGCATCGCCTCAGTTGTGCTGCTTGTTTCGTTTTTCGTTGCGGTAAAGTCCGGGTCAGAGAAAGCAATCTTATAGACATCCTCGTATTCGCTGGCAAAGTGCACTTCCAAGCCGTCGGTTATGAAGCTGGGCAGCTCCTCAAAGTCCTTCTTATTGTCAGCAGGTAAAATTAAACAGGTGACGCCGCTGCGACGGGCCTATAAAACAGAATATTAGCTGCAACATGTGTCTAGGTTTGGTGTCATTGAACTTACCGCAATGGTCTTTTCCTTGATACCTCCCACAGTCAAAACTTTGCCCTTCAGCGAAACCTCACCCGTCATAGCCACATCTGGACGCACTGGCTTTCCGGTAGCAAGCGAAACCAAAGCCGTGATTATAGTAACACCAGCGCTGGGTCCATCTTTGGGCGTCGAACCTTCAGGCACATGCAGGTGAATGTGTCTGTCAATCGAGAAATATTTCAGTTAAGTCAGCCGTATTAAATAAATGAAAAACAATACATACTCTTGCTCCAGGAACTTGTTTTTTGGATCATACGTGTACAAAAAGTTTCGAGCCACGGTTAGAGCAATTTGTGCGGATTCCTTCATTACATCGCCCAAGTTACCAGTTAAATGTAACACTCCAGCAGTGGATTCGGGCTTCTCGGCGCGTATGTGACGCCTGGAAGTCTCAATATATAACGAAGAGCCGCCCATTGCGGTCCAGGCCAAGCCCATTACAACACCAGCGGGCGTTACGTTGTACATACGATCGGAACTGAAAACCTGTTTGCCCAGGAACGTTGTCAAGTTGTCGGCATTCACAGGGAATTCCTCGCCCTCTTTCTTGACCAGGCGGAAGGCCACTTTGCGAATGACCTTCTCGATCTGCTTCTGCAGATTACGCACACCCGACTCTCGGCAATAACTGCGTATAAGCATGTTCAACGCATCCTCCGTAATGTTGATCTGCTTCTCCGTTAGACCACAGTCTTTCATTGCCTGCGGTATCAGGTATTGACGGGCAATAGCCACCTTCTCTTCGGCCACATAGCCGGACATTTCGATGAGCTCCATGCGATCGCGCAGCGGCTCTGGTATGGTATCAACCACATTTGCCGTGCAGATGAAAAGCACACGTGACAGATCCACGGGTACATCCAGATAATGGTCAAGGAAATTTGCATTTTGTTCGGGATCCAGCAGCTCCAGTAGGGCCGAGCTTGGATCACCCTGATAGCCCCTATTGAATGCAACACAAATACGCCAATTAATCAATAACTTTCAACATTAATCATTGTTCGTCTACTCACTTGCCAATCTTGTCCACTTCGTCGATAAGAACCAGCGGATTCTCCGTCTTGGTCTTCTTAAGGCACTGTATTAGCTTGCCAGGCATGGCGCCCACATAGGTGCGACGATGACCCTTAATCTCTGCCACATCTGTCATTCCGCCAACACTGAAGCGGAAATACTCGCGATTCAGGGCGCGCGCTATGGACTTTGCAATGCTCGTTTTACCAACGCCTGGCGGTCCATGGAAGCACAAGATTTTACCCTGCGTCGTGCCCTTCAATGAACTAACAGCAATAAATTCCAATATTCTCTTCTTAATGTCGTCCATGCCGTAGTGATCGTTGTTTAAAATTTCAGTGGCTTTGTCAAGGCACAGGTTTTCGGGACTAATGACGCCCCAAGGCAAAGAGGTAAGCCAGTCCAGATAGTTGCGAGTAACACTACAAAAATACATATATTATAACCCAGATCTTCAGAAAGAGAAGAAAGGACTCACTTAAACTCTGAGCTGTGACTCTCCAAGAAGTTTAACTTCGTGAGCTCTTCGTCAATAACAGTTTTGATGCTCTCTGGAACAGTTTTGTCCTTGAGTTTTTCGCGATACTTTTCGCCAATGGCATCCTTATCATCTTTTTCAATGCCCAGCTCCTTCTTGATCACCTTCAGCTGCTCCTGGAGTATGTACTTGCGATGCTGCTGCTTCACTTTCTCCTCCACTTCTCGTCCAATCTTTTGCTGCAAGCGCGACAGTTCCAATTCCTTTTTAAGCAGCGCCAATGCCAGCAGAAGACGTTGAGGTATCTAAATGAGAAAAGTTATTAAAATTGCACCCTATATTACATAATATGAGTCTAGTTAAAAGCTTACATCAGTTTCCTCCAGAATCTTTTGCAGTTCGCTTGGCTCACCAGCGGACAAGGAGGCGCCCAAGTCACACAAATAGATGGGATTATCAACCACTCGCTGATTCTGATGCAGCATTTGCTGCAAGCTTTCTCTGTAATAGGTAAATACGTAAAATTAGGTAAACGTATTTGTATCATGCTTCTAGTGCAAAATGCATGCAAAGAACTTTATAAATATATATACATAAATAGGTATATTGTGTATATATATATATATATATATTAATTGTATAAGAAAAAACTAAATTGTTTACCATAAATGGCATTATGTAACGCCTAAAAATTATCTAGAAGCCGTTTTTTGTGTATTGTTTGGAAATACGACAAATATATCAGATTTTTTTTATCGAAACATTTCCACATACCTGTACAATGGGTTCATGGTAATAATATCGCGCAAGGTTTTTATAATCTCCTGTGTTAGAGCCTTGACCTCTTCCGTTTGCTTATACACCGGCTGCTTAATGTTCTCCACTTCTACAATGAGAACGGGTGGCGTGGTTGGGCCGCCTGTTTCGGTGCTGTTATCTGTCGTGTCTGCCGTAGATGATTTCACATCTTCCACATTATTTTTTGCTGTCGCTGCTGTCGTTTGCTCGACACGTCCACTGGGCAACGGTGGCTCCAGCGTTTGACGCTGGGCCATCTCCTCAGCGCTGGCCGCCTCGTTTAATTTTTGTGTTTGTCGACGTGGAGCACGTCCTCGAGTCTTGCGTACGCCCCGATTATTCGACTTGCCAGTTACATTAGTGCCATCAGTTGATTGATCTTCAGCTGGGATGCGTAATTTTATATTAAAGAGTGGATAATGCAAAGTTGTCATTTTCACTGGGAGTTAAGAGACGACGCGATTGTCACAATATCTGGCTAGTGTCAATAAGTGTGGTACCTACCTGATTTTAATGGTGCATCGTCCACAACTTGCCCTGTTATTTTGATACGTCTGTGAGCTACAACGACCATTCGCAGCTTATCTCCCAGATCCTGCAGCTCCTGGATCTGAGCAAAGGTACCCACCGAATAAACGTCGTCTAGGTTATGTATGAGCTCCTCTTCCCCATCGGTTTTCTTAAGAAACACGCCCACATAAGGCTGGTTGAGCTTCACCTTGCGTCTCAAAAGATCCATGATAATTGGATTCGAGACCTAAGTAAAAATTAACACGTGAACGCATTGATAAAAGAAAGTTCTAGATAAGCAATCAACCTCGACTATCTTCATGAACCGTGGGAACAGTGGATTTCGTCGCATCGCTAACATCGGCACGTGGGGCCATACATCGGGCACGGCAACGGTCGCCGGCAGTTGTTGCGAGTCACGATGATCGGCCAGCAGCTCAGGCTCACCCTCGGCCATCAAGTCATCCTCGTTATCGTTGCGCTTGCGGCTGAAGAAGCGCTGTGTTTGCATCATAGAGACTGCACCATTGTATCGCAGCAACCTGACTTCTTTAAAATATTCCACCATGCAATTTTGTGTATGACGATGGCGAGCGCAGGCAGCTACAGTGGATAGGCCTCGGAGCGCGGCGCGAACACGTACAGCACGCGAGAGCATTTTCCAATTATTTCTGTACACAAACAAACAGCAATTTATTTAAAAAAACTGGAGCCAAAGCCGCAAAGAATTAAAGTGTGAAATGATTATGTGATAGCGCTGATGAAATGACAGCACCGCGCGACGATTCTGCTGCGTAACAATCGATAGTTATATCGAAATACGGTAATTATCAATACGTCTTTACGTTATTATGGTAATGGGTACTTTATTTAAACTGATATCTTGTAATAGCTCTAGGCTATTTTAATAGTCTCATTATGTTAAGCAATATAGATCAAATGCAGATTTACATTTTTTTCATAAGATACGCAACATTTAAATTAAATTGGGATCACTCATAAATGTTCCCACTGATAGCAAACGTTATCATCCATCGATATTTGATTTATTTTACACATCTCTATGAGCTATCGAATTGTCGAGGTGTCGCCAACAACAACACATCCATAGCAAAATCGAAAGTAAATAGAAAAATAGTGCAATTTTTCCATATTCTGACGACAAAATGGTATCGCGTTTCGATCAGCAAAAAACCAAACACCAGCTCTTCCATGTGTCGATCAGTCTGGCGACCATATTGATATGCATGACCTACATGCAATATCGCCGGAATTGGGCTCATCTCGGAAGCTTTTGGGATTCCTTGATTGTTCCGATTGTGTTTATTGGTGAACTGCTTAAAGTAATACTGGCCCGGTTCTTTGGGCGCATTGAGGATGGTGTGCTGACTGCCAAACAACGACAGAAAAAGGCTGCATACTTCACGCCACGCGAATTGCTCGGTGGTCTCACATTGCAATTTCTATGCACACTGCTCTACGCATTTATTTGCATCATTCTTGGTGCACCTGTGTTGGCGAACTATGAGCAGACGTTCGTGTTGTCGCTGCTAATGACTCTGCTCACAGTTTCACCGACTGTTTTCCTCCTCGGCGGAGGTGGCGCTTTGCAAGTGTGCTTCTGTGAGAAACCAGACTTCATAACCAAGTGCGAGGACACTGCGCTGCATTTATTCAAGTACAATGCACTCGGCGGCATTCTGGGCGCCTGGGCTGGCAGTGTGGTGGCTCCGCTGGACTGGGGACGTGACTGGCAGGCCTATCCCATACCGAATGTGATTGGAGCCCTGCTGGGCAGCGCTCTGGGCAATATTTATGCTTGTACGCATGTGTTGTATACGTGTGGACGCGTTTACATGAGCAAGAAACGTGCTTAAGGCCAATAATGTAATCAATAAATCCTGCCACAAGAAAAAGAAGAAAAGAACTTTACGTTGCGCTGCCATCACATCCACATCTAATGAAGCAAATCGCATCGTTGTGTCTAGTCAACAGCTTATGATTTACATACCTACACATACATATACCAAAAAGCAATTAATAATACTTTAATGTTACAAGTTTAAGCAATTTATTAGCGTGTATAATTAATTCATTTTTAAACCAATCAACTAATAAACTAACAATTAACACAGCTTCGGCCCCTATCATATTATTTTCTACGTGCCCGTCCCCATTTCCAGTATTAATTTAATATATAAATATAAAAGACATTATGCAAATAAATTAATATTAAAAGATATCGAAAGAAGGAAGCAACTCAAAGATTCACGTGTATATGTATAACTCATGTAGATTAACAATCAATTTATTAGCTAGATCTGTATAATCACATGCGAAAAGACACAATATGTGGAACGTAAAGAAGTTAACTTAAGCTCTGGCTGACAACACAAATGTCTCGTCCTCGAGCAGACAGCGCTGCGCGACATAGTGATCATTCCGTTCCCAGTAGTCGGCCATGTCATCGTCCGCCAACTGTTCGCTGGCCGCTTCTAATCCACTATCATCAGGTATATGGAATTCACGCTTGTGCCGTGTCTCGCCCAGGGACAGGCGGCGTCTATACAATGTGTCACCAATGCCAGGACAGCTGCCCGTCTCGTAGAGATTATACAGCTTTATAAAGTGCATTCCACTGGCCAACCGCTGCACATCGTCCTTTTGCAACAGAGCGCTCCAGCTAAGTACGACGGTGGCATGTGGTTCATAGTTAGCAATGCTGACATTGAACTCCTCCGTCCCTATGTTTGTATTAAAGTAATTCGTTTCCTCGTTAACCAGAAAACTGTGCGCTTCATGCAGCTGTGGTGCATGCTGCTCCAACTGCTGTGCATGCTGCGCCGGCATAATGTCCAAACGGGACAAGCGCTTCTGCAATAGGACTTTAAGCGCTGGCTTATCCGGCAATTGCTCCTCCTCTTTTTCCTGAAGGCGACACTGAAAGCTGCAGCATTTGGCTGACTTGAGACATTGCGCACCCGCCTGACCAGCGCTCAATTCCATATTGTTCATGACTGCAAACAATATCATGAATTAATTATCATTACTTTATGATTCCAAGACCACTTACTATACAAATTTTGTGGCTTCAACGAGTAATCCCTGGAGTACAAGGACAACGAGTTGATATAAACTTCCGTTGACTGCACCGCACTCACATTCTTCAAGCTCACATCGAGTCCCAGTTCGCGGCTAACAGCATTGCTGACCACACAGGTGGCTTCGGCCTGAAGACAGCTCTGCACCTGCACCTGCCAAATGTGACGCACCAGGCGATACTTAATGTGGGCATTCACAGCTGCCGGCAGTGCATAGTAGAAGAGCAGGCGCAGCGTAAAGTTGCCAGCGGTCTGCGGTGCCTGAAGCCACATGGATATTGTGTGCCCCTGTTGTGCCTCTAGAGCAGCCTGTCCAGTGCGATGCAGCAGACGAAAGACGCGTTGGCGCCGTATTTCCTTATCCTTGACCAGTTTATCGTTTGACACATTGCGCAGGGCTGCCATAAAGAGCGATATAAATTAGAGACTCTCAATTGGTATACTCCGTCCACTTACAGCTGAGTATGGTCAGAGGCATTTCGTTATGCTGCTGCTCGAGTAGAGCTATGCAACGCGGATTATCGCAGCCCAAATAGATTTCTTCGATCGGTGCTATGCCCAAGTTACGCAGCGTGATTGAAACGGGCACAATTTCACCAGCCAGCAGCTCGCTGGGCACAGGACTAAAGCTGACACTTAATGCTGGCACCTGCGGCACTAGTTTAATACTAAGCCTGTTGTCCATCAACGTCTGAGAAGATTGCTTGGCCATTGCGGGCTTAATGCGTTGCGTTTCGAACTGTAGCAGACCCAATAGGCTGGCCGCTGGATCCGCTTTGGCTGCCACGCGACAGACCACGCCCAGTATGGACAGACGGCCGGTCAGCTTGGGCGTGAGCTTAAAGTGCAGCATTTGCTTTGCCTGCTCAGCCAGCTCCAAGGCGGACAGACAGCTAGTCTTGATGGCTGCACCAACGGCCGCTTTGCTGGCGCTGTCCGAGGACTGTTCATATACACAGAGATTGGAGAGCACCTCCTCGTTGTCCAACGTCAGTCGCCAGAGCAGATCAATGTCCGACAAGGTAATAGCACAGCGTACACTGTTCGACAACGTCACAGCCAACTCGATGGGTTCGCCCTGCACAGCCAGCGGACATTCTGTGGCCGGCTGCTGTTTGGTGAACAAATAGCGCGAAGGCTTAAACACAAATGGCTTATTGGATGCGGCAGTGATGACTAGCATTTCCTCAATCTTGTGCCAAATTGTTTCGTCGGCAGTCATATTTGAGTTAATGTCTATATTGCTAGCCGGCACTTGAGGTGGCTGAACGCTAGGCGGCTGCACAAGCGTCAGCACACGCACCGACGATTGCACCACTTGTGGCAGAGCGTGTGGCAAGAGACCCAGGTCCGGACTACGCTTGAGCAGCTCCTTCAAAGACAAGCAATTAATTATGTGAAATGATGCTGATGAGCGACTTACATTCTGCGTTTGAATATACTCTTTCAGAAAGCTGCTCTGCTGCTGCGCACTCTGCAAACTGCCCGGACGTAATAAATGGGCAAAGGAACGACTCGACTCCTCCAGCTGTTTCAGCATATACGCCTGCTTGGCCACGGTGTACTGTATGTGATCCTCGGCCAGACTCCATTGGCGCTGCTGGAACACCTGGTAGGCCTGGCGGTAGCAGCGATACGCGTGCTTGCGCTGACCCGCTCGCGAATACCGATTGCCAGCCAGAACAATATGAAAGGCATACTTGCGATGCATTGGCGGCTGTGTAACAAGAAAGCAATAAGCGGCCTGCTCGAGCAGCAAGGCGGAACGCAGATCGGACTCCTCGCTGGTCATGCGTATCAGCTGCTTGGCCACCTCGCCATACAGACGTGCCGTCTTCAAGCACTCCATGCTCAAGAGAGTGGCGCGTGTCGCAAATTGCTGTAGCCTAAAAACAATCAAGAGCAGACTTAGACTCAGTTACTGAGCGCATAACTGTATTACTCACTTGCACACAGTTAAATAGCTGACGATGGCGTCCTCCATGTAGTCGTAGGTCTTGCGGTGCGCTGTGCCCAGCATGAAGGCGGAGAGTGCAGCCATTTCCAAGGCGCCCGCATAATACTGCCAGGCGGAGTCTGCATTGAAGTCCCGCTTGGCCTGGTGGTAGGCCTGAAAGGCCAGATTATAGTGGCCAAACATGAAGTAGAGATCGCCCAGTTTACGGGTTTGCAGTTCCGCCGATTCATTCGTGTAACTGTGGAAAGGGAAGATATACTCGTTAGTATAATCTGTATATTTGTGCGTGCTTTTACAAGATGGACCTACATGACCGCATTTTGATTGTTGGCACCAGCTCCTGGCTTGCTGGTGACGAACCAACGTTTGGTGGCACTCAGCAGGGATTTGCTGACGCCCTTTTTATTGGTCACCCCCTCGCTTAGCATCACCACCAGATGCTCTATGTAGGGTATCAAAGCGCGCACCGCATAGTCCTGCACAAAGTGACGCAAATTGTCAATGTCGCGTGAGGTCAGACAGCTGCCATGCGGAGCATCTGCATCCACTTCATTGGCCCAGACATTCGGATTGATTGTCTGCGAAGCGATGCTTTCGCTGCTGATGCTGAACTTTGAGTTGATGGCTTCGGTGGCGCTCTCTTGCATGGGGCTAAGCGGATGCAGCATGGTCAAGTCGTTCTCTTGCGCGGCTTGACTATCGATCAGCTGCGACATTTGCATGGCAGGCATGCTGATTACCGAGACGGCGTCTTGCGGAGATTTGGGTGCACTTAGCTCAGTTGATGCCATTTGATCGGTTTTCGGCTGTCGTTTGATGTAATTGATCCAATAGTCCGGTATGCCATTAGGAGCGTTCCCTTCCATCGAATTGATCGACACCAGGAAGCATTTGTTATTGCCGAACGTAGACTTGAGCAGCTCAAAGCCCTGCTGCGCCCTCGACAAATCTCCTTGGCTTGCCTCGTGCAGCACAACGTAGCTGTTGAGCACTTCCGTGGGTTGAAACCATTTGGGCAGCTTCTGTGGCGTTATGTTTTGCATTTGCTGAACGCGCTGTGTAAGCTTCTGGGCCGTCTCAACGATCTGTGGATCAGCGCTGGACAATACGAGCAAACAGCTCAGTAAATGGCGAGTGAACTCGTGTTCCGCTGGAAACTGTACGGTGAGAAATGTTTCACGCCATTGTTCAAACCAAGGCTCGGCCGTGGGCACTTCCAAATCGATGCCAGCTACAAAAATATTTTTAAACGTGACTAAATGGTTGAAAAGGGAAGTGTGCAGCTTCGATTTACCAATTGTAACAACTTTTGTTTTCTCATTGTGCGCATTCGTCACAGACTCATTAAGCATTTTGCGTGCCAGCACAGTTTGCGGTGGGCGCCAGTCCACGTCACAGAAGTTAAGCCGAAGGCCGCGCACAGAGACACTTGTTCCGGATACATCCCGAAAATGAGCTGCAAGAGTTAACAAACAAGGGAATAATAGAAGCAGATCTATATTTTTAAGAAACTTGCACTTCAGGTATCAGTTAGACTATGCTCCTAATTTCGTTGTCGTCCTAATTTCTTCCATCATGCTTCAATTTATGCTGTTCAAATTAATTTGTTTACTCACCATCATTTGGCAGCTTGGCAAAGGGCTGCAGCAGCTCCACGAAGGACAAATTATTGCGATGACATATGTCATCGGCCAAGTTGCTGCTCAGCACGCCAATTAATGGTGAAAATATGTTCTTAATTATATCACGTGCATTATAATTTTGGCCTGTCAGATGTATCATATTTATTATATTTTGGTTTATATTAGCACAAACACAAAACACCTCCCAAATCGGCCAATCTCTTGTGGTGTGACCAAAGTCCGAATCACGTATTCAGTTCGTGTATATAATAGATATAGCAGTTAAAAATACTAACACGCTGACTATACCAATATTTAAATTTTCAATTAGCGCCACACAAACGGCATCATATGTATTGAGCTATTTAATATTCAGTTTTATAGCATTGCGAGTAAGCATTTCGTTTCCAATTGTTGTGTTATTTATATTACTTAATTTGGCTATAAATATTATAGCTTTGATATATAAATCAGCTGCGTTGCTTTTTATTTTTAATCTTGGTATTTTCAGCGTTGCCAGATTAATAACGCGTTCCTTCAAACAGACTGAACGTGCATTTACAGCTGGAATTGGCGGGAAAGCCTTCTATCAGCTGCTAACATTAGTCTTTCACTAAATTTATCTGCTGCATTTTTTGTACCTTAACGCAGAGAAAATTCAAGAAAATATTTATAAAAATTTAAATTTGTTGATTAGAATATATCAACCTACGCCAAGCAAAGTTTAATTTGTGATTGTTCTATTTGTATTTAAATTTGTGCAATTTAAGCAGCACACGGAGAAAAAGCGCGCCGATTAGTCGTCTCATCTTTGTCCACAGAAGTCTTAGGCCCGTGCGCGTACAGTCAGCATGGCTAAGGTGCACATCACAAATGTTGTGGTGCTCGACAACCCGAGCAGCTTTTTCAACCCGTTTCAGTTCGAACTGACATTCGAATGCATTGAAGAACTAAAAGAGGATCTCGAATGGAAAATGATTTACGTCGGCTCCGCAGAATCTGAGGAGTATGATCAAGTGCTGGACACTATATACGTTGGCCCGGTGCCCGAGGGTCGTCACATATTCGTCTTCCAGGCCGATCCGCCAGACGTTAGCAAAATTCCCGAACCAGATGCAGTTGGTGTCACAATTGTTTTATTGACCTGCTCATATCGTGGGCAGGAATTCGTGCGTGTCGGATATTATGTGAACAACGACTATGCCGATCAAGAGATGCGCGAAAACCCACCACCGAAACCGCTCTTCGATAAGCTCACACGCAACATCTTGGCCAGCAAGCCGCGAGTCACACGCTTCAAAATTAATTGGGATGACGGTCACAGCAGCAGCAATGGCAACGGGCATGAGAATGGACACGAGGCACACATGATGCACGACGACGGGCCGTCCACATCGGCGGCGCAACATGAAGCGGCCATGGATGACAACAGTCTGGCCATGCCGGTAGAAAATGGTGTTAAAGCGCTCAATGAGAACTCAAATTCGCTTGCCATGGAATGTTGAGGTAGCAGCCAACACACATACATACATAGGCGTACACAACACACACACAAACTCAAAAATATAAATACACTCACAGTGGCGCAGACTTGTAACCTCCCTCCCGCCCAGCCAACCTTCTGGTCCCATTAATTAAGTACTGTAATTTAAACCTTATCGCTGTTAAATAAATTAAAAGTATCTCTTAATCTGCATGCATTTATTTTAATTAGTGATTGCTTTCGATATAAATAATCGATCAATTTAAAGGCGATAATCGCATATTTAAATTGGTGCAAAAGCGATTGGCGAGATTCTTGCTATCGTAAATTAATCGAGCAGTCGATCAACATCCGTTAAGTTTGAGCTTTACGAATTGATTAGATTATGTTGGATTACTACTACAACTACATTTTTTGAGCAAGTCAGCCGCCAAATAATTTAGTCGGGAGTTTAAATTATTGTCTGGGCGAGTCGAGTCTAAATTTTAAAAATCTAAAATTTTAATTTATTGTTTGAATTTGTGTTTAAACTCAAAAAAGCAGGACTAAAAATTCATAAAAAAAAATCCAAAATTTAATTATTTTCCTAATTGCAATCTACTTACCAATCTTTGAAATTTCGACAAGTCAAAATTCAAAAGAGGAAACCAGAACGTACAGAAGATTAAAAATTTGAATAATTGCAAAAATGACATCTCTCAGAGATTGGAAAAATAGCCTCAGATGTAATGAGAAACTTTCACCGAAAAGCAAAAGTAGAACTGCTTTCAGGTATACAACAAATTGTAGTCTGAAAAATCTCGAAATAGTTCATAGTTTTATTTCATAATGTTCAGCTGTAGTGAAAAAAATTTGGTCCGAAATTCCGCTAAGCCGTCCGGTAATCAACACGCTTACGATAGATTTGAAGTGAAAAAGAAAAGCAATACCATGCTGAGAATCAAGAATTGCAACGATATTGCGGCCGATGCGGTGGGTACGACAACGACCGTTGCTTTAACCGGCTCCGATTCGCCAATCGCACGACCCCGTGATTGCCCAGAGGAGGAGTCGCATGAGTTGGACATTTCTCAGGATTATTCCACATACCTCAAGGCATTCGCTTTGATATACGTGCTGCCCGAAGAGGAGTGGAAAGCCGAGAATATCGATAAGCTGCTAGTTGAGGGCGAGGAGCTATTCCAGGCTAGTTCGGCTACGGAAGTTACAGATGGTCTACGTAAGGCGCTGTCCTCCATCTATACCAGCGTGGAGCAGCGCATCAAGCGCAGCTTCAAGCTGGAGGGACACAGTTTCACACTGGAGCTGAGGCCCAGCTATTTGGGCGATTCCAGCAAGCCGGCCGATCTGCGTCCTCCGCACATTATGAAGCATCTACGAGAAGTGCTGCGCGCCTTCTTCCGAAAGGCTCACTATTGCCTGCTCCAGCACAAGGCGGGATGTCTCCTGATTTGGCGGCGACGCAATTTGTATTTTATGATGGATGTGAAGGGACGTCGGCCCGATGACTTGGCCAATGCTCGACCTCATGTTGCGATGTTGATTTGCCTAAAGACCCTGGATAATGTCTTCCACTTGGCGAGCAATTTGAGTGGCGACGATCCAAACAATGCATTCAACATCCGTGAGCTGGCTGTGGTGCGACTGGTGACACCAGATGGACGCACCTTTCTGCGGGATACCAATCAACGGGCCCTCGAATATCATGTGATCAACAACAGCTATGCCTTTCTCAAGAGCAATCTGCATCTCTCTCTCAATCCGGAGGCGACGTTGCACAATGGTAGCAGTGTAATTCTGGGCGTGGCCAGCATAATAGCCGCCCAGATCGATCATCCGGCATCGTGGAACACGTACACCTTCGACCGACTGATCTGCTATGGTGTTGAGCTCTGCCGCAGTTGCTGGTGCGCAAATGTGAGGAATCGCTTGCCAATTAACTTGTGCAAGTTTCCCACACAGTTGCGCCTTGGACAATTTGTTGCGGAGATTAAGCTGTTGCCGCAAATCGGTCGTGGAAGATGGCGTTGTGGTCTATCAACTCAGGTGGGTCTCCTCGTTTCTTCTGTTGTATGCAAAGATCCTTTGTCGCATTTCCTCCTTCGAGTTTCTCTGATCCCAAATTTCTCACCACCAAAATCTAGGGCAACGCTTTCGACTATGAGATACGTAGAGTCCTGAGAGACTATGGCAACGCCCTGTTTCAGATCAGCAACCAGATCTACGCAATGTGGTGCAAGGACAACTTTTACTATTTACTAGATCCCTACAGGCATATTGTGGTCAGTCCGCAAGCGACGAAAAATGCCATGAAATTGGAGAAGTGGGCGACGGTGCGAATGTTTCGTGATTTGTGTGGCATGCTAAATGTTTTCCATCAACTGCTGAAGGAGTCCAATCGCCATGCACCGTTCTATTTGCATGTCGTGCGCATCAAGAATATAGCGAAATGCCCGCATGGATATGCGCTGAAGCCGAAGGCCGAGGATGCGTATTGTGAGTTAAAGCCAATCAACGAGCCCATTGACTTTCCCCAACAGTTGGGCAAGTGCGCCCGCCAGCTGGCCGAGATTAGCGATTTCGAGCCGGATGTGATCAGCACCACAGAGGATGCAACCGAGTTGGAGAACCTGAAGCTCGTCCCTGGGCCGGAACGTGCCATCGAGCCGGCGGAGGAGGTTGGCTTGGAAAAAGTACAGGTGGAGGTGGAGACTATAAAGCCAGCTGGATTCAGGCGAGACATAGACAATGAAAAAACCAATTTCGATAAGAAGGGAGGGGGAGTAGCAAATACGAAAGCAAATTTTCAGACACAAATGGTAAGTGGAACGAGCCAAGGACTTCATTCGCTTACATTACAACATTAATCCTTTAACTCCTGACAGTCCAAAAAGCCTAAAATGGCAATATTAGCGGCTGCAGCATCCCTCAAACCGCCTAAAGTTCCACCTAGCACCAAGCCACCACGAAATGAAGGCGGCTTAGATCAACTCGTTGCGCCCGTTGCCCGGCGAATGGCGCCGAGAATGAAGCGCAAAGGCTTTCAGGCTGACACGGTATCGACACTGGCCAAAAAAGTGAAGTCCAGGGCATCGCAGGAGCAGGAGCAGGAGCAGCAGGTAATGGCTGACAAATTTTCGAAACTCGATGCCAAAATGTGTGCCAAGTATTTGCCCCTAAGACTGAGCAAACTCAAGCGCTCCGATTGCAGCCAGTGCGACGAGTCAAAGTGCAAGGAAAGTGATAATAGCCAGAGCACCAAGCCAAATAGCGAGGTATCTGGCCAAAGTGCAACCATCCAGTATCCTGTCTATACCAAATATCCTTTTAATTTGACTGTCGCTGGCTCCGAGAGCGGCACCGTTGAGAGCCTCAACCGTCTGCTGGACTCCGCCTTCAAGGTAACAAATCGCGTGCTGGCCATCACGCCGTGGGGCAACTATGTGGTCTTCAAGCATGCAACGAATCAGATGTTAGAGTCGACCATGTTTTATGTATTCGATGGCTGCACCTGCAACATCGATCGCTTCCGGCACTTGGATCTCAGCCATGGCACCGCCGGCCTCTTGGCCTTTCAAAGCCAATCCGAGGTGGTCTGCTATATGATTGATTCACGCGAAACGCGAGCCCTGAAATCGTTGCACGTCCAAATGGATCAGACCACTACAAAATGTGAAACGTTTCCATGTCGTGGCACCTAATATACTAGATGCATGAAAATTACTTTTAATTATGTTTTGGATGCTTTTAAAATGACCAAATTTCTCGTAAACACAATATCATATGGTAAATAGTATTAAAATTTTAACATTCCTCTGAAGAACAAGCATTAGAAAATCTTTTGGAAAACCCATGTCTGTATCTGCTACTTATCAGTAGACAAAAAAAAATTATACAAATTTTAGCCAATATAAAAAAATAAAATAAAATAAATAAGAAAAAAAATTCTGATCATAGCAAAATCTTTCAGAAAACTTCTGCCTGAAGGTAAGTTTCCTAAAACCCTTGACTGAGACTACTAATTTATATACCCTGCCAGACCAGCACAAATAAAAAATGTTTCTTTTACTTTTTTCGGTTTTTGTTTAATTAAGATTACAAACTAATTCGTATGAGTCGTTAAATTTAAACTTAATATGGAGTACATTTACATAATGTAGAGAATTTTTCTTTTTTTGCATGCGACTAAACATCCAACTAGTGTGTAAATATATGTATATGTTGTGTATATATTATTGTTGAGTGTATATAGAAATATTTTAAATTTGTAATTCGTTTTGTTTTTAAGTATATATTTCATGTATTTTTCTTGCAGCGTGATGTGCGCTTTTTAAGTGGTTTCAAATTAACTAGAGCGAACAATTTGTGGATTCTATAGCAAATGATTCAATAGATCTGGTTTACTTTCTGTAAAGCGCACATATTTCACATCATACATTATTATTGTTTATATATTATGTTTTTTTTTTTTTTTTTGTCGTTTCTCTCAAATATTTGCTTTAAGGCACTGAAGCATTGAATTTTGTGCATATCGAAAAAGTAATTAGGATTACCGGTATAGAGTTCCTTCAAATGATTCCTTTTGAAGTGATTCCAATGCGAGCTACAAAATTATATCATGCGCTTCTTTAAAAAACATTCTCATCGATCTCTTTGCAAATTTTGCATTATATAAAAAATATCCCTGACTATTTTGCGTTAAATATATATATATATATTGTTTTTTCCTATATAATGCCTGAGGCCAATCTATAAAGGTTATTTCTGTTTTGGTGTGATTTTTTATTTTTTTTTTCGTTTTTCTTTTTTTTATAGTTGGGAGCGTGTTGCGGTTAAGCTCTTAAGATTGAGAACTACTTAATGGCTAAACTAAATATACAATTACGGCAATTAGGTATATATTACAAAGGCAGCTTACAGAATAAAACGAAATCATAAATCTTAAAGTGTGGAACTTAGGAAATTCAATCCAAAACATATAGATAAATTTGCCCCTAACCCTTAAAAGCGAACACGGATATTGGAGGTTGATGTTACAAAAGGAAAGCGATCAACGCTCAAGGATCAACTAGTTTTCCATATCATATTAACTAAAGACACAATGCACACAGATATCGGACATAAAGATACATAAATATATATATATATACGTATGTATGTATGAATGTATGTATAACATATGACATATATAATACCATACAGTTTTGAGGTTTTTTTGAGTATATAAAGAGATAGTTGATTTCGGTTAATTGTTGTAGGAGCTTTTCTCACTTAGGCTATGCATAACTAGGTTAAACCATATTCACGGCGCCATCAGCCTCAAATGTGGGTATAGATATAATATCGCTGCTGCGTACGGCGCCCATTGGTAGCGCTGGAGTTGACGCCTTCTTCGGCCTTTTAGCGCCCTCCTCGACCTCCTCCTCCTCGTCCTCGTCCTCGTCGCTGGAGTCACTTGAGTCTGGCTCGCTGGAGCTATTGTTGATGTTCTGTTTCTGTTGTTTTTTCAGCTTTAGATCGACCGGTATATCCGTATTGCTTTCGAGCGTCGAGTGTTGGCTCGACGGCGAATGACTGTACTCGGAGGTGTTTTCCTCATCGGATACGATGACCACATTACGCTTGTGTATGGCAATCTTTTGTGAGAGCGGCGCCTTATAGCTACGTCTCGGCCGCATGCCACGACCAATGGGCAGGCGTCCAATGCTATGAGGAATAGAGAGAGACAGAGAGGGAGTTAGGTATGCTAAATATGAAGCTTAAGAAAAGTCAAATAGACTCACCTTCTTCTGCGCAACGCATAGTTATAGTCGGTATCTTCACCCTCCTCATCCGACCAGCTGTCCTCGCCCAGAGGCTCCTGAGACGATTCATCATTAGCATTGCTGTGGACCGCTGTTGTATTCTCTGGCAACTGTTGTTGTTGTTGCTGTTGCTTTGCCTGTCTTCTGCTCTGTGTGCTGCTGCAACGACTCAGACAGGGACTGCTGGTTGCGCCCACATCTCGCAGCTCCGGCGCCGTTGTCGTGTGTACGCTGCCACCGCTGCCGCCGTTGCCATTCTCTGTGGAATTCGACTGGATGGACAGGCGGTTCTCGTTAATGAATTCGCTGACTTTGCGGCCCAGACGCTCCAGATTCTCATTGTCGCTGTAGCAGTCAGTAATGTCCAGACGCTCGTTGCTATTCATCACGTCGTCAATGAGCTGATCGGGACTGGAGCAGGCATCCTGATAGGTCAGCTCGCTGTTGCTCAGCGAGTTACCATTGGATGGACTGGCAGCATTCGCTGGTGAGCTATCAGTGGCTGCTGGTAGGCTACTGCCGAGCACCTTGGCTTGCGCCATGGCCGTGGCCAGCTGCTGGATGCGTTGAATCTGCAGCGGCAGCTGGCGATGATTGGGTGGCGGCTGGGGCACTTCAGCTGGCTGCTCGACGCACGGACTAATGTCCGTCTCGCTGACATCCATGGCATCCGTTTGGGTTTGCCGCTCGACCAGCTGAACCTTGCGGTTTTCCGGCTCGCTTTGATAGCGACGATCGCGCGTCGGACTGTATTTCGGCGGCGCGGCAAAAGAGCCCGAGCCATTGCGTCGATGACGCCAAGTCTTCTTGTTTTTGTTGGACATATTGGGGCCGACAAGGGTGCTGGTGCCGACAGCGCAGTAGGATTTCGGCTGGCAATTGCCATCCAGTTGTGCATAGAGCACACATTTAACGGGACTCTGAGGAATGGAAGAGACGAATTAGGAATGGGGCGAATCAATACTTTAGAAAGACTTACCTCTGGCGTGGTCTCGGGATCAGGCGTTGAGGATTGCTGCTGTTGAATTGGCTGTGCCGGTGGCGCATTCAGTCGTCGTCGATAATGTTGCATTTTCCTGAGAGTGTTGCCCAAACGTCGCGTGGGCTTATAGCCAGAGCCGGGCAGCTTACGTTCCCGCCTATAAAATCGAGTGATTATTGATTGGAAATTCACATTGGATGGGCAACTCATGTACTTACTCGGCAATCTCTTTCTCTTTCTCCTGCAGTTGTGTCATGCACTCGCTCAGCTCGAAGAACAATTGATTTGTCTTTTGCAGCTTGTCCTCGTATACCATGCGTATGTCCTGCGCATGTCGCCATTCGGCGGTGCGTCGCTTGATCAGATCCTGCTCATACTTGTGTATGCTGGTGCCGTTCTGAGTGATCTCCTTGAGATGGCAGCGCACCTCCTCTTTCCACGACTTTTGCGTCTCGAAATATTGCTTTTCACTTTTACGCAACAGCTCCGGCCCGGCTATGTCCAGATGACTGAGTATTTGCCGGAAGGAGGGGCGATTGCGCGGCTTGCTCTTCCAGCAGAGCTTGACGAGCAGCTTGAAGCCCTCGGGACAGGTGCTGGGCACCAGCAGCTTCAGCGAATTGTTGCCCACGCCCCAAATGATGGCCGATGAGTCGACATCCTTGTACGGTATTTCACAGGTGAGCATTTCCCAGAGCACAACGCCGTACGACCAAATATCGACCTTCTCGGAGCACGGCTCATTTCGAATAACCTCGGGCGCCATCCAGGCAACAGTGCCCGCGAAGCTCATCTTCGTGCTAATCTCATTCCACTCGCGACTGGTGCCAAAGTCGCTGATCTTCACCACTTCATTTGTACTAATCAGTATGCTGAAAGGATTAAAGAGCCATAAAGGGTTTTCAAGAGACTTCCTTCCCTCCTTGCAACTCACTTGGGACTCTTTAGATCTCTGTGTATGATCTTATGTGAGTGCAAATATTGCATGCCCAACGCAATTTGTTTGGACCAAGAGACCAAACGGGACGGCAACATGACCTGCTCCTCCTTCAATATGTTCTGCAGCGGGCCATACGGACAATACTCCATGATGATGCAAAACACAGGGGACTGCGTGGAAACGCCTCTGTGGAAGGAAAATATATGTATGTTAATTAAACCATGAATGGATAATTTTTTACTGATACTCACTTGAATTTGATGATGTTCTCATGATCCAGCTTGCGCAAATGCTTGATGTCTGTCTCCTTCAGCTCTTTCACCTTCTTGACAGCCACAATTTCATTGTTCAGCTTGCCGCTGAAGACGGCACCCTGCGCACCACTGCCCAACCAGTCCAGATCCGTAATGGACTCAAAGGGTATTTCCCAGTTTTCGCTGCGCTGGTTCTTCACCTCGATGACGCCCGCCTTGCCAATGAAAGACAAAACGGGCTTCATGCAACCCAGCAAGCCGTACATCCAGCTAATCGGCTTATCCGGATGACCGAAAGCGCTGGCCAATCCACCACCTCCCGTATGTGGTGGCCAGCGTTGCTGGCACGTGTTCTCGGCACTGCTGTCCGTAATCTCTGCATAGTTGTTGTGATGCTGCGGCGCAGCTGAATCGATGTCCGCAGACTTGAAGGGAAGATCTGTGGCGGCAAGTCCTAGGTGTCCAAAATCATCCTGCAGGCAGACCACACTAATAATGAGAACAAAAAAGAGAATGATTGTTAGAAGCCGCCTTTTAAACAATTTCTGTTTCCTTGTGATAAGGATTTTCTTAATAATTTTCGACTCTTTTGATGGAACCAATTCAAAGCCTGACTAATTTCTTTATTATTAATTTTTACAACCATAAACGGATTCACAATTGAAATTTATTCGCTGAAATCATCGTTTATCGATAAAAATAAACGCTTATTTATTTTAGTAAGCTTCAATTCGCAATTAAAGCTACCAAATTTATCACAATAAATCAAGTTCATGCAAGTTAATGTGAGTATTTCAGGTATTCTTATATTTATACTTCTAATGACAGTGATAAAGATATGTGCAGAAGAATGATCGCCCCTCTACCAACTCCCCGCAATTGTGTTCAAGCAAAATCTATCAGCACACACTTCAATGCATATGTATGTATGTGTTTCCTGCCGAGCTTGTGCGTGTAATGTTTTTTTTTTTTTTTTTTTTTTTTGTTTTTTTTGCAACCGATAAGATAAACAAAAACACCATTCACAAAGTGTGAGTGAAAGAGAAAGAGCAAGCATAAAATTGCTAGCAGTCACAGCCGCAGCATTTTTTATTCAGGTGAAAAACATTTATCACAACAATAACAATCAACACAGGGTAAAAACTCTGATGGGGCTGTCAAACTGAAGCGACGTGCGCGAACACGCAAAATCACCTGTTGCTCGTCTCACACTCGAGCTCACACCTATACACCCTCCCATAGAGATTGGACACTTACACAGACGCAAATCATCTACCGTACTTGTGCAGATTTTGTTTCCAGCGTATGTGTGTATAGACATCCCGCTCGCACCTCTGACGCCTGTGGGGGAGAAATGCGTTCTTTCGTTCCCATGTCGACCCGCGACGCTGCCGTCGTTAGCACCAAAACTAATGTCAAAAACCTTTTAATTACTTATGAAATTTCGAACGCATTCATAAATCGCTGCAGCAGCACGTTTTGACCTTTTCTTGTTGATGTAGCGGGTGACGCGTAGTTCATAGAACGCGGAAACCTGGCTAGTTTGGACTTATTACTTTCTTTCTGCAGAGCACAGCAAGTGCAACGAATAACGGTAGTTTGCTGGCGTGAGTCAACTTTATGGTTCTCCCATAATTTTTGTAGTGTTGGCAAAAAAAAAAAAAAACCAAGAATTGTGGCAAACAGATCTCACTAATATCTATCGATATATGCATACACAATATACGGGAAATGCGATCGCTAATCGTTATCCCTTTTATCTGTCCTTTGTTTACCTTTTCTCCTTTGTTATTATTTTGTCCGGGGGATCGGTACGTCCGAAAATTGGTATGTAGTAAACCATAGTGATGTTTTTTCTTTGCTTCTTTCGCGCTTATTTTCACGGTTAATTTTGTTTGTTTTTGCAATTAGTTTTGTTTGCCTTTTGCTAGTGTTGTTGTGCGCAAAACTCATTCATTAATTTGACATCGCGGTGCTGCATTAATGCAAATTTTTACACTCGGTCTTTTTTCGCGGTCGCCGCCAGACGATTTTTACGCACTGTATAAACCCGAGTGACAATAATAACAATAGCAACAACAACAACAAGTTTTGATTAAAAACGTTCGTTCGTTCGGTTCGTGCCAAGCACAGCCAGCCACCAAAAACCAAAGCACTGAACACCGACAACAACAAATACGTTTATTTAACGTTTTTGTCGTCTGAAAAAAAAAATGACGTCAAGGTAAGTGTTAAATGGTGTTGGTGTTATTTTTGTTGTTATTGTAGCTGCTGCAGCTGTAGTGTTAATTACAAGACCAAGAATTGGCTGCGTAACACTTTCGTTTCGTTTGTAACAGTGGATTTCATGAATTTTTGCACATAACGTACAAAAACTGCGACAGAGCTTCACACACACATACACGCACACGTTAGCAACTGATTTGGCGATAAGCAAAGCTATTGTTATTGCTGTCTGCACACACAGAGATACACGGCGGCACACGGGCACGAAGTGTAGAGACGTTAAGGCAGGCTCACGAGTTTGATTGACACGCTCGCTGTCTTGCTGCGACAACCAGCTGAAACGATTGATTTTCGCGTACTAAATTGCGAGCGTGAGCGCTGGAGCATGGCCACCAAACGAGCCGCTCGCATCACACATTATCAGCACAGCTTTAGTGCTCTCTTTCTCTCTCGCTGTCTGCCTTACAACGTTCATTGTTATCAAGTGTTGTTGTTGTTGTTAGAGTGACCAACTTTGAGAAGTGCTTGCATTGGGCAGCATGCGGCGGAGCTTTGAAACCAGTTTTCGACGCAGGTGTGTGAGCGTACAAGTGTGCGTGTGCAAGTGAGCGAGTTGCTGCTGCTGTTGCTGGGAGTCAGAGTACGTTTATATATCCATACACGAGTACATATGTATCTATGTGTGCATATATATGTAGAGCAAGTAACAAGGAAGCTTCTAATCGGACTGTTAAGGCTTTTGAGTATTCGTTTTTGTTTATAATTTCACAACACATTCGCACGTGTTTTATTTATATCAAAATGCGAATATGCGATTGCTGGTATATATGTGTATATTATTATTATTAATTAAAGAATCTCTAGCAAGTATTCCTTGCAAACATGACCTTGACCAATAACAATTTTTGGTAATTTTCAAATGGGTAATTTGGCATGCTCAATAACTTACCTTCTGCGCAAATTATCGGTTTGATCCAGCGATAGATTTGGACTGCTTCCATGATGCCTACGCCTGCTGTAGTGCAGTTGTTGTTTCTGGTGCTGGTGCTGCCTGGTGGCCAAATCATCACGACTTCTGCTTATACTGTCGCTAAATGGCTGCATTGTCCGTTAGTTTTTGTTATAAATTAAAGTTCTTAGTGCCCTACGACATGCTGCTTGTTTAGGTATGCTGTGAAGGATAACGAAACACAAATTCAAAACTTAAGTACATTATTACACACACACACACACACACATTATAGCATTGGAGAGCATATTTATCAATGAACCAACGTGAAATCGATAATTTAACTGGTCGACGTCAAACGCCCACTCGCAGGATGCGCGATTATATATGACTGTGTATGTACATCTCTATGTATGTGTGTGTGTATTTGTTGAATGCGAGGGGAAGATTCGGGCACGCTCAGTAGCATTGGCGTCAGCCCCCTCCACGTTACGCTTAGCAGTTAAATCAAAAAGCGAAAAGCGCAAAACGGCAAGAAAAAAAAAAATTACAACAGACGTTGGCGACGACGTCGACGACCGACCCACGCAAGACGTCAACATTTGCCGAGCGTAAGACAGAGAGAGGGAGAGAGCGCAGGCGAAAGGCCGAGAGCCGACAGGGCGAGAGTAAAGCTTTAAGCTACCGCGGAAGCGCGTGATAAAACATAAGAAGACACAGCGTCAGCCTATCAAACAAATTTCAAGTGCACTACACACAACAACACACAAACACCTGTCACAGAATTAGACGCACGCACATATAAAATGCATTAAAACAGCACAATTATTTAACAGCTATGCTCATTTCCCTTTCAAAAGCAGCGCTGCTTTTTTGTATGCCTTTAAATGGCAAATTGCACAAAAGAACAAACATACACACACATGAGCGCGCGCGTACAAACATACATATATTAATATACATATGAATATGTATGTACATATTTGTGTTTCCACTTCTTTTTTGCCTTTTGGTGTTACGATTTTTTTATTTTATTTTTTGTGCCGTGCTTTTAACTTGGCTAGAACATAACAACAATAAGCAACTACAACGAATTTTGCCACACACACGAACGCAACGAAACGCACACACACACACACACACGCACGGTCTCTCACAGTCAATTGGAAACCTTACAGCGCAGCTTATACTTTTGTGCTGTTGCTACTGCTTCTTCTTCATTCGTTGCTTCGGTAAAAGAAAATCAATAAATTTTTATTTGCACTTTCCACTGCAGTTTTGCACAATTCTTGATGATATTTTGCTTATGCATATGATATAATATGCCTTCGCTTACATTTATTGGTTATTTTGTCACAATTTTTATTAATAAATGTAAGTAAAAATTTTACAAATACAAAGACTGGTTGGCCTTTGGTTGCGCTTTAGATAACGTTCCGACCAACCAACCGTCCGCACCAAAGGTAGATACAAATCAACTAACACACAAAAAACTGGCGCACGCTCAGCCTGGCTGGCCGAGAGCAAGCAGAAATTGGTATGTACCAACAGCGGACAAGCTGTTTTGAGCGGGCCGATTTCCTCCCTCAAAACCAGTTTGGAGCGCAGGTTGAACTGCGCATGTGCTTAACTGCGAGTGTGTATGTGTATATATGAGAGAGGGAGTCAGAGAGAGCGCACAACTGAGAAATTGAGAGCCATGCCATGGGCAGTGAGCGTCGGCAAAGTCAGCCACCACTACAGTTGCAAGCCGAGCTTGTCGCTTTATGCTCAGGTTTCCGAAGTTGCGATCGTGTAGCACTGTTAACGCTCTGTTAATAGGCGTTACAAAAGTTTGTATATGTCATGTTACTTCAAGAAGCTAGCTTTATTAATCCTTGAAACAAATAAATTTTTTTCATGTAATTCAAAATTAAAATGCACTTGACATATAGGATAAATTGATATTAATGTTTTTTCAATCTAAAAAGTGATGAAGAACAAAGCGAAAATTTTATTTAAACAAATGTTGCTTAAATTGAATTCTTCGCCGAGACTTAAATAATTTTTTAGTGGCAATTTAGCACTAAGAGATCATATATTAATAAAATAAATAATATTTTTCTGTATAAATTAAATAATTTACTTTTTAATAAAATCTTAGCTGATATTTTACGAGTTCCTAAATTTGTATTTCTTTTTATAGAATTTTAAGTATAATTCAGCTTGGATTAAAATTTATTGAAATAAAAAGTAGCTAATCTAGTTCCGAATTCAATAATGTTCATATAGTCATCTATGCTATATTTAAATATCACGTTTTTAATGGCACTTCCCCTACACATTGACAGATTAGAATCAGCTGCATTTTTATACGACTTGTATGTCTGGCTGATAAGAGGCGGCAATAAGTTGTTATACAAGCGTTGACGTTCAACTATTAAATGACATTTGCAGAACAGGTAGAAAACCTAAAAAAAAGTAAACAAGTGCAGCAGGTAGCATAATTTCTATGTAAACAACGATGACTCATTCGGGCAAACTCGACTCCCAGAGAACTCTCCAAAACCAGATTTCAAATATATTTATGTGACAGCTACGATCGCTGCTTCGCTTGCTGCATCTCTTTTCCTCTCGCGCGTCACACTGTTAGAGCTGCGTTGCCCCCTTTTTAAGCCTGTTTGTTCCCTAACAGCAACAACAAGATTCTCAGGAGATCCAGTAAATTAATATGCTGCATGCGTGCGTTTTCTTTTGGTCCATTGCGCATGACTCAATAGTCAAGCATTTGCAGACGGACAGGGTCCGATGCCAAAACAAAGAAACCCATAAAAAACAAGGATTTCATTTGAAGTCGAGTACAGGTAGGAAAAGGTAACAAATACTTTTTCAAAGCGAGGCTTGCCTGTTGATAATGATCAAAACTTGTTGATGGCGTAAATGATAAATATTGTGTCAAGATATATTTACACTGCTTTTATCTATTTGTTCAGTTAAGATAGTAGTTGCTATGAGAATCAGGCAGGCACATGAATGAAGTGGCAGAGTCAAAAATATATTCTTATTGAAAGTAAATTAATAATATATTTCTATACTTACTTCATGTTATCCATTTGTTAATCTAAGCAGACGTTCCCATAATTCTTTTAATTAAATTTGAAATTAGATTTCTTCAACAGTAAAACTATTTCATAATATAAATTAGAATTTTCATAACTCATTTATTTTTCATATCTATATAATTATTTCTTAGAAAATCAAACACCTCCGCCTGCTTTTGCTTGAGAATGTTTATTTGCAACTTAATTACAATAAAGATTAAGTAGTCTTAAATATAATAAATCAACATGGCTTACACACGAAAATATTCTGCTTTCTCAACGTCGTCTAGGTATAACTCTACGTAAGTATCTAAAAATATGCCTCGGAGCATGGAGCATCATGCATTTTTATACCAGTTTACAATATCAATTTAAATTGCGAATGTTCGAACTAAACTGAACTGTTGTGACATGCTGTTAATATAACATAACATTAACAGTGTGCTGTTAGCACAGTTTTTATTGGCTTAACAGAGAGCGTTGCGCTTGGCACAGTTTGGTTTTATAATGATTGTTGTTTCGAGTCTGTTGAAGCCAAAAATGATTGAAAGATTTCGATAAGTACAGGATCTAACTGTCACCATTAAGGAAGATTTCAATGGATAGTCTTGCTTCTTAAATGTATAAAGTTAACAGAGCCAGAGGAACAAAGGACAGAAGGGAAATGAAAGACAGAGTGAGAGAGAGAGAAAGAGATCAACATTTTGGCATTGATAATGAAGCTTATCTTATCTTTATTTTATAGTCAATAGAAATGAAAATTGATGATCAGAAAGCTTTTCAGCAAATGTGGTAAATGAGTTAACATGCAATTGGATTCTGTTTTTGGATATTTGTTGTATATATTACCGGAATGGGGGTTGGGGAGCTCTGGCGCATGTACTCAGTAGAGCTTTAGGAATAACGTTGACATAAGTATAGCTACGAATAGGCATTTCACAGTTAGATGTGATGGCGGGGTACAAATCGAATCTATAAAACAGTAGTCACAAAATATACATACACATATATTAATATAGGCAATATACACATATGTATATATACATATATATAATTAAATGCATTTCGATTAGGCACAATTGAGCTACTGATTTTAAGTTAAGGTTAAGTGAAATAAATAACAATTATCCATTGATTATTGACCTGTCGAGAAACTCAATTGCTAACCCAACGAAATGCTCTCTATATATAACTTATAACTTATATTTATAATAATTATAATTAAAATTTTCACAGAAATTGTTTGCTTTAACGCACTTAACGGCGGCTTATGATATAATACGAGTACAGGGTGTCTCACGTCGGGGATTAGATGTAAGCCGAATTGCATCCCATCGAAAACCCAATCGAATTTATATGTATTGTCCATCTCACACTACGCATTCTTGGTGGTTGCTTAATTGGCTCGGTTTTATGGGATATTTTCAATATTTTGGTATAGTTAAGAATATATAGTATATAGTAGCGAAGGAAGGGGAAATTCCTCCATGAGATTTTAATTTGTTTTAGCTTTGGCGACTATCAAGGAAAGAAAATCTCTCCAAAGCCCAATATGTTAGGTTTTACTAACAGAAACGTATTTCTGACTTTTTTTTTTGTTAAATGAGAAGTAGTTCTCTTTGAGCTTTTCTCTTCATACTCCTTAGGGACCATTTGATATTACTGCTTTCCAGATCACATCTAGCTCAGTATAGTATGGTATATACATAGTTAATAGTTGCTCAGGTTCAGATTGATAAGGAATTTGTATATGCACTAAGTGTATGTTTGTATGTATGTGTGTTACCCTGTAGGCTGTCTCTCTCATCTGTTGCATCACTTTCGGTTTTGTTTGTTTTATAGATTTAGATTCTCAGGTACGCGCCTCATTTCTCTAGTTAACATTCTGAAATGTTGACATTTCTAAAGGAACATCGTTCGCGTTTCGAGCTTTAAGCATTTTCAGCTTTGTGAAATTGTGAAATCGGAAATTAGAAACCCAATGGCCCATGGTGTTCATCGTGTGGTTCGCTCGCCTCGATCGCCTCAGCTGCATCGCTTCCATTGCTCTCAGTACCTCCATTTTCGATATTATTAACATCTTCATCATCATCGTCATCGTCGTCCTCCTCGTCACTGGAATCGGCAAAGTTGCGCAGCGTGAGCGCCTGGAAGTCGTTCAAGGCCTGCTCGAAGAGATCTATGGTATGTTGATTGGTCTCGATCACCTGTTGCGTGGTGTCCAGCAGATCCTCTGTGGCGCTGCGCATGAGATCCTGTATGGAATTCGAGTGCGAGGAGGCAAGCGAACGCGAGGCACCAACACCCAAGCCCAGACCCACACCCGCACCTGACTGCTGCTCATCACCTGTTGCACCTGCTGTGTTGGCTGTGTGTGGATTGGAGTAGATTTGCTCACCGCTTAGGTCGTTGACGCTGTCGCTGATGTTGCTGGCGGCCAGGCCGCGCGTCAGTTCATCCGCCGCCGCCAGCGTGGAGCCAATGATGTCGCTGGCAATGCGAATGGCCGCATCCCGTGCGGCAATGGTCGATATAAATGTGGGCGGGCCGCCGGAGGCGGCAGCCGTTGGCGTCGGATTGCTCGGACGACTGAACACCGTGTCGCTGGTGACCTGATTGCCCTCGATGCGTAGTCCTGCCACGCCCTTCTTGGGTATGGTGGCCAGATCGCGTTTGACGCGACGACAGCGCGTCGGCTCGTTCTGACGCTGCTGCACCAGCTGCTCCAGATCCACTATGTAGACATAGCCGGCGACGAGTATGGTGCAGGACTTGTCGCCCTTCTTGAAGGCCTCCTCAATATCCTGGCTGGTGCGATCGTCGTATTGCCACCAACCTGTACAGTAGTAAGTAGTTTAAAGGGGTTTCACTATTGCTTTTTCGCCTCATGGCTGGATCACATGTTGTGTGTGGGTTATTTGATAACAGGTTAATAGGATGGATGCAGGATTATGAGGATGTGGGGATTAGGTATTAAGTAGCATTGTGTTTCAACCCGGCGACGCCTTTAACACCTGGCGCCGGCTCCGATCTCTTGCGTCGTATTATGTTTCGCTTTCTGGACGGCTGCGAACGCAACGATTGCGTCATATCAATCAGATCAATGATATACAATTGGCCGCAGATGAGCTGCTGGCAGCGACTTGGGTCCTCGGGCCAACCGTCCGAGCTGCTGTCCGAGGAGATTTCCTCGCAATCATCATAATCAACGTTCTCAAACAGCTCTCTCCAGTTGCCTTCAAAGTGCAGGCAATCCTGCCGGTTCAGTGGTTGTCCTTCTTTTGCTTTTTTGGCTTTGTAAGCGAGGAAGGATTGGTAGGACGTCTCGAGCTCTTCGTTGGTGCGTACATCATACGCCCACCAGCCGCCTAGGGTTTGTGTTCGGTTTATGCTCATGGACATGGATGTTGTGGTTGTGGACTAAAACACACCGCCACCAAAAATGGAGGAAGCCACTTACCATTCCGTCCCTCGTAGTACCACTGATAGCCATCCTCGGTGGCGCGTGTGGCACAGATGTCATCAATGCCGTTCACCAGCTGCGGATGGTCCAGAAACTCGGCAGGAATCTCACGACGACACATGGCACAACGGCGATTCTTATAGGCAACGCCCTGAAAGCAGAGGGAAGTTTAATAAGTTTTGATCTTATATAATTATACATAAAAACAATTAAAAATTGTCTAGTATATAATAAAATAGTTTAGTATGCGCCCTAGAAAATGATTGTATAAATAAAATCTAACCTACATACATATGTAAATATATCAAATTTACAATGTGTATTTCACATGAATTTAATTCATGTTATTTACCTTGAATTAAATATAAACTATTTGTTATTTTACATAGTATTTTACAAACATTAAATGTTGACATGTTGGGCTAAGGACAGACTTGAAATTAATTCGATATTGCTTTGCGGAAGGTGATTGAATTGAATTTGAATTATCCAAGCTAGCGCAAGCGCTGGTAAGTAGCGGGCACACATAAGGGTTAATGGCAGCGGCACAGCCTTGAACTTCCCTCGTGCGTGCGTGCGTGCGAAGCGTTGGGCGCACGCGTTTCGGGCGTGTTGACCAAAAATATCAAAATATCAAAATGGTACGCGACATGAATGAGTAAATGCTTCCGGCTAAGCAGCAGAGGAGGGAGAATCGGGAAGGGGAAGTTGTTTTTGGTGCGACACCTACCTTAACGCACAAGAAGCAGAAGATGTGACCGCAAGGCAGGCGGGCGGGATGAATGCACGTTTGTAGGCAAATGGGGCACTCCAGGGTGGCGGTGGGATTGGATGCGTCAGCGCCAGGCGTCGCATTCGACGCAACGGCAACAGCAGCGTCTGAAAGCAAAAAGTATCCATTGCGACACGAAAAGACATGCACAAACATGCAATGTTATTGTTTTTGTTTGTCTGCGTATTTTTTTTGGTATTTTTTCTTATTGTACCTGTTTCTATGTTGGCAGTTTTGAGAGCTTCGGCTGCTGCAGGCGTTGATGGTGCAGCGACAGCAGCAGTTGCAGTAGCTGAGACAGCTGCAGCGGCTGCTGCTGCTGCCGAGGTGGATGGTGAGACACAGAGATCGATGGTTGGCATTGCTGGATGCACAATGCCCACAAATTGCATATCGTCGTCGTCGTCGTCGCTGTCGTCCAGATTTATGATGTTTTGGTTGGCATTAGTTGCGCTCTGTTCTGTATTATTGCTGGCGCCGTCGTCAGTGCTGCTTGCAAGTCGTTTCGACATTTTATTGCTTAATGATTTGCACACACAGAGACTGGAACCAGGCGTTTGCACAACGCGACGAAATGTATAATTTGTTTCTTTCTTGTTGCTCTCGTTCTTCTTCTTCGACACGAAACACATACACAACTGTGGGCACCTTACAAAAATTAGGTTAACATTTGCTGTAATGTTATTAACAGCGTGAAATAACAAAAAACAGCTGTTATATATCGATTATTTCGATAAATATATTTTGAATACAAACTCGTTGATTAATCAGTTTGAATTTTCAAATAGGATATATCAGATTTACTGATATACTGTTATCGGTACTTCAATGGCCATCGCAATGTTGTAAATGTTGTGGATTTTTAAATAGTTATTATTTAATAATAGTTATTATTTAATAAAGTATAGTTCAGTGTTTAGCAATACAATATTGACAAATACTTTTGATATATTTTATATTTCATTCGAGTGTACATAAATTTTTAAGCTTGAATTTTACACAATTCGACTGCAGCCCATTAAATTCAAGCAAAAGCCAATTAAAATTATGTGCTTCATTACATGCGACACCTTTTTACGCAATCGGCTAGCCCCACACACAACACAACACAACAGAAAAAAGTTTAACTTCATAAAAATTGACAGCCCTTATAGTCGGTAACAATCAAAATAAAAATAATATAAAGTACAATAAAAAAATGAAACTTCAACGCTCGTCACATGGCATCACGCACATTTTAATATGCAGTCAGCATGCTGCAGGAAAAAAGGACACTCCAGGACACATTCGTACGCAGCCCTTTTGAACTCATTACATGAAAATCAATTTTTGGTTTATTTTTGCCGCATGGCCAACACGGCTCTGCCACAATTGCATGTCATTTTTTGTCAATTACATAGAGCGAGAGAATGAGAGGCAGGGTGACAGAGATAGAGAGATATACGGTCAATTGCCTAATTGCGCGGCTCCCGGGCAGACAAACGCGTCGAACTGAACTCCCAACGACGAGTTTTGTAAATTACTCCACACATGTTGCTGCTGTTGTTGTTTGAGCCTTTGGGCTGTTTAATGCACGTGCCTCACTCGCTGCTGCCATTTAAAAATGTGCTCGCAAAAAAGGAGAAGTCAACCATTACGTGCTCCGATTCGCTCTCCGTATGCAAAAACCAAATGACAATCGGGCATTACCGACAGCAGAATACTCAGCCATGGTACCGAAAAGCTGACAGCTCCATTTTACGTCTTGCCACGCCCCCAATCGCAATGTGTATATTAGTTTTGTAATAGTCTAAGTATGGTAAGTGCCTGCCTCTGAGACTATAGTATATTCCTGGCCTTACACAAAACCAGTAGACTCATTTTACCTTCGTGAGTGAGTATGAAAACTGTTTAATATGCGCCACAGTTCACCAACTGAAGAGTCATTCCCATTGCCTCTGCTCTGCTCTGCTTTGGTTTAATTGTTCGCCTAGCCATTCGGGCAATTGAATTTTGCAGCCAGCAAACAAGTAAAGCAAATAATCGTCTGGTTAGCCACAAAGCGCAAAAGAAAGTAAAACCATTCAAATAACTAAGCTCAATCTTAATGTAATTATCACTGCAACAAAAAAAAAAGAAGGAAAATAATAACGTTTATGGCCAGCTTCAAGATTATTAAAAGGGGCCCGCGCCATCAAGTCATAAGCATAAAAATATTACAGCTCACAAAATGTTTTTACCCCACAGAAAAAAAAGAAGGCGAAAAAACAGCAGCAGGAAAAGTCCTTGTTCTTGTCCTTGTTGCTGGCTTTTGTCTACTTTTCACCCTCATTTTGCGGCTGCTTGTAATAAGCTACTTTTGCATTGCTCTTTATTTTATCATTTGACTTGCACCACCCAACCACATTTTATTATCTTTTTTTTTCGCTTGCCTTTTTTTTTTTTTTTTTTCTTGGTTCTGCTGCAAATCCCTTTAATCAAAGAAAATTGGCTGTTCACACATGTGAGCCTTGGGCTTATTATGAAACGTTGTTTCCTTTTTTTAAGCTCCTAGTTAAGCTCTAATAAATTTACGCGCATTTAGCCAAAAAATAATAACAATAACGAATTTGCACACTTTGCTATTAATATTTTGATTTTCTTTTAGGTTGATGAGAAACATAAAATAATATAAATATTTTTATGGGAACAGAATAAATTATATTTTCATTTAATATAGGCTAAATAACTTTTTTTGTTTGTTTAATTTTTAAGAGTATTTTATATTGAATTGATTTATTTATTTTTTGTTTTTGTATTGCTTGTTTTTTTCTTATTGAATTTTGTATTTGTTTTTTATTATTTGCGTCTTTTTTATTTTACTATTTAAATTATTTGATTTTCATATATATATTTTATTTGTTTCTTTATATTTTACTATATTTTTTATTTTCATTTATGGTATTTCTATTTGCATACTATGTATTTAGTTTATATTTATATAATACGTTGGTATTCCCTTGGAGCAACGACACAATTTGATTCATCTAAAATAAGCGTTCTTTTATTAC